TGATTGATGAGAGGGCGTCATACGCTACTCATCGAACATAGACTGGTAAGGGGGATCATTTTCCGCAAAAACGACGTCTGCTTTGATGATCTAACAGTCTTATCGAAGGCCTCCAGTCTATTTACTGCACTTATCCAAGTACGAATGAATCTAGGTCTAGTAGGTATGGGTGCTGATCACTAGAATCATGGGCAGATGCCACGTTGGGCTTATCTCCCCGCGACGCAGGTGGCGGTGATAAGCGGTAATCTGTACTCCAGGCATGGAGGCCCCACGTATGTCCGTCCACAGCCGCCCCCTTTCACCTACCTTATTCCATCAGCAAGACAATTAATCCTATTGTTCATCCTCGAGAGGCGAACCAGGCCAAGACATCTCTCGCTCCAAGATGTCTTTGACGCTTCTCACGACACGGTCGTGATGCGATGCGACATGGACACAGCGCGCGCAATGACAGCCAGTACTAGTATTAGATCCCTCGTCTCGCTGCGGGAGCTCCCGCGGCTGCCCCCCGAGATTCTCCAGCTCATCGTGGAGAGCGTCCTGCCATCCAACACCCGCGCCCTGCTCCCGACGTCTCACAGCGCGGTCAGGACGCTTCTCGCGCTGACAAGAGTCTCGCGCGTCACCTACAGCCTGGCGTCCAAGCTCCTACGCCAGCGATGCATGTACGTTGAGACGAGTCGCCGGCTGAGCAAGGTGCTGCTCTGCATGGACAGGCTCGTGCCCTCGCTGCCACCCCCGTCGCTGTCGCTGCGCAACATCACATCGCTCTACCTCGCGCCGTTTGAGACGACGCTCGACGATCAGCCCACGGCCATCTGGGTTCGGGAATTATTTCACGAGGTCTCCCAGACGCTACGCCGCCTCGTCGTGCACATGCCCTTTCGCAGTCTGGACCTGCCGGACGACCACCTCAACGTGCGACCCATTCTCCGCGAAGGATTCGAGCAGCTGGTGCACCTCGAGGAGTTTGTCTGTCTGGGCGAATACCCAGCCCTGAGCACGACCAAGGCTAGCACCGACGTCTGGCGCCTCTGGCCAGAGCTCAAGCGATTGGTCCTCTTTGAGGTGCCCATCGACAACCACTGGTTGTGGTGGAATGTGGCCACCCTGTCGCGGCTGGAGCACGTTGTGCTGGCCAAGCCCACGCACCTCTCGGGCACGAACATCAAGGACGAGTACTTTCACAAGCTGCCGCCCGACTGCCCTGAGCTGAAGCGGCAGATCCGCATCGTGCTGTATGGCGTGGCGTACGAGATTCCCACCGAGACGGTGGACACGGCACGGTGGAACGAGATTGACCCCGAGGAGAGGATGACAGTGGAGAGGTACGAGGTGCCCATGCCGTTCTATGGGGATGAGACGCCGAATGAGCTGGTGACCGGCTGGATCAGGCGTGGGGCCTTGGACGGGACGCTGTGGAAGTCGAAAGGAGAGAGACTTGGGCCGGCGAAGAGGAAGGGAGAATTCACGTAGGTGGGAGATGTGTCATGGGCCTATAAGGGAAACATGGCTCACTTGCGTCGTGATGAATGAGCGGTCGGTACTCAATGACTGAGTGATAGTCCGATAGAGCATACGACCAGGATCGTGACACAGTAGTGTCGACCAATACGGATACAGGACATACTTTGAAAGCTACCGAGTGCCTTTCTCCAGAGAGGTTTCAATTCCACTGGCGCTGCGCATGCTTCAGTTGACGTTACAATGAGATATACTACTACACTACTTACTACAGTAGTCTAGTACATGTAGGTAATAGTAAGCTGTCGACACTGGGTGGGTAAATGGTGATACGTAATTAGCTCGGCGTCTCGGGGCCCCGACAATGCCAGTGTCCCAGAAAATGGAGCAAGAACTGGAGCAAGAGGCAGGAAGCACCCACATCCACGTTGGACCAACTTGGAGTGCGGATTCGGAGTCGGACCAAACACCTCACCGACTGATTGATTCTCCTCTTCACGTCCAGCAATTTCCTGATGCTCGTCAGCACCTCTGGAAATTGAGCGCAAGAGCATCAATCGCATTTGACTACGTCTGCGATGCGGCCAGACGACGCGCAGCGCGGCACAACGTTACGTATCCAGCACTGAGCCCACCACTACCAGCCATAAGCACCTACCAAAAGGTCCTGCTCACTGCATCTGTACCCGGACGCAAAAGAGCCCTCAAGAGCCCTCGAGACATGGCGAACCCGACTCTATGAAACATACTCTCGACCATCATCTCTCTCTCTCTGCCCAGGAAACCCTGTTTCTTTAGGCAGCTGCAGTCGCAACTAACGAGCGCTACCCGTGTCTCGCTCGCCGCGCCGCGTATCCGAAACAAAGGCGTCGACCGGATCCCCAAGGCTAAGAGGCACCATGGCGGGCAGCAAGCCTGCGACGGTCGCCTCGTACGCCGCAGGCGCCTCACTCGCCGCCGCTGCCCTCATCTACGTCTTTGGCCCGACCTTTGCCCTCGACAACGAAGCGGCGCCGTCCGGCCGGAAAAAGACCATTGTCGGCCTGCGCAACGGCGCCAACGACTGCTTCATCAACTCTGTTCTCCAGGTCCTCGCCGGGCTCGACGACCTGCGCATCTACCTCATCCGCGAGACCCACCGGCGCCGCATCGAGGATCCCGCTGTCTACTCTTATCTCGTGCAGCCGACCGATGGCGCCGGTCCGCTGCCGGCGTGGAAACTCCATGGGCTACAGGACGGGCTGGTGACGTACGGGCTGAAGGATATGCTGGATGCGCTTAACGAGCGGCCCATATACAAAAAGGCCATTTCGCCCTTTCAGCTCGTCCGCGTGCTCGAGACGGCGTTTAGGCAGCGCATCAGCCGCCAGCAGCAGGACGCGCAGGAGTTCCTGCAGATCGTGGCCGAGAGGCTGAAGGACGAGTACCACGCCGGAAGACGGGCGAGAGACCACGCTAGGAGACACGGGATCACGCCTCCCTACGTCGAGAATGGCGACAGCAAAGGGACCGAAACCGAGACGGAGGCAGAGACAGGGACAGGAAATGAGGGTGCTACAAACAACGGAGACCCCGTGGAAAAACCGACAGAGAGGCTCGCAGGTCTGGCTGTCAACGGGGCCGAAACATCTGATACAGAGGCCTCGACTGCCGAGGCGTCCACACCCGACCTGACACCTACAATCAGTAGGAAGCGCATGCCCAACGAGAACGAGGAGGCCTTTCCCATGGAGGGGCGATACGAGTCGCAACTGCAATGCACGACCTGCCGGTACAAGACCCGGCCCCGCGAGGAAGCCTTTTGCACATTGACGCTGGCCGTGCCGCAGGTCTCGTCGACATCGCTGACTAGCTGCTTTGACGGAATCTTCAAGACAGAGTACATTGACGACTTCAAATGCGAGAACTGTCGTCTGGTCCAGGCCAAGGAAAATCTGGAAACAGAGCTGGCCAAGTCGACATCCGACTCGTTCCGAAAGACGGCCGAGGAGAACATTGAGAAGCTGCGCGTGGCCATTGAGACGAACCCCGAGGAACCCCCCGAGGGCGTCGACTTGGGCGACATCAAATACGCGCCCAAGCGCAGGATTGCCAAGACGACCCGGATGACCATCTTCCCCAAGATCCTGGCCATCCACCTGTCCAGATCCATCTACGGCGTCGGGCAGGTCACACAAAAGAACTCGGCCAAGGTCTCATTCCCTGAGAACCTGCCGTTGGGTGGTCTGATGGACCAGCGCAAGTACAAGCTGCTGGGTGTTGTGACGCATCGCGGCGGCCATAACAGTGGTCACTACGAAGCCTTTCGACGGCAGAACATGCCCAAGCCGCCATTTGCCCACCTCAACACGTTCCAGGCGTCTGAGGCGTACAGCAAGACGCCAACCCCGATCTCTACGCCAGATCTAAGTGCACGTCGCATCGCTAGCCCCGCCGTCTCGACACCTGATCTGCTCTCCGCATCGTCGGGCACATCGTCCATCTCGGTGAACTTGCCGCTGCCTCCGCCTCGCAGCGTCCCCGAGGACCAGCAGGTCAACGGCAAGATCAAGGATAGCGACAGCGGCAGTCTGCGCTCCGTGGCTGCGTCGACAAAGTCAGCCCTCTCGCGGCTGACCTCACCAAAATCGAACAGGGGCAGCCGGTCAGGCTCCCCTAGCCCGGCTCCGCCGGCGGCGACGGCAGGCAAACCACCCAAGCGAAAGAAGCCCGCGGCTGACAAGTGGTGGCGCGTGAGCGACGAGAAGGTGAAGGAGAGCAAGACGAGCGAAGTTCTCGGCATGCAGAGGGAGGTGTATCTGCTTTTCTATGAGCTGGACAAGGACTTTTGAGGGGCGGGCTTCATTATGGAAAGAAAAGAAAAAAGAGGGACATGGAAGCATTGATGGTTCGTTTCGATTCCTCCCTTGGGGATTTGCATAGGGCGGCGTTCTGTTTGGGTTAGACTTGTATGGACGAGGAGAACTGCCCGTGTTACATCACGGTGAATGCTAACGGACGCGAAGCATCAGGAAAGGTGTGTCTCTGTATATTAGTACTAGACGAATATATCGTGTAGCTCGTTCGCAACGCTGGGGTTTGTGGGCAAGGGTGTGGTGAACGATCGACGTGCAGACCTCCAGCATTACCGACAGCAGTTGCTACACATCCGCACAGAATACATTTGATACATCAGGAACTAAAACAACCGGAGCAAAGACTATCCAAGCCAAGTACTATCTTGTTTATTTTGTACGACTGTACTTAATGATAAGGGGCAGTGCCTTTCCTTTGTCTCTAGGGAAGACATGGAACCGCCCGCTCTGCGCTTACGGCCGAGTCGCCGACCTCCACGTCCGTCACGCAGATTAGAGGCACGTACGCAGTGCATACCAATAGGCACCTGATCTGGCCTAGCGCCTCTGGTCGAACGGGACCCCTGGAAAACGCGGAAGCTAACAAGAGCTTACCTGGTAAGGAAGAATCTCAAGACACGCCTCGAGAGCGAGTACCTGCCTTACATCAGCGCCTAACCGTGAAACGTCCGCCGCGTTGCAGAACTTTGCATCCTGGACTCATTACCTCCACTCATTGGGAAACTATCTTCTTTCTTTATTTTCTCGCCGATCTCTAGCGTGAATCGCTAGCTTTATGTCGAATGCTTCGGGTGATGAACTGGAATTATAATCCGACCACGTCAACGCGGTAATCGTCGCATGGACCGAGCCCAACACCAAAGGGAGCCAGCCATAACAGTTGCTGGCTCTCCAGAATACCCCCAGTCGAGAAGACCGTCAGGGTTTGGGCAAGACTTTCTTCACACCGCCCTACCCCAGCACGACATGGACAGGCGGCATGAGTCTCCTCATTCGAGATGGCCAGAGCAGCACCCGGCTCTGATCAATACGCACTCGTCACAGCCAGTCGAGCTACCTCATCCGTACACAAGCGTCTATCATAGCAACCAACCAGCTGGCCAAGGCGGGTCCCAGCGTTACTTCTCCAGCAGACAGCCGTCGCCGGCGGCACCGCCTCCCTGGGACACTGGCCTGTTTCCACTCAGACCACCTCTGGAGAGATGGCCCGGCGAGCGTCCCAACCAGATGCTCGGGACCAACAGGGGGCTCGATCCACGGGAGATGGCCCAGATGGCCCTGGCCCCGGCGGCGCGCCCAGGCATGTCAGCCAGCACCGAGGGGAGCCGCGCGGCAGAGACGCTGCCACCGTGTCCCATCGCATTAGCCGACGAGGTTGACACCGCGACGCGAACGCGGGAGAAGAGCACGGCCAGGAAGATCCAGAGAAGGACAAAGACTGGATGTCTCACTTGTCGGAAGAGGAGAATCAAAGTGAGTAAACAAATTCCCCGTTACCAACACTACGTACGGATACTAGACCCGGCAACCTGGCCCAGGACGCTGGAGCCTGAATGCCCCACCGAATCCTAGGGCGGGCACTTAGTCGGGACCTTGAGTGCCAGGCTTTTTGGCCCAGTTTTGGCTGGGATCTATGTACCTTTGAGGTACTCCCTGCTATAGCCTGTACTTACGGCCCCCAGCGTACCCGAACCGACGGGAACATGACAACTCTCCACACGCACTGACTGCACTTCCACATCCCACTGTCCATGCCGTTTGAGGTCTTCATTAAGCTCTCACAACCCTTAACCCTTCTCTTCATACCCATTTGCGACGTTATCGGTCCCTTAAGTTGCACTGCTGACCACCAATTTCTCCAGTGCGACGAGCAGCGACCTGCCTGTAACAACTGCACCAAGGCGAAGCGGGAGTGCCTGGGCTACGAGGTCCTCTTCCGCGAACACAACGGCGTCAACCCTCTCGCCAGGGCCGCCTCTGCCACATCCAGCAACCCGCCCTCGCCCAACCACCTGGCATCGTCGCAATCGCCCAGCGTCGCATCGTTGACCTCGCCATTGCCGGCACCAGCAGCGTTGGCCGACTACCCCACGGGCACCCACCAGGCTGTACTGGAATCTGTGTACAGCTCCCTGCAACAGCCTCCCCACGGGTATTAAGCGCACGAAAAGGAGCTGCAGACAGTTGGGTGTATTCTCGCCGCCCCAAGACATGAGGGTGGACCAACTCCTGTCCCAGGTGTGCGTGATGCCCGACTCACCCGCCAATGTATACGATGATGCATGGTACCAGGATATCGTCGCGGTGTACCACGAGATATACGCCAGCGCGTTGCATGCTTTTTTCGAGTCAAAGTGGTACTACTTTATGGAAAACGGGAAAATGGCGTTTCCTCGCCAGCCCTCGCTACTACAGGTCATGGCCTCCTTCCTGACAGCAGCAGCGCAGCCCGACGCCGGCAGCCAGGAGAAGATGGCATACATGTCCTGTCTGGAGATGAAAGTCGTCTGGGAGCTGGCAAAGACAGCTGCCACGGCGGCGCCCCCTAATGCCGACAATCGTCGAGCGACCATCCTGCCGAGCGAAGCGAATCCTGTCGAGGCGCAGCACCGGTTTCACGTCGTTGATGCTTTGCTGAGCGGTACTGTTCTTCCGTGGAATCCCCTGGCGCCCCCCTTGCAAGACGCGCAGCACCACCGCGTGCGCGAGTTTGAATTTTGGTATCAGCTCGCCGAGTTCCTTCGGTCGGGCGTGCCTGGAGCGGACGAGCAAAAGGAAGCAGACCGGAGGGCAGAGGCTTTGCAGAAGATGCGGAATCACCTCGACGGGCGTGAGAACCGAGACGTGCTGTACTCCACCGCCATCTTGCGTGAGCATGGCCTCCAGTACCCTGCCAATGCGGAAGGCTCGCACCTAAACGCCTACCATGCTGCGGAAGACAATCCGAGAGACAAGGTCATGGTCGCTGCACGGTTCATTACGGGGCATACGCATGTCAATGGTGGGACGACCAATGTCGCGCGGCGATTGTGTGACATTGCGCAGAGGCTGTATATCAATCCCAAGGCCAATCCGCCACAAGTTGCTCAGTAAACGCAGCATCGGCAAGGCGGTCGGGCGTTTGCAGTTTTGTATCGTGGCCGAGGCGCTCATCTGAGAAGCATTGGGGCGTCGGTGATGCTTCGCTCAGCCGTCGCTTGCCGCGATCCTGCAAATCACTCGGCACTCCGACCTCGGAGCAGGGAGGGTTGGCCTGGACCAGATGAGACTCTAGGATACGGTCAACATCTTTCCCGGCAAGGGCTGTTGTAAGACGATGCATTGATGCATGAGTCACACCAGTGTGGGTGTCACTGGAGGCGACTACACCAACGCTGTGACACAAACAAGGCACTCCTTATATTTTTCGGACTCGCCTTTGCTCGCATCATCTGAGCGTCGATTTCACTCGATCCTTCGACGAAACTAGGTTCACGATGCCACCTCCAATTGTCCCATCAAGACATCTCCCATCTCCTAACCCGCCCTCGACAGAGCCTGGCACCATCCTGCTCGAGACGGAACGCCTGGTCCTCCGGCGTCCGCTCCCCAGCGATGCACCCTTGCTCGTGGCCGCGGCAAACCACAAAGAAACCGCGGCCTTCATGACAGACCGCTTCCCGTCACCCTATACCCTCGAGGACGCCGAGGACTTTGTGTACGAAAAACTGGTCCCCAAGGGCACGCCAGCCGAGTACCCAAACACTGTCGCCATCTTCCTCAAGGACGACCCGTCGCGGCTGCTGGGCACAATGGGCGCCAAAATCGGTACAGACATCAACTACATCATGTGGGAGCTGGGCTACTTCCTCTCGCCTGAGTACTGGGGCCAAGGCTACGGCACAGAAGCCGTTGGGGCGTTCACGAGGTGGTGCTTTGAGACGTGGCCGGGTCTGCAGAGGATGCAGGCCTCGACGTATGAGTTCAACGAGGCGAGTGGGCGCGTCCTGCTCAAGTGTGGATTCACCAGGGAGGGCATGAGACGGCGGTCGGCGATGAAGAACGGAGTCATGACAGGGGAAGTGTGGTACGGCATATTGCGGGAGGAGATGCTCGGGGTACCAGAGGCCATGTGAGCCCATACATTGGCGAGATGCATGAAAATTTTCCGAGCATGTACAAGAAATGAAGATACCTAAATTCCAATTCACGACGTCTCGTGATATGGTGGCGGCAGCACCTCATTCTGCTGGCTGCGCATCAGTCGCTTCTGGTCCACCTCGACTCTCGTCACGATGCACTCCACCTTGACCACTTCCATCATCCTGGAGTGCGAGAATCTGGCCTGTTTCACCGTCAAACAGCCCGAGTTCAGGCAGTCCGTCTTCCTGCCGTCGTGGCGCCACTGTTTGTTGGGGCAGACATGGCATTCCTTTTGCGAGTGCTCACCCCTGACAATGCTGACGTTGCCATTGCGGCCAGGCACAAACTCGTGGAGATGCTCGATTTGGTCTGGGCCGTGCAGGGTGAGGGAGATGTGGCAGGATCTCTGACGGACTGCGTTGTGATACTCTTTCCCCCTGAGCCAGGTCTCCAGCTTGTCAATCTGGTAGAAGCGGGCTTGGCTGAGCAGGTGGTGGTAGAAGACCTCGTCGTGGCCGGTTTGTGCGTCGTGCGAGATTGGGTACAGGCCCGTCCTCAGATAGCGGAGGACATGCTCGAATAGCGATGGGTCTGCGTCCACGTAGTAGGGGCCTTCCGCGAGGCGTAGCAGATTGCTGAGGCGACGCGATTCCTGGAGGGTGGTCCTGGTTGTGTTGAAGGTGCGTTCGCCGATGGTGAGCTCGACACGGTCGCTGGGCTCGGACATGTCCAACTGAATTTTGCAGCAGGACAAACAACGGCTGGTTGGTAGTTTAGAGTGCGGGCTGGCTTTTGTTTTTATTGTCTGCGAGCTTGTTGGTCGCAGTGCCTAAACGCACCCTTGCCAGTCTAACGTTAGGTGATTCTACGTAGTACCAAGCGTTCCTCGAGGGGCATTCTGCCTTGAGTGCGTCTTGGGCACTAGCCAGGATATGATCGACATGTTGCCATGTTGGTAGGAGGGAATGAATTCTTGGTGCATAGCCGACAAATAACTATTATTGATCAGGATGTTCCTCACATGATACATGAGCTGCGCCTTGTTGCCAGACACAATGCAGCGATGGCTGGTTGCTCCAGCACGTGTGAATGAGGCTTCGACGACGAGCACTTCTGTTGCCCATCATGACTCTGACGAGTACTTTTCATGTCAATTGACGCCTTAAAGTTGGCGTGCAATCAGGAGAGGTCATTGCATTATGTATGGGAAGATGGATTGAACTCGTCAACACTTTCAATTCTAAGGCACGCGATAATAGGCGTCAAGCGGCAGCGCCAGCGTGGGGCAAGTGCCGACCTGTAGGCGCATGATAATCCGAGGCCGTTCATTGGCCAATGGCCGCATCAATGTTCCTCCGCACCCACCGTTCCACGGGCGAAAGCTCCAGTCTTCCAGATTCGTTGACGACCAGACCAGACCAGCTCATTGCCGGATGACGAGCACGACTCTACTCCCTCTCGGCCATTGATATCGACGCGCACGAGGCGCATACGGAGGACCCTCGACCTCGATCCCAGTCCTCTCCTCTCCTCTCCTCTCCACCGCGTCACAATGGCTTCGCCACTACGAGCGTTCGCTGGCCGAGGCGCCAGCCGACTCTGCCTCCGTCCGGCCTCGATACCGACCACCTCACGATCCTTCGCTACCACGTGCTACCGCAAGTACGCGACGCCTACGCCCGACCTCAGCGCTCGTCTCATTCCCGTCGACGAAGACTTCAAGAACCCGAATGATCCCTATGGCGCCCACACCCTCCAGGAGGGTCTCACGCAAAAGTCGCGCGACAACTCGGTCGAGGACCGCAAGGTCAGGCACTACACCGTCAACTTTGGTCCTCAGCATCCTGCCGCCCACGGTGTGTTGCGTCTCATCCTCGAGCTGAACGGTGAAGAGATCATCCGTGCGGATCCCCACGTCGGTCTCCTCCACCGCGGTACCGAGAAGTTGATCGAGTACAAGACCTACCTGCAGGCTCTGCCCTACTTTGACCGTCTGGACTATGTCTCGATGATGACCAACGAGCAGTGCTTCGCACTCGCCGTCGAAAAGCTGCTGAATGTCGAGATCCCCGAGCGTGCCAAGTTCATCCGCACCCTGTTTGGTGAGATCACCCGCGTCCTGAACCATCTCATGTCCGTCCTCTCCCACGCCATGGATGTCGGTGCTTTGACGCCCTTCCTCTGGGGCTTTGAGGAGCGTGAGAAGCTCATGGAGTTTTACGAGCGTGTGTCGGGTGCTCGTCTGCACGCGGCCTACGTTCGCCCCGGTGGTGTCCACCAGGATATCCCCGCTGGTCTGCTGGACGATATCTACCAGTGGGCCACCCAATTCGGTGACCGTATCGACGAGACCGAGGAGATGCTGACGGACAACCGTATCTGGATTGAGCGTCTCCGTGGTGTCGGTGTCGTCACTGCTGCTGATGCCCTGAACCTGTCCTTCACCGGCCCTATGCTCCGCGGCTCGGGTGTGCCATGGGACATCCGCAAGAGCCAGCCTTACGATGCCTACGACCAGGTTGAGTTCGACGTCCCCGTCGGCACCAACGGTGACTGCTACGACCGTTACCTTATCCGCATGGAGGAGTTCCGCCAGTCCCTCCGCATCATCCACCAGTGCCTCAACAAGATGCCTGCTGGTCCCGTGCGCGTGGAGGACTACAAGGTCGCCCCTCCCCCGCGTGCCGCCATGAAGGAGAACATGGAGGCTCTCATCCACCACTTCCTCCTCTACACCAAGGGTTACTCCGTGCCCCCCGGTGACACATACTCGGCGATCGAGGCCCCCAAGGGCGAGATGGGTGTCTACGTTGTGAGTGATGGCAGTGAGCGCCCGTACAGGTGTCACATTCGTGCTCCTGGGTTCGCGCACTTGGGTGGTTTCGACCACGTCTCAAAGGGTCACTTGTTGGCTGACGCTGTTGCGGTCATTGGTACTATGGATCTGGTGTTCGGTAAGCTCTCCCCTTTTTTTCATCCTCAGTGTGACCCTAGCTAACAAGACACAGGTGAGGTTGATCGGTAGAGGCGGCATGCACAGACAACTAGAATGGGTTTTCTTTGTTTTGTAACCATAGCTGACAAGAGGATCAAACCAGAGTATATACCTTTCCTCAGTGGTAGTTGTGACCAAATGTACGGTTGTTCAATTATGCTTCCCGTCTTTTATCCTGCGTTGTACACACAACGTTGATACAGATTGATACAAAGTGATACAAAATGAGCGCAGGACCATCCTAGATGACCTTGGCTCCGGACCCAGACGCCTGCGCCATGAGGAAGCCTTTCAGGGGTCCCAGTGCGTTCACAGCCTTGAGCCCCATGGATCTCAGGGGCACAAGGGGACCGCTTTCCACGGAGTAGAGCTTGTGCAGTTTGTCACAAACACCCATCAGAACATGATTCGCGGCATACCGCTCCGAGTTGTAGGACTCGAGCCACATCTGGGTGCCCAGATCCTGGCCGTGCGAGACGGCATACTCGATGGCTCCCACTAGGCTCTGCACATCAGCCTGCCCTTGGTTTAAGCCCTGACCAGCCAGCGGGTGGATGGTGTGCGCTGCGTCACCAACCAAAGCCACACGCTCGCCAATGTACGTGTCCGCATGGCGGAACTTGAGAGGGAACGAGGCGACTGTGCCCTCCTGGACTCCGACCACAGCCTGAGGAAGCATCCGGGGATTCGTCTGCGTGTGCTGCATCCTCCATTGATACTCCTCATCCTGGCCTTCATTCTGGCTGTGCATATATGCAAGGTCGACGGGACTCAACCGGAAAGCCGCGTTGACAACGGCAATGAAGTCTTTCGGTGCAAGCCGCTTCAGCAGCGCGGCATTGGCCGGCGTCGTTGACCAAACCAAGGTCGCAAAGTTCCCAGGCATCGGTAGCATGGCGACGGGGCCTGTCGGCAGGAAGCGCTGGTAGGCGGTCTTGGTGTATTCCCCTCCCCAACCCTCCCCTTCCAGTTCCAGCGTCGCCACCACACCATGGCGGCCATAGTCCCATCCTCGGCTCTCGATCCCAGCAAAAGACCGCACGGGGCTGTTTGCTCCGTCCGCACCCACGAGAAGTCGGGCTGTCAAGGTCTTGCCGTTGGAGAGCTGTACCACAGGCCACGACCGTAGATCCATCTCTTCCGTTTCCTCGCCCAACTGGATCTGCTCGACCTTTGAGTTTTCGAAAATGTCCACCCCGCCTAGCTCACGTATCCGCCCCAGAAGACCACTCGTCAGGTTGAGATTCTCCGTCATGTATGCGATTGTCTTCTCGGTCCCCTGCGTGGGCCAGTCGAACTCGATCCTCGCCCCCGTGACGCCATCCCAGACCTGCATCTCCTGATACGCTTGTATCCTGTCGCGTTGCAAATGCGACCATGCGCCGATGCTGTTGAGAAATTGCGCGGAATAGGGCGTGAGCGAGGAGCACCGGTTGGAGAATTTGGATGGCGGGAGTGAGAGGACGGATGATTTGGTCAGGTCTTGGGCTTCGATGAGGGCCACGCGGAGGTTCGAAGTAACTGGGTTGGCGCCTGTGCTTCGGTATTAGTACAATATAACAATAATGTCCTGTCTAACTTACGGAGCGCTGCGAGTAGCGAAAGACCTGCTGGGCCACCACCCACGCATATTACATCGTAGATATCGTTTGACATGGTGGCATATCCACGGCGAGCCATTGGTTTAGACACACGAGTGCAAGCTCGACATATAGAGGGCGTCGAGCCCAGAACCCGGGTTGCAGCCATCGAGAAAGTCACCACGTCCAGAAAGTTGGCGTATGGACGGATGTGTGGTTTACACCATGTGAGGCCATCACGATATTAGGACGGTGTGGCGTTTAGCATGTGGCTGAACTTGATGTGGCGGTGCTCGGACCCAGGCAGCAACAGGGGTCTTGCGAACCTAGCGCTGCCTATTCCCCAAGTTGCCACAGAAACAACAGCAGGGTCTGGTCATTGTTTGCTCTGAATATCTTTCGTGCCATTGTTCACGTCGCACATTAGCGAATTCTCGATTCTGCATCATTCCTGACCCCTCCATCTCCCCCCTTTGCGCATAATCGCGCCTCACTGTTCCCCAGACGCAAGCTGCCGGCCGCTACAACTGTGACCTTTGTGCACACCGTGTTGACGGGTAGCGCGCGCGACGTCATTGCCGCATCTGGTAAATCGTGGTTACACACCTACCTCAGCACTTGACACGTTTCCTTCAACAACCGTCTCTTGGTTTTTTACTACTCAGCGAACACCCGTCAAGCTCAGCGTTTAAGTCAAGAAGATTAACAGCGTTACTGAGAAAAATCGATAACCGCAAAGATGGCCGACATGGAAGATTACTTGCAGTCGGACTTCGACCCCAGCAAGGTCACCATGCCTCGCTTGCGATCGATACTTGTCACACACGATATCGGCTTTCCCGCCACAGCAAAAAAGGCGCAGCTTGTGCAGCTCGTGAACGAACAGGTCATGCCACAAGTTTCGAAGTTGCGCGCACAAAAGCTTCGCGCCAAACGGTCCAGCATGGGCATCGTGAATGCTGGCAGCGCCGAAGACGTTGGAGACTGGGACGACTCGATCATCGAGACTCCCGCGTCTGTTAGGAGAGGCAAGTCACCGCGGAAATCGTCGACACGTCTCAAGAGCGAGGAATATGACGAATCACACATGGCGACGCCACGAGTGACATCCCGACAATCGCGTGCCTCGCGTTCTGTCAGTCGCGCGCAATCACACGCCGACGACTACGAAGCTCCGAAATCTACGGCCACCCGTCGCGTGAGCCGACGGACGGTCACACCCTCTATCAAGGATGAATCAGGGGACGACAACGATAACCCCTTCTCTGATGACAACCCCTTCCAGAGTGGTGTCTCTCCTACTGGCACCGTTCAGAAAACACCTCGCAACAACTACAGGCGTCGCTTGAGCGAGATTGAGGCGGCAAAGAGTGCGCAGTCAGCGCGCCGCAGCACAGGCCAGCAAGCTGGGCTGTCAGTGTCCAAGACTAGAAGGCAGCAGCAGACACCTCAGCCAGAGTTCGACGACACCGAGGACGACAGCGACGACATGGAGCCTGGCGAAGAGTTCACGCCTGATGCACAACTCGAGCTCGAGGCCGCTGCCAGCCAGGGTGAAGTGATGCCACCGCGCAAGACATCGAGAAGTGCGGCTCAAAAAAGCAGCCGAAAAACGCCCCTAGCCGTTCTTCTCGTGACCTTGTTATCTGTGTACGCTGGCTGGTGGCGCCAAGAGAAAATTGCCGTGGGTTATTGCAACCTTGGTCGGTCGCCACAGTTTATCGTGCCTGCGGATTGGCCGATCCCCGACTCCGTGGTGCCTTTCTTGGAACCTCAATGCGAGCAATGCCCACCGCATGCCTATTGTTACGAGAACTTCGAGACGCGTTGTGAGCAAGACTTCATTCTGCGCCCGCACCCTCTATCGTTCGGCGGTCTGGTGCCTCTGCCTCCGTCGTGCGAGCCTGACGGCGAGAAGGCACGCCGTGTGAAGGCTGTTGCCGACAAGGCCATTGAGGAACTTCGTGATCGCCGGGCCAAGTTCGAGTGCGGCGAGCTCGTTGACGAGGCCGGGCACCAGCAAGACTCGCCGTCCATTGACGAAGAGGAACTCAAGGAAACAGTGAGCGCCAAGCGCAACAAGAAGCTCAACAGCGCCGAATTCGAGGACCTATGGATAGCAGCCATTGGTGAGATTACAGCTCGCGAGGAGGTTTCCGCCAAGGCTATTGAGTAAGTACATTCTCTCATCACCATGTCCTGTATGAGCTATCCGAGACATGTCACTCTTAACTTAACTGCTTCTGACTCGAGACTAATCAGATCGACTGTCTACCATGCAGAAACTCCAATTCCACCGGCTTTCCAAACCGCCAGCTCTCGTCAACCTCTCTCGCTCGCGTTTCACTCCGCTGCTCCGTCCGGCGGGCCATCCGACGCGGAGTGGAGCGATATCGACTCGCAGCTGGACTTTTAGTCATGGCCTTCATTGGTGCATTGGCAGCGCGAGCAAAATACAGAAGGCACGTCATGACTTCCAGGCAGGTTCCTGCGTTAGTCGAGACCGTCTTGACCAAATTGTTGAGCCAAAAGGAAGTTGGTGCCGAGGATGACGAGGAGGATCCCTGGCTGTTCTTACCCAACCTGCGCGATGATGTGCTTCGCTCTGTTCACTCTTTGCGCGAGCGAGAGCACATCTGGCAAAAGGTGAAGGCTGTCGTCGAGATGAACAGCAACGTCCGCACTAGTCAGCGCGAGGGCGCAAATGGCGAGTTTGGCCGTGCGTGGGAATGGATAGGGCCTCTCGGGATTGAAGGTGCTCGGAGACGACGTAGCGGGCGACAGTCCTTGCTGCCCGACTCCAATCCAGTAACGCCAGGGTCGGTGGCTGACTCTGTAGACTCGAAGAAGTGGCAAGAGTCAAGGCCTATTTACTAGGCCGTGTACGTGTTCCGCTGTTTATTACAATTCTGTTTTCTTTCGTTTGTCCTGTTCTCTCACTGTACATGTTGCTTGGGGAATCTCATGCCCTTTGATTAGTGGACGACTGTTGGATCTGGCGTTGATGGAAAGGGCGTGATTGGGATTGTCTGTGTGGGTGCCGGCTTTGATGGTCTGCAGAGTTATATGACCAAGTAATGGACGAGTGTATGTCACGGCTTGCTTTCTCATCCACGTATAGATCAGTGACGTCTTTTCAGAACCTGACGTCGGCCTTGGCTGTTGTCTCAGGCTAGCAGCGAGGCTTGCTTGCGCATACTCGCAACGATGTCTCTTGCATAAGGTAGATGCAGCAGCTCACAAATATCACACATGCGAGAAAGAGGTATTGAAAATCATTTGGCTGTTTGAGCTATGGCACAGGTCTTTATTACAAGACGGATAGTGTAACAAAGGGAAGGTCTGGTATGGGTGATCTAGCTTCTAACAAGAGGTTGGATGTTTATTGGGCCTTGGAAGAAACGATCTCTGCAGGGGTAGGTAGTTAGCACAGGCCAATAAATTAGATGTCCGGTGAAAACGTACTCTCGACATCGGCAACACTCTGCTGGAGGATCTGCTGCAGAACCTTGGGGTTCTCGAGCTCCTTCTGGACCTTGGCAATGACAGACTGAGCGAGCTCCTTCTGCTGGCGGGCCTTGACCTGACCCTCGTAGCGGACCCACGAGTCGAGGACAGACTTGGCCTCGGCGGCAATGGCAGTCTTCTGCTCCAGCTCGTAGGCCTGGTTCTCGAGCTTGGCGGTCTCCTTGGACACCTCAAAGAGGGACTTGGTGATGTCGACGACACCGCCCATCTGCTTGACGTCCTCGATGCGGGTCTTGACGGCCTCGGTGTGGTCGGCACGCGCGCTATTGAGGATGTTCTTGATTTTCTCGTTCTGCGACTCGGCCCAGGCCTTGTAGCCGGGACCGCCGTACTTGATCAGGCCGCCCCAGACGGAGATGAGGCAGAAGGCGATGATGGTCTCCTCGTTCATGACATAGTACTCGTTGCTGATGGCGTAGGCGCTGATGCCGGCGAGCGAGGACAGGATGGCCGACTTGGAGATGAGGCTGTTGCCGGGGAGGGAGTCGATGATGGACTGGGCCTTCTTCTTGGGCTCCTCGGTAGGGACGCCGCTGGCGTAGCGGGCCTGGGCGGCGGCGGCGGACGAGAGAGCAGGCAGAGCCTGGCGGGCGACCGTCGGGCGGAGGAGGGGAGCTGCGCCTGTTTGGAGAAAGTCAGTTGTGTGTCCTTTGTCCCTCCCGCAGACCGACGAAGCGGCCAATGGCGCGCGCAAAAGTTGCGGCGACCGAGGGCGACGTACCGGCAGCGCTTCGCGCCAATCGAGAGGCCATTGTGAGATGAGTTTTGATGGGGGTATCGCGGGCTTGACGTTGCCTTGGTAGCTGTGATTGAGGATGAGGTTTTATCGCGCTAGATCGGGATGTTCGCAAGGTCACGTGGCTGGCAGCCGAGTTATTACCGCTCTGGGGGCGAGCGATGCCAAAAGGGTCTCTCTGAGCAGGTGCGACCTGATTGGCTCAGAATTCAATGTCGATGAAGATTTCCTGACATTTGCGCTTGGACTCGATCGTTCATGAATGCAATATTCCTGCTCTCATACTATCTTTGAAAGTCTTTGAACATATACTCATTGCTTACCGATCTCATATTCCTTTTTCATCAGCGCTCTTGACAAGAAACAGAGCATGTCCGAGGGGATCAACTCTAGGCCCAAGCGGCCATCCAAGGCAAAGCCTGCAACAGGCGAGCCACCAAAGAAGAAGCGTCGCCCATCAGTCGAGGAAGAAAGTGACGCCATCGATAGATCTGAGGACCCCAACGCCAAGATCCTGCTCATGGAGCAAGGCATTCTTGAATCAAAGAAGAACTACAACGATATTGTAGTTCTCTTGGGCATCATGGGCGACTATGAGAGTGGCAACCCAGAGAGTATGCTGGCTACTGTGGCTCTTTCGCGGGTGTTTATGCGCCTTTTGGGACAGGGGGCGCTGGTGCCGAAACGGACGGTGTCTGACAAGCAGCTCGCCGTGGTCAATTGGCTACGAGAGCAGTTCAAGTCATTCAAGACGTTGTTGCTGTCACTGCTCAATGATGAGGAACTTGGCGTGACGGCCCTTACACTGTGCATGAGAGTGCTGCAAGCGGAAGGGCAGGTCGAGAAGGATGAATACAGCTTCCCAACTGAGTTCCTTCGACAAATTGTGCACACCGTGCTCCAGAGCGAGGATGAGGACGTCGCCAAGGCTTACACAGAGGAGTACCTTGAGCAGTTTGACGACATTCGATACCACACCTTCAGCTCCATTACTGCCATTCTTCAGGAGGTGCCAGAGGAAGACAAGGCCGACATGTTCGATGCAGTCCTCCCGATTCTCTCAGCGCTGGATGGCGTTCCAGAGTCGGCTGAAGAACTGGAAGACTGGTACATCGCACGTCCAAAGAAGAAGGCGCATAACATACGTTCAGTCCAGCAGCACAAGCGACGCGGGCAAGAGGCCTGGCTTGCCTTGATGAACATCGTGGAGACCAAGGAGCAGCGCAAGAGACTGCTGAAGCTCGTGTCCACCATCATCGCGCCCTGGTTCACCAAGCCAGAGCTTCTAGCCGATTTCCTCACCAACTCCTATGATGCTGGAGGCTCCATGTCTCTGCTGGCGCTGTCCGGTGTCTTTTATCTCATCCAAGAACGAAACTTGGATTACCCGTTGTTCTATCACAAGCTTTACTCGCTTCTTGACAACGAGATTCTACACTCGAAACACCGAGCCCCCTTTTTCCGCTTACTCAACACCTTCCTCTCGTCGACCCATCTACCAGCAGCGCTGGTTGCGAGCTTCATCAAGCGACTCTGTCGACTCTCGCTCAATGCGCCTCCATCAGCCATCGTCTTTGTCATTCCCTGGATCTACAATCAGATGCGGGAACACCCGACTTGCACTGCCATGCTTCACCGGGAAATCAGGGATCCAGACGTGAAGAAGGACCTGAAGAAGAATGGCATGGACGACCCCTTTGACCCCAACGAGACGGACCCGATGCAAACAGATGCAATCGAGAGCTCGCTTTGGGAGGTCACGCAATTGCAGTCCCACTACCACCCCAACGTGTCGACGATTGCGAAGATTTTGTCGGAGCAATTCACGAAGCAAAGTTACAACATTGAGGACTTCCTCGACCATTCTTATGCTACTGTACGTCTCACGAGAACTTCCCCAAACGTCTTGAGACCCTTGTACTGACACTTGACAGCTCCTCGACGCCGAATTGAGCAAGGAATTGAGGAAAGCACCTGCGGTGGAGTTCCACATCCCCAAACGAGTGTTTCTTCCTCAGGATGAGCCGGCAGTCAACCCTGATAGCCTGGTTGCGAAGTTGTGGGACTTTTCATAGACGCATATACCCTAAGCCTACAGGCAGCTTAAACCTACTACTAGGTTCGCACCGTTCTCGCACTTGATATATTCTTGGTCTAAGAGACTGTTCGCTTTCCATTATGCAACAGCAAGATAGGTTAAGTGCAGCTAGGTAGATCAATCCATAGCTGTCCACTTTAGCAGATTGCTCATGGACTTAACAGCGCCGGACAACTGTGGTACTGAGTGAATGCTGTATAAAATAGCTCAAGTATCTCCGTACACAAGGCGGGCGAGGCCTAAAACGGAAAAGGGTCACGCGAGCTTGTTTGTCGGCGGTGTCACTTTCAGCAACTAATCAGAGAGACGCGATTATACTTGTTTGGACAGTGCCACCAGGTTTACTTTAGACAGGAAGAGTCATCTTTCATAGTTGTTATGAGGAAAGTCAGTAGAAGGGCTGCATGGTTTCGCCGGCGGGCTAGGTAGACCCTTCGAACGAAGGGCCAACCAGAGGAATCAAACAACCAACTTTCATCACACTGACCAGACCCATACACGCTACGGATATAGAAATGCAAGATTGTTAGACATCTTGAAAGTAAGGATCTTGGTAACAGTATGTGCACGCAGCCTGCATCGTACGTTGCTCGCATGTACTAGGGACCAGACCAGCTCAAATATTACCACTGCAGCGACCAAGAAGCACAAGTCAAATTGATGGACAATTGTTGCACTCGACTGAATCCGATGGCGCTAATCGAGGATGGGTGGCCACGACTTGCATCGAGATGGTTGTTCTGGATTGACAGGAAACGACCCTGGCGATAACGAAAGACTTGTGCGGTATGTGCGAAGTGATGGTAATATCAGATATTAAGTTGCGATTAGTGCGTGGTGGCCACGCGATTGTTAGTGACATCACTGAAACCGGCGAACCTCTGATATTAAATCTTGGACCCAGAAAGCCCAGCCGGGGCTACCAGGAAAGGCTCAGCCATAGAGGTCCCATCTGAGCCCATCATCACTTGATCATCCATCATTGAGCATTTTTCCTTTTCGACCCTTTGTTATTGAAGACGGTCCAGCGGGTGCATTCACAATGCCTGGCAACGAGGGCCCCAATCGGTTCAATCCACTCAGTGGGCTCGCCAAGTCGCTCGTCGCGGAGAGGTCTGGTGCATCGCAGGCGCAATCACATGCGCCGCAGCAGCCAACATCAGCTCCCAACACAGCAGGCCAGGCATCACAAGGCACACAGGCTAAGCCTCCGAAAAAACGAAAGAACCACCGTGGGGGCAAGAAGAAGCGGCAGCGTAGGAAGAGCTTCGCCATCATAGACGATGACGAGAACCAGAGCGAGGCGAGTGGCCCCTCACGGCAGCCACTCTACCAGATCCCATCCGCCACCCTCAGCGATGCAAGCTTTGATAGCGAAGCCCTGTTAGATCATAGGTGCGCGACTTGTCCCTTCAGATCCCCCAGTCAGTGTCTAATCAGAGATGCAGAGAACACCAGCCGATGCGCGCGCGACGAAGCTCTACAGTTGGCGGTGCCTCTGCCCCCTTGCTGTCACCGTTTTCTACCAACGCGCCGGGTACTCGATTGCGAACGTCGCAGGCTGCGGGAGCAAGCGAGGAGGCCGGTGATTATTTCTCCACCGATGAGCGCGCGCCACTGCTCAGCCAGTCTGCCAGATCGCAAACTGGTCCTTCGAGCTATGGGGCTGGCGAATCGAGAGGCGGTAGACCCAAGAGCCACGGCAACTCGAGTGTATCATCCAATGCGCGACGTGCGGCGACAGCGTTCGGGGCGAAGGAGAGATATGATATCAATAACCCGCCATCTGTGCCTGGGTCGCCAACTTTCAGCGGCGTGGACCGGATGGAGATGACATTGGGCGACGTCATGATCAGGGACGAGCTCGATCTGCGCGATGCCAGTCCACGACACTCTCGCATGCCACGGGGAGGCAACGTCGATGACGAGGACGAAGACGAAGACGATGAATTGTCCGTGCTCGGCGGTGCTGTGCGCGACAACAGACCGGATCAGCGACTTGGGGAGGATGATGTGTGCTACCCAGGGCCGGACATGTCTGAGATGGGCGACGAAAGGCAAGCCACCGCCGAGGAACAAGCGCAGAGACCTCGGAGGAGGCGCGGTCAGTGGCCAGACCTCTCGATCTTGGAGGAGTGGAAGCACATGGAAAAAGAGGACCGCAGCGAGGAACGACGGGTCAAAACAATCACAGAACCGCAGCTCATCAACGGGCGGCTCCGTCCTGTCAGGAAGGGGTGGTTCGAAACAGAAGAGGACGTTCCGTTTAGGTTCACCTACTTCAACGAGGAGTTTCAGAGCACGATTCACAGCCAGACCATCTCTGAATTAGTGCAGCCTGGCGGAAGCTTTGCGGAACTATTCATCCCAGAACCCAGAGTCCTGAGCGACGATGAGAGCGAAAGTGGCGACGAGACTCCTGCACGAGCATATAGGCCGGCGGCTGGTAATGACAGCGAAAATAAGGGGTCGATTCGTACAGCGTCCTTCGCCGAGTCGAAACGCGAGGGGACCTTATCGCCGAAGCAGCAACCTCAAGAAACGGTCTCGGGGAAGAGCTCGGGTGAACAAACCCCCACGGGCCTCAAATTCCCAGAAACTGGCATACCTAAACCAGTACCATCCAACGGGAGCAAACCTAGAGCCAAGAACGTCCGCTATGGAGACCGCCCGATCTGGTGGCTCGACATTCTTTGCCCCACGGAAGCTGAGATGAAGGTCATTGCCAAAGCATTCGGCATACATCCGCTGACGGCCGAGGATATCATGCTGCAAGAAGCCCGCGAGAAAGTCGAGCTCTTCCGCAACTATTACTTTGTCAACTACCGCACCTTTGACCAGGACATCAACAGCGACAACTACCTCGAGCCCGTCAACATGTACGTTGTCGTGTTCCGCGAAGGTGTCCTGAGTTTCCATTTCTCAGTAACACCACACCCAGCCAATGTCAGACGACGCATCCGGCAGCTACGCGACTATCTCATCTTGTCGTCTGATTGGATTTCGTACGCCATTATTGACGACATCACCGACGTCTTCCAGCCCCTGATACAGAATATCGAAGATGAAGTAGACGAGATCGACGACGGGATTCTGCGCCTCCACTCAGTGGCAGAGAGGAGGATGAAGGACGCGAATCCCTCGAAAACCAACGACGAGATGACGACCGTAGCCGAGTCTACGGGAGACATGCTGAGGCGCGTGGGCGATTGCAGGAAGAGGGTCATGAGCTTGTATCGCTTGCTGGGCAACAAGGCGGATGTCATCAAGGGCTTCGCCAAGCGCTGCAACGAGCGTTGGGAGGTTGCCCCCCGTTCCGAGATTGGCCTGTATCTGGGTGATATCCAGGATCATATCATCACCATGACATCAAACCTTGGCCACTACGAGAAGTAAGTTGAGCTCTCTGTCCGTTTCGAAGATAGCACGACGCTAACGATGATGCCAGAATCCTTGCTCGTTCGCACGGCAACTACCTCGCGCAGATCAACATCCGCATGAACGAGCGCCAAGAGCAGACAGCCGACGTCCTCGGCAAGCTGACCGTCTTGGGTACCATTGTCCTGCCCATGAACATCATCACCGGTCTGTGGGGCATGAACGTATGGGTGCCTGGCCAGGAATACGAAGGCGATCTTACATGGTTCGTCTGTATCACGGCAGGCCTCATTCTGTTTGGTCTAGCCTGCTATATGATAGCCAAGCGGGTGTATAAGATTGTATAGAGGAAAGGTCACCTCGCATTTCAGGATGGATATTTACTCTCCGCGCATGTAAGGTACAACGGAACAGAAACTAGACACGGCGCGCTTGGATGGGACTACATGCTTTCACAATCATCTCCTATAGCGCTTATTGTCGAAAACCAGCGATCAAAAGTAATTATGCAATGAGAACACACATCTACGCAGGCACCAATCTCATCGGGGGCTTTGTGAGTGTTTGGATATTATTCAGTAAGTATCTTGCGGTGACCACTGGCCCCTCCCTATGTTATCTGATGATGCGCCCAAACGCCTGACCTCGAGCTCGCTAGCTTACTTCGGTGTGTGCCTTTGCGAAGCATCAACGTAAGTGTCGATGTAGACGGGCTATCACGTATTTACATGGATCGATCCTTGCTTTGGCCGACTCGGCGTATGCTATCCTATTATCATAGCCCTTGCATCACGCTCGCGACATCGCTCCCTGTGTGACGATTCATTAACGGCCAACCCCAGCAAACTGCGCTCTCAATGCCAAGATTTGCTGCCTGTCCGTCTCGGAGAGTAGCGCGATCTGTTCATCAGGCAGCGCCATGACTTGCCGCATCAGCTCATCTTGGTTCGGGAGAGCCGCCGCGGGAGGTGCAGCTGCCGGCGCAGGCGCAGGGACAGGTGTCGCGCCGTAGCCTTGGTGTGGTGGTGGCGGGTAGGGCATACCCGCGACAGGTGGTGTCTGCGTCGCGGGAGGATACCCTGGGTAGACAGGGTTGGGGACCTGGGCAGCTGGGGGCGCGCCGGCGTCCACGACGGAGGAAATCGCCTCTGGCGACACAAGACCCATGAGAAGTAGCGCCTGAAACACGGTCGCAGCGAGTTGGGGTGCTTGTTGCAGAAGCTCAATGGCCCGTTGCGGCTCGTTGGTTGCCAGCGCCTTCATCTGGGAGATGACATCGAGCACTTGCGCCGGAGGCAGGGTGTTGAGAGTCTGCGAGATGGCATCGGTGCATTTGACGCCCGGTAGAAGCTCCTTGCCCGCAGGCAATGGTGGTATGCTACCCGTCTGAAGTGCGTACGAAGCCGCATTGTTCCCACTCGCAGCATTGCCGAACGATGCTTGGTCCCTATCGTCATCGCCGGCCTTTTGCTCGTTGCTGAAATCCACTCGAAGTCGGCGGCCCATGATTTCGTAGTCGTTCAGATTTCGTACTGCTGAGGAAGCATGGTCTGGACAAGTCAGTCAGCACACGAACGAAACCGCAACGTGCAGCAAGAGCGGCCATGCATGCCGATGCTTACCTGTGTCTGGGTAGTCCAAGAAGCCAAAGCCCTTGGGTTTGCCCGTCTCCTGATCATAGACTAAGCGGAACCTCTCTACAGGTCCTGCTGTTTTAAAAATCTCGATGATCTGCTCCTCAGAAAGGCCTGCGCGGTTGCTTTGTTAGTTTGACGTGATCGCGTCGTCCGGTGCTGAGGGACGAACCGTAGGGGATATTCCCAATGAAGACGACTCTTGACGGTGGTCGTGTCGACATTGTGAAGAGCTGCTCCTTGTCCGATCGGCAGGGTGTCAAGAAGGCGCAAAAGTGACCCTCAAAGCCTCAATGGCTATCAAATGGCCTTGGCTGGGTGCGTTGTCTGTCTGTCTGCAAACGACGCTTTAGACTGACGATATCGCAATGTTTCTGATGATGCTTTTTTTCGTTATCGCGTTATATCGTCGTGTCGCTTCAGATCTCGGGTATTTTGTGCGTGAGTTGTTACAGATCGCGTAGGCAGTCAAAGATATTGGATTCGAGCCAATAATACTGATGACTTTCAAGTCGAAGCTTTGCGACAGGCGTCCCAATTCCGATGCACGTTTAGCTAGCGGCAGGAAGCGCCATATCACGTGTGGCTAATGGCGGATTTGTGGCGCATGAGCTCACCCACCTGGCAGGCAGTCAATTGTGGCGCGCCAGCATGGGAAGCTCGTAGCGGAAGGCAGCTCTCGCCTCGTCATCCCACCTTGCTCGTCCCCCATATCGCCTTTGGCATACCGCACCAACAACCGACGCAACCTGTAATTACTTCCTCACTGAGCGAATCTCCTCAGCTTCTAATATCGAGAAGCAACCGCCTAGACGATCGGTCCCATTCTCGAAGCTTGTGGAATACCTCAATAGCCCACCATGCCTGGCTTCGACTTCTCTAACTACAACCGTAACCTTGCGCTCCACGCCCAGGGAGTCCCTCTTCCCAAGGCTACCAGCACAGGCACAACCATTGTGGGATGTATCTATGATGGCGGTGTGGTGGTAAGAACATTGTTTGCTTGTGGAGAGCCATGACGCCTGACAAGTCTCAGATCGCCGCCGACACGAGAGCTACCGCTGGTCCCATCGTGGCCGACAAGAACTGCGAGAAGCTACATTACATTGCGCCCCAGATCTGGTGCGCGGGTGCCGGTACCGCCGCCGACACCGAGTTCACGACCGCCCTCATCTCCTCCCAGCTAGAGCTGCACGCCCTATCGACCGGCCGCAAGCCCCGCGTCGTCACTTGCATGACCATGCTCAAGCAGCACCTGTTCCGCTACCAGGGCCACATTGGCGCGTACCTCGTCGTCGCAGGGTGTGATCCCACGGGCACCCATCTTTTCACAGTCCACGCCCACGGCAGCACCGACAAGCTGCCCTACGTCACAATGGGTTCGGGTAGCTTGGCAGCCATGAGTGTCTTTGAGAGCCAGTGGAAGCCGGATCTCAACGAGGAGGAGGCCATCAAGCTGGCAAGCAACGCCATTCTGGCAGGTGTGTGGAACGATCTAGGATCTGGTTCAAACGTCGACGTGGCGGTCATCACAAAGGACAAGACGACTTTGAAGAGGAATTACATCACGCCCAACGAGAAGAGCGCCAAGTTGCAGAGCTACCGCTTCCCCAAGGGCACGACGGCGGTACTCAACGAGAAGATCATTAAGAAGGATGACATTGGGCGGTATGTTTCCGTGCAGGAGGTGCCTGTCGAGGGAGGGGATAAGATGGAGGTAGACGCGTGATGAGTGATCATCGCCATCGCGACGGGCATGTGATGATGAAGACGTCAGTTCTGTAATCATAGACCGGGCGACTATGAAATGAAACCACTTTGACGACACGTCTTACGCACACGCTGGACATGTAAATCACCTTGCAATCGCCACATTACTGACAAAGGAGGTATCATTTGAATTGTGAGCATGCCCTTTGCGGCACCTCAGTGTAGTAAGTAAAGTCGCGAATGCCATCTCTAAGCAGAGAGCCAACTGGCTAGGTTCCCAACTCCCATAGCGCAAGGACGGGGAAGTGAATTTGGAAGCAAGATCGCACGCTCGATGCTACGAATAACCATGCAGAAGTAAAGCCCACCAATAACGCCCTCTTCGATTTGCGTTCCAACTGGACAGCGCCGACAGCAAACCAAGCGCCAGAGCCTTATGACTTCAAGCCAAACATTGCCCTAGTGCGGGACTTGCTGCGCGACTTCTTCTTGTCCCTCTTCGGTGATTTGGCGGTGCTGCTCGAATCATCTTCCGTGTACTTGGGTTTGTGAATCCTGTTGCAAAGGTTAGCGTATGCTGGGTAGAAGCAGCCTTGGAGACTCACCAGCTATTCCCGACCATGCTCATGCCCTTGGCTTCAGCCATGCGGTAGAATCTCGCGCTCTTCTTCAGATCCTTCTTGCAGCCAATGCCTTGTGCGTAGCAGAAGCCAGCTTCCGCCAGCGCATCCACGTCACCCCACGCTTCACAAGTGTTAGTTACGCAGGCAACGCGGGGGATACAGGGTATTATTACTCACTACCAGCGATCTCGAAACATCTCAGGCCCAGGGCCTTGTCTTGTTCAATGCCCCAGCCATTCATGTGGCTGACGCCAAGCTCGTAGATGCTCAGCGCGAACTGCGCCTTGCGCGTCCTCCTCTCCACAGCATCAACGTGCTTTCCCCCCTTGGCCTGGTCCTCATCGTCGGCAATCTCTATTTGGGCGTAGTCGGCGGCCTTGCGGAGCCACGAAACGCCTTCCTTCTGGTTTGCACGCATACCCCAACCGTGTCGACATGCCAACGCATAGAGCAACATTGCTGTGGGATTATTCTGGCGGGCAGCGTAGCGCAGGTGGTATGTCGACTCTTGCAAAGACCCGTTCTCGTGACATTCGACACCTTTGGCAAGGTGCTCCTCAGCAGACATCTCGGATGCAGTCGGTGCGTTGGACCTAGCCGTCGGCGGCGGGCGTACAGTGCTGGTCGAGTCGCTGGTTCCAGTATGCGATGAGGGTGTCACGCCACGCCCCCGGAAGGGCTCATGTAGATCTGACGTGCGGGAACGACCTCTGGGCGAGTCTTCTGACGCGCGAGCCATTTCCTGCGACGGCTGGCTACGGGGAACAGGCGGGTAATCTGCAGGCAGTCTTGGATTCTCCATGCTGCTGCTGCTGCCGCGGCTAGTGTCCATGGAAGGCCTCATCACGCTGCTGAGCAGGCTTGCGGCGTCATCCGCGACCGGGCCCGATGAGCCGGCAGGTCGCAAAGGAGGCGAAGGTGGTGCTGTCGTCACAGCCCCCTGCTGTGTTGGGTGGTCCATCTGGCCCTCTGATTCATCATCTCTCTGTACCATCTTTCCTCGAGGGAGCGTAAATTTGGAGTATATGTACGAAGGGGCGCCAGGTCCGGGTGTTTCCGGGGGCTGTTGAAGAAAAGCCTCGCTGTGCATGCTGATTGAAGTCTGCGCGGATTCGTCTGCGAAGATGAAAGAAGGCTGGCTATCAGAAGATGCTTGTCGCGAGGGCATATCAAAGCTCGGCGTGCCAGCCCGGCTCATCGGCCTCGAGAAGTTGAATGATGGGCGAGGCAGGATTGACGACTCCGAGCCAACAGAGGGAGACCTTTTGAAATGACCCAGGGCAGGCGATGCCATTGTGTTCGCGAATGCAGCACTGCCCGAGGAAAGTTTACGGAGTGGAAGAGAGTGAGTGGACGCCCCCATGTTGCTGGCCACCTCATCCTCGGGCGGTAAAAGGGGCGACGACACGATACTCGATGTCCTCTGAGGAAACAGAGCTCGTGGCGGTGCCAGGCCAAGTTCGTCCATGGACCCTGGCTTCGGTCTTTCTTCCGAGTCCGGTCGGGATTCATTCTGTAAAGGAGAAGGTGGTGGTAACGAGCTGTCTTTCCGTGGACGGGGAGGCTCGAATGGCCGTTCGCGGATTGACTGCGCATCGCTCTGGATTGGCGATGGTGATCTGTCCCTTCGTGCACCAAAGAACCCGGGGTCTTCATCGATTTGACCAAGCTGCCGTCCTCGTGACGCGTTCCTCATGTGCTGTGGTACCGGTGGTGTTTCATCGTCGGGAGTGGGAGGGATGCGACTCATGCGCGGATGCATGGACTTGGGTCTTTCCGCTTCTTCAAAGGCTTCCTCGTATTCAGTCCTCAAGCCCAGGCCGGCAGAGTTCAGTTCTCCAGGCCACAGGCCGTTCTCGGATTCGGACTCATTCGACAAGGAGCGGAAATAGTCGGATCTCCCTTGCACGATCACAGGGCTTTCCATGGTCAATGGCGGCAGTCGACTGATCCTGTTGCCCTCTTTTTCGCTAGCCTTGAGTTGCTTGGCCAGCATGCGACTCTGCATAGCAAAAGCATCTAGGGGCGAGAGTTCGGGCGGTGCTTCGCCAGCGATGTGCATGCGCGGCGAGCGCAGCGGCTTTGAACTAGACGACGCATTGGATGTGTGCGAGTTCGAACGTAGGTCGAGGAGGTTAGGTCGGTGAGGTTGCGACATGATGTGCGGCGGCGTGGGTGAAGTTCAGAGTTGGACGAGTCTCGGCCATATATCGAAGCCGCGTACCAGTCTTCGCTCGATCCTAGGACCTCACGTGGCAGACGGCCAAACGATGTTCACCAGGCTCTGGCGGCTGCTCCTGTTTTTCTCGGTCGCTGGAAGATCGTCCGTCGGTTCGATTCCCGCAAGGTCTTGTTCGCTGTCTTCTCGTCTCAGCAATCACCGTGTAGTCGTGGGGCGCAGACTATAGATAGACTTCCGCAGGAGAGGCGCAGTCTCCAAGCCAACAAAGACCGGAAGGATTATTCAGATCTGGCGCTGTGTCGAGCAAGGACTGAAGGTCCTGACGTCGTATTTGCTCACGAAAAGAGTGTCGAGGGGTCGGTTGGCGATCGTGTGAGGCGATATACGGGTAACGGGTAGTCAATCACTTCAGAGGGAAGGTCGGGCGTCGTTGTTGAAGTGGAATAACCCTCGCGAACCGCTGGCTAGCCGTCAGTCCATCGACTTGCGACGGTGTTTGATCCAGACCCAAGTATTACGGAGTACCCTTCCTCCCCTTCCCTGCCCCGTGCGTTAGTGGCAGTTCCAGTTACTGTGGCGCAGGGGGTCCCAAATTAGAGTGCACAACCCGCCACACTCAACGCCCTCACCTGCTCGTTTATTTTGCGCTCTATACTCTATCAGCCCCAGTCGATGCCTTCAGGGACTTTTCGCTCGTCATTGGCAGCGTCAGCCCTTGTCTGGGGTGCATGGGGCCCGTCTCGCCAACAAAGGAGATCGCCTACAGCCAGTCGTACAGTAACAGTCTTCAACCAATCCTGATCATTATGTCTTGTCTCCTTGCGCCATGCATCCGCATTGCAAAGCAAAGCATATTTCCTGCAAATGAGCACATCTCACAATTCGCTCTTGGGTAGCGACCGTGGGGTCATTTTCAACACGAGCAGCTGACCTGCAAGCTAGCGGAGGTTTGCTTCTAATTAGCGGGTCTGGCTGCCGCCACAATTATACGGATAATAAAGTACGCAAGTACTAAACGGTGGCTCAATTTCAGCAGCATGACGCATACTTACGATATTAATACTAATCAATAATTATCCACCGGAGTCTAGAATCGTGAGATCAAGTACTTGTGGTACCCAATTAACTACTAGTATCCGTAAGTACATGTAAGTTCTCGTGCGTTGCAATTACCTCGCTACAGCTTGCGATTGACTGCCATAACGGCGAGACGTCAACCGTCCGGCGGGGTATCAGTCGTTATTCAGGGGTACCTCAAGCACTATCCGCACTGAATCTTTGTACGGAGTACGCAACAGCTGGATGATAGACGCCAAACACCCGGGTCATTCTCTTGCCTAGTAAGAATACTATATGCATGTCCAACGGGCCCGTTGGGAGGACAGGTTGTGGCCGAGGTCGTCGGCAGAACCCAACGCTGAGAGACAAGCATGAGGTTCATGTGAAGTTGAAATATCAGCTCGCCCCTGGTGCAACAAGCAATATCCGGCGCATGGAGTGAGGGGGTCCGCGGACAACACATGGTATTCGTGGGGAGCTCAAAGAAATTTACTGGGAATGGAGGCAACTAGCACAATGTTTCGTCAGTGTCACTCCCGGATGAGTATGTCGAAATCTTGCTGTTTTCATCTTCTTCGCTCCCCAAATGCCCATACCCGATTTTATACCTAACGCCTGAAACCATGCACCAAGTCAATAGTAAATCCTCAAGCCCTACATACAGTAGATACATTCCTGGATAGGTCCCCATACCCAGGCCGGCATTTACAAGTCCTTTGACCTCATCTTCTTGAGTCTCGTCGCTCCTTCAAAGAGACCACGGTCCACGGCCGCAGCTACGGTCAAGGTGCCGCCGACGATGGCGCAAAGTCCTGCAAGAAATCCGAGGAAGGTCTTGTTCTGCTCCTCGCGGTTGATGACCTTCATGGGCGAGATATCCTGACGGTATTAGCAATGGCCACCCATGTGCGGCGTGAAATTCACTCACATATGAAAAGAAGACGCCTGGAATGCCGCCTCGCGAGTGCAGGCGTTCGGCGTGGCCTTCCGCAGAGTCATCGCCACCAGACAAGCTCCTCTTATGGCTAGTCACAGAGTACTGATGGGTCTCAAGACTACCGTCTGCAGCAGTGCCCAGCATGCCAAGCTCAGCGTTCTGACTGAGGTAGCTCGTCATCTTCTGAACCTTCCGTTCCCAGCCCAGAGGTAGGAAGGACGTCGGGACGATCTTCAGGAAATACATGAAGTTGTAGTTGGGATCCCTAGTGTCCTGTCGAGTACCGTCCAGCGGGTTGGTGTGATGGTTGTTTCCAAAGACGTCCTTGCCGCCAATCTTCTGAGCAATGGATTCGGGCAGCTGGGGCCCGAAACGCAGTGAGTGAATGATGTGGGTGAAATCGTGCTTTTGACCCTTGGGCGTTTCAACGTAGTTTTTGAGATCGTGCACGTGCGTGTTGCCGTTGCTGAAACTGCGGCCCGGGGCCAGGTGGAAGTTGCCAACAACCTTGTTCACTTGGAGACTGCCCTCGATACGGCAGCCTTCAGCACGCTGTTCGTCCAGCTTCTCAGAATAATGTTCACGCTCGCACTGCTCGACGTTCTCGCCTCGACCAAAAGCCCACGAAGCCTGTGCGTAGGCCTCCCTGACCTCGTCGCAAGTGTTGCAGCAGCCTGGCTTGACGGCGTTCGAGGGGCTGGGTGCTCCGTAGCAGTCGCCACAGTACTCGGGATCCAGATGAAGGGCCGAATCGTCGTGAAGAGCGAGTGTCTTAACGTCGATGACCTTTCCGCCCTTTGACAGAGGTTGGAGACGGACTTTGTTGATTCCATGCTTGACGCCATGTTGTTGTTCGCCCGACACATCCATCACGTCCAAGGTCAGCAATTCGCATGGCATCTTGGGGAATGTCATGTTGAGATGAATCTCCATGCGTTCGCCTTGCAAGCCATGTCAGTGCGGCTCGAAACGGGCCATGTCGACCAGGGGTCAATTCTTACCTCTGCCCTTGTCCACGATCAGCTCGGGATGTATCACCGTCTTCCTGTAGTCCGCCCATTCACCCCACGCCAGGATCAACACCACCAGCAGTGACACAATTGTCACTATGCCTCCGCTAGTGGTTCGTACGCGGGCTTCGTCGACCGTCTTGGTGAAGGCATCAAGCCTTGTGAATCTGGATCGGGGAGGCATGTTGGAGTACGCTGGGGCCGCGAGACCAAGGACCGGGCGAGTTGCCTGAACCGCGCTGTGCTTAGTTGTCGCAAGAAAGCAGAGCAATAGGCAATTGAAATGAATGTGGTATTGTCAATTGCCTCCTGCAAGATCGCGGAAGAGCAGCCACAAGGAAATGAATGGAGGCGCCAAAGAATCGCAAAGGAGAGCTGTCGAAGTTGAGGCCACCGTCGCAAATACGGAGACCCTGCCGACTGGACTCCAGCTTGGAGATACGTACCTTACGTAGACAGACAGACCCCTGTCGCCAGGGGACCTTGACTTGCCGTTTCAGGCCGTCCGGTCGTCTAACCGGCAGATCTTCGGACTTGTACAGTGCGCCTACTGTCGCTGGAATCTGGATGCACATGTATGCAAGAGGGCGTGATTGAAGGGGCCTTGCATAGACTCGGAAAGTAATACTTTGATTCCACGGCTCGTGAAATTCTCGTATATGTTTGGACAGCCAATGTACCATCTGCAGGCTGTCCGTGAGTTGGTATGTTCTTCAAGTTCAATGATGATAAATGGGTGGAGCCGGTATGTGACTGGGTCAACAATAGGTTAGTCAAGGTACACGTTCACTGCGGGTAGGCGCGATCGCTCCAAGCTCCAGGTTCAAAAAAGTTCAATCGCACCTGCAGCTGCCGCCAAGCCGAGTTGCCTGTATCTTGTAACTACCAGCCTCATCAACAAAAGAAAGCCCAGTCATCCAACCAACCGCGCTCCGTCACCAGCGCATTACGGCGAGAATTGACTGTCTTGCCCGACCTACATCTGCCGTCTGCACGAAACGCAGGACCTCGACAAGCTTCGGTAGACGCGCCCGACCTCCCAGCGCACGCGAGATCCGAAAGTCAAAAGCACGACAGCAAAGTCAGAGTCGATATACAGCAACCACATATGCTACTTCGATAAAGGCGCGTCAACATGGCCTCTGCTGGGTTTGCGGGCGCTGCCGCTGGGTCCCAGGCCGTTGGACCTGACTTGCAGACCATACAGACAGACGTGAGTTTTACCTCTAGGATGCTACGGGACCTGGCCACTGACATGGACGCTATAGGAAATTGGCTTCAGATCCATCAATGGTGAAGCCAAGGTTCGCCTGACCTCAGCGTGGACGAAGCTGCCCGAACCGACTGCCAGCCTCCTCAGTGTTGCGTCCGGAAGGGGCCTCGTAGCCGCCGCTGGCCCAGATTACATCACGATAGCGACAACCGACAAGGTCCGCAAGGCATTTGAGAGTCCCAAGGATGGTGACTCTGAAGTGCGCAGTTTCGAGCCCGAGCTCAAGCTGCAGATGCCCATGCGCGTCTCTCATCTCGCGTTCACGGCCGACGAGAACTACCTGATCCTCTCCGCAGAGGCCGGAGGCGGTCTTGCAGTATATGAGGTGCAAAGCCTGATGTCTGGAAACACGAATTCGGCTTTTGAACTCCCCACAAACGGAGAGTCGCTGCGCGGCCTAATACCCAACCCTACAGCTGAGAAGGCAGAGCTCTGTGCGGCGGTGACAACGAATGGCAACTTGTGCATGGCAAATCTGAAAGAGCGCGCGTTGAGCAATCCTCTGCTGTCCCAAGTAAGCTGTGCGGGATGGAGCGCAAAAGGCAAACAACTCTGTGCCGGACTCTCAGACGGGACCATTCGCCAGTTAACACCAGAAGGGGAGAGCAAGGCTGAGATCCCCAGGCCGCCTAGCGCAGACAACCATTACGGTAATTCCCATCATCCAAGTACCAAGCCAACAGCTGGCTAACTATCGCAGTGTCATCCCTCATCTGGTTGGAGAACCACTTATGGCTTGCTATATATTTAAGCAACGGTACCTCATCCCCGAGCTCGGTGTACAACATCATCATCCGCGAACCTCCGTCGAAATTTGGCTTCCAGAGAATCTCGGATCCTGTAGAGCCATTCAACGCGGAGAAACCACCTCACCACGCGCTCTTGCGCTTGCGCGACTTCCCCCCTGACCTACAAGACCTTCTCATCATTGCATCCACAGCCAACCCCGACATTGGGCTTCTCAGCAGATCAAAAAAGCCACTTGCCTCAGATCAACCCGCCGATTCTATCACTGGTGTTTTCACGACCACCGAAATGCTCGAGGACACCTCAAGGCCTACCCTGCCGATGACCGACTCTATGGATGACTCCGTTCCCGTTGGTATCGCGCTGGATTTGTCAAGCAAGGAAAAGGTCTATCGCCCAATTCCTGCAGACGAGGAGCTGAACGAATCTGCTACTCCGCTCCCTGGTCTTTGGGCTCTCACACACGAAGGTCTGCTGTGCTCATGGTGGTGCGTCTACAACGACGCTGTGAAAAAGGGCGTCGCATACCCCCATTTGGCAGCGGCAGATGGCGCAGCAAGTGGAATGGCCCTCAACGCAGCTCCAGCCTCCACGACGACTAGTGCTCCTTTCGGAAGCGCAGGAGGCTCTCCCTTCGGGCAACCATCAGCTCCAGCCGCTCCATCCTTTGGTTCTTCGTCGCAGCTAGGTGCAAAGCCATCGTTATGGGGTAGTGCTGGGGCCTCAGGCGCCTCGCCTCAGACAGGCGGCGCAGCCTTTGGGCAGTCAGGATTCGGCGGTGCTACGTCTCCCTCGGGGCCTGCTTTCGGCAAGCCGAGTACTTTTGGCCAGTCGTCGCAAGTTGGCATCAGAAGCTCACCCTGGGCGAATGGCAGTAGCGCTGCACCTGCCTTTGGACAGACCGGTTTCTCTAGCTTCGGGTCGAAAAGCCCAGGGGCCAGCCCTTTCGCTGCCGCCGCGGGAGGCTCGTCAACCCAACAGGAATCGGGGGGGTTCTCCGGTTTCGCGAGTAAAGGTGGATTTGGCTCTTTGGCAGCGAACACCGAAGGCTCTAGCGTCCTAGGTGGCAGTTCCCAGCCAAGTGCCTTCGGTGCGCCTGCTCAGTCCAGCAGCAGTCCTTTTGGTTCAACAAGCACCGAAAACAAGCCAAGTGTTTTTGGAGCACCGAGCCAACCCAACTCGAGCAATTTTGGAGGTGGCGCCAATGCGAGCCCGTTCGGGTCAGCAGGGGCCAGCCAGCAACCGAGCGTCTTTGGGACTGGAAGCTCAACAAAGCCCAATCCATTTGCCCCGTCCGACGAATCAACAAAGTCACCTTTCGGCTCGCAAAAATTCGAATTGAAGAGCTCGTTCAAGCCAGATGCGTCAGCCGGAAACGAAAACGAGACGAACAAACCAAGCACAGAGTCTGGTGGAAGCATGTTTGGCAATGGTTTTGGGTCAGCTCTTGACTCGGCGAGCAAGACCCCAGCGACACCGGCCAAGGACAGTGAAATGGACGATGAGCCGTCGGAAGAGCAGACTCCGCAGCCCACTCCTCGCCAGAATGTACTCGGCTCGCAGCAAAGCCCCGAGTCGACCACGCCGCAGAACACACCAGGAGCCTTCCGACTGGGTGGCTCGGGGACCGCTGGAAGCTCGCCAGCCCCTGGGTCTTCCTTGTTCGGCCAGCCTACGCCGGCCCCTAATACTGGCAAGAGCCTCTTCGGAGCCAAGATTGGTCCCTCGCAATCGTCTGGGCTAAACCCATTCAGCCCACAGAAGACAGCGCCTCAGTCCCAGGAGGCTGAGCCTCCTTTGCCACCGGACCCCACGAGCAAACCAAACTATCCAGTGGGAGACTCCTCGGCGTCCTCGGCAGCATCGACTGCGCCAAAGACCAGCGCTGAGCCCAGCAATGAGCCTGCAAAGGCGGAAGATGCGCCACTGCCACCCGACTTTGCGCCATCCAAGCCGAAAAGCCAGCCAACGTCGGAGGGCGGGGCAGGAAAGGAAAGCCAGAGCAAGCCCGATGACGCTCCTCTACCACCGGACTTCACCAAACCGTCGAACCCTTTCGCAGCGCCCAAAGCAGCAGCAAAGGCACCTGTCTCCGTCTTCGACCAAGGGAAGGCGAACAATGCTTCGGATCCCAATAACCCCTTTGCTAAGTACTTGCAAGCACCCGTGGATGGGCCGGATTCGGACGAAGAGGACAGCAACCTGGATGATGATGGCTCGGACGAGGATGGCGGTGATGGGGACGAAGAAGAAGAAGAAGAAGACGAGAATGAAGAAGTGGAAGATGAGGAAGAGGGCGAGGAGGAAGGCGAGGATGAGACTGGGGAGGTTACGGATGACGACGCTGAGGGTGAGGGAGAAGACGACAACATCACGTCTGAAGGCAGCGGAGTTGATGTTGCAAAGGATCTAAGCCCCGAAAGTAGTGGGCTCCATGCAACTTACACTCCCCAAGGCTCCTTCCAGGAGGATGTGGAGTCTACCACCCCAGCGACTGCCCAGCCCAGTCAACAGCGTCCTAAAGCATCCTTATTTGGGCAGCTTGGTCAAAGCACACCGATCTTCCCTCGGCCCCAGGAGAGCAGCCCCAGGTCGCCTAGCCCTGTGCGGGCAGCAGTACCAAACCGCTTGCTGCGCCCCGAGCAGAACCGGTCGGTGAGTGCGCCGGGGATGGCCTCGCAAATGATCAAGCCCAGAGGTGCCCAACCTGCGTCCCAACAGACGGCCGGTGGCGAGCGCGAGCAACCAATCGAGGACCCCCTTGCCAGGAGGCACAGGCTGGCCAAAGAGCGACGTGAGAAAGAAGAAGCCCAACCGCTGGTTGACGAAGACGACGAGCAGGTCAAGGCGCTGCTGGCATCCGAAGTACAGGGCAAGCTAGTTCTGGACGAGTTTGTTGCCCATGTCAACACGGCGCCACCGGCACAGGATAGCATACCTGCCCAGGTGGAAGCCGTATACCGGGACATCAACTCAATGATCGACACAGTCGGGCTGAACTCGCGTTCGGTCAAGGAATTCATCAAGGGACACACGGACAACCGGCTTGAGAACGGACGCAACAAGGAGGACTTTGAGATTGTTGAGGACTGGGTACTCTGCGAGGTGGACGAGCTCGGCCGGATCTTGGACAACGACATGCCTCATGATCTGCAACAAGGCCGCGTGACTGGACTCGACGCCAAACTAGAGGCATGCCAGCATCTCGCACGCGAAATTCACCGGGTCAAAGCAAAATGCGCCGATCTCGATAAGATCAAGGCGGCTAGAACGAGCGCGGACGAGACCGAGGCCACGCTAGCCTTGCCGCTCACGGCTGAGCAGGCGGCGCAGCAGAACGAGCTTCGACGGATTCTGAAGGAGTTCTCCAAGCTCTTGGCTGAAGCCGAGAGTGCTCTGTCGATCTTGAGGACACGACTGGCGTCCGCTTCGGGGTCGTCAGGAAAACGGACCGGCAACATGCCCACAGTGGAGGCGGTCATGCGGACCATTGCGAAGATGACGGCCATGGCGGAAAAGCGCAGTGGCGACGTGGATGTACTGGAGACGCAGCTCCGCAAGATGCGTCTGTCGTCCGCGGGGCGCGATGCGACACCGACGGCGACGCCGCAGGGTAGGAAGAGCGTCATGTTCTCGCCAGAGCCAGTGACGCCGTCACGAAGCTTCCGACACAGCTTCTCTGCCAGCGTTGGGTCGATGGGCAGCCCGGCCAGGTCGTCCACGCCGCGCAAGAAGCTCAGCGGGTTCAGCGCGGAGGAGAAGAAGGCGCTGATGGACAAGCGGGCCAGGAGGCAGGCTGTGTTGGGTATGTTGAAGGACCACGTGGAGAAGAAGGGCGTGCAGGTCTGGAACACGGAGGACATTGATTAGGGGTTTTGGGCAGGGAATTGGAACACGGGTCCTGGATTGTGTAGTCGAGATGTGTGTAGGTATTACTATGTATCTGGCCAAAGCGGCTATTGTGCGATCCAGACTGTCACTATCTGCAGTGACCACTGGTATTATACGTAGTACCTTGCGGAGTAACTTAGTATTAGTTGGAGAGTCCGAGGGTGGGTTCTCGCGTGAGACGGAGACGGACCCGCCGACCGACCGACTGTCTGACCTCCAAAAAAGTTGCTGCTTGTCTTGTCCGACCGGATTTGGAGGGGCATCGAAAAATTTCCCGTCCCATCCAACTAATTGATCCTCACCCAGCGCAACACGCACCATGGCGCCGTCAAAAAAGGCCAGCTGGACGAACGCGCCAGACGCCGAGGAGCTGGAGAAGCGCAATGTTCGATTTCCCTTCCCCCCGAGTCGCTGCGATCGCCGTCAATGGCTGCTAACACGAGACAGACCGTGGGCATCCACAAGGAGACCGTGACGCACAACACGTCGGTCGACTTCCCAGGCCACGTCCCTGGCGAGGATGAGGCCTTTTCTCTCGATCGGTTCCGCGATGGCTTCAGCGTCGATTTCCACCAGAACGATCCCTTCCACGCCTCCTTCTCGCTCATGGGCATCGACGCCTCCCTCTCCAACGCCTTCCGCCGCATCCTCATCTCCGAGATCCCCACGCTCGCCGTCGAGAACGTCTTCATCGAGATCAACACCTCGGTCGTCCAGGACGAGGTCCTCGCCCACCGCCTGGGCCTCATCCCCTTCAAGGGCGGCAAGGAAGGGCTGCACAACTTCCTCAAGTGGCACAAGAAGCCCGAGCCCGGGGAGGACGCGTACAAGAACTCGTACGACTGGAACACCGTCTCGCTCGAGCTCAACGTCAAGTGCACCCTCAACGAGGACGCCGACCCGCGCGAGGACGACCCCCGCAAGGCCTACCACAACGCCCACGTCTACGCCCGCGACATTGTCTTCACCCCCACCGGCGCCCAGGAGCAGTACTTTGCCGGCGACGACGCCATCGCCCCCGTCCACCCGGACATTCTCATCGCCAAGATGCGGCCCGGCCAACAGATCGGCCTGACCATGCACATGCACAAGGGCATCGGCGCCGACCACGCCAAGTTCTCCCCCGTCGCCACCGCCTCCTACCGCCTCATGCCCATCATCAAGATCACACGCCCCATCCTGGGCGCCGACGCTGAAAAGTTCCAAAAGTGCTTCCCCGACGGCGTCATTGCGCTCGACAAGGTCTCCGCCAAGGAAGCCGCCCAGAAAGGCAGCGGCTACGAGAGCCATGTTGGCGAGACAAAGGCCGTCGTCGCTGACCCCATGCGCGACACGGTCAGCAGGGAGTGCCTCCGGCACCCCGAGTTTGAGGGCAAGGTCAAACTCGGGCGGCGCCGGGACCACTTCATCTTCTCCATTGAGAGCTCGGGCCAGTGGGACAGCGACGAGCTGTTTATGGAGTCGGTCAAGCACATGAAGCTCAAGTGCAAGAAGCTGGAGCAGCAGGTCATGGACATGGTGCGGTAAGGGCAGCCCAACATACATGCATGTGTGCATTCATTATATGATCTGCTGTACAACACTGGCCGGAGTTTTTACGTCTTGTATTTTTGTCGCAACCATGCGCTTTTGGTTTCTGGGTACTAGAGAGGGAAATGAAATGATACCATGATAACACCTCGACTTCTGTACTCGTCTTTATACGTCCATGTCATTTGAAGACCAGCGTAAAGTCAAACTGCGTGTTGAACGCCTTGTCCGTCACATTCACGTACTGCCCATCCGCCAGACCCAGCTCGAGCAGGGTCTTTGTCAGGTTCGGCCTCGTCTGCTCCTCCAGCTGGGGCGGCGCTCGCATGTACAGCGACTTGCCCTCGGCGCGTATCGAGGGCGCCTTAAGCTGTGCCTCGGGGCGTACGGCGAGCGAGTCGAGGAGCTCCTGCAGCGTGGCCTTGGGGTCGACGTCCAGGGGCCGGCTCTGGTCGCTGCACACGGGACAGTCCGGTTTCTTCTGGTGGTTGAACGTGTAGGTGTAGATGCTGTCGTTGCCCGAGTACATCATGTAGTTGTTCTCGAAGCCGAAGCACTGCACCGAGCTCGTCGCGAGCTTAAAGGCCTCGTTGCAGCAGGCGGCGGCGATGATGGCGTTTGTCGAGGCAATGGCCGGGATGATGTTCTTGATGGTGCCCTGGGTGAGCGAGTAGGTGACGCCTTGAATGCCAAACTCGTCGGCACGCTTCGCCGCCTTGTTGAACAGCCAGGTGACGTGCTCCGGGTCGTCCTTGTCCAGCTTGGGGAAGGGCTTCTCCTGGTCCCAGGCAATGACGTGCGCCCACTCGATGCAGTGCTCCGGCTGGCGAGGGATCGAGGCGATGGTGCACAGCGGTACCGCGGCGCGTGGCGCGTGCATGTCCAGCTGGCACTCGATGCACGATGTGAACGAGGGCAGCACCACGCGCGCCTGGCCTTTGAACCCCTCCGTCCCACCATCGATGAGAGGCTTGATGGAATCCGGGTCGCCCTCCTCGGCAATGGTGACGAGCGTGCTGTTGATCCACCGCCGGGCCTCGATGCTGTCCAGTCCGCAGATGACAAGCTGAAACTGGCGGTAGAAGTCGAGGTCGAATTCTTGAATCGTCTTGTTGTGTGCTGTGATGGAGACGCCCTTGACGCGGTTCATGACGAATCGCGCGGCCACCTCCGCCTTGTAGCTGCCGACATCTGCCTTGCGGAAGAGGAACTGGCGGTTGAGGTTTGATATGTCAATGGTATCTAGGCATGTGAGCACTCAATGTCTTCACTCGGGGATCGATCCAAGGATAACAACGGCGGACGCACCCATGTCTATCACGTGGATGTCCCTGAAGCGGGACATGGCGAGGTTCTTGAGGATCTCGCACCCTAGACCGCCCGCGCCACTACAGATTTCCATCGTCAGGAGATTTTCCAGCGGGATGGAAGCTCAGGGAGATACTGACATGACTCTGTCGTTGGGGTCAGCACGGTCACACGAGAGGCGGCGAAAACGCGGGAGGATCGATCATCCGACATACAGGACTTTGAAGTTGTCGAACATTCGCATGGCGACCTCATCTTGCGAGGCCGGGTCGGTAAAGGGCCCAGGCGTCTGGCGAATATGGTTGAGATACTTCCTAATGGCCGTCAGGACGAGTGAGCGCCGACTGCAGTCACGGGCGACGTGTCTCACCATCTCGCATCTTCGTCGACTGGCGATGCAGCGCTCGCCGGCGCCTGTGTTGCCACACTCATCGTGAGCCTTAGAAGAGACTGGACTGGGGAACGATGGCACGGTAGAGGACAGTGTGCCGCCGCATGATTAGGTGATATGAGTGAGTGCTCGCGATGCGGTATGGATCGGTAGGTTCGGTGAGGCTCGGTGCAGTTCGGTGAAGGTGGGGCAAGGCATCCACCGCTGCGTCTTCCAAGGTACGATGATGAAGCTGCGCTCGGTGAGGAAGTAGCTTGCCTTTCTCATCTCACATCAGTGGGCAAACCCAGCAACCCTGTCTGACAATGACCTGCCCGTATCATGGACGAGTTGTTCACCCCAATTAGCACGACCTACCTCAAGGCAGCTAAGGACCGAGATGGCGAGCCTCTCTTCACGGAATCGAAGCCATCAGGGCATGCACAAACTCCAGCTCAGCCCGTCCAGATCACGACCCCAGACGCGGCATTGGATGGTCTGAAAGCCCAGCCGGACTATGACCAGCTCATATTGATTTTGAAGTACCTTTGTCGTTCCCCGGGAGCGACCGGTTCATTCAGTCTACACACACCAAGTCCGACGAGCGCTGCAATCATTCACACCTTGGTGACTGAAATTGCACCTAATTATTGGACTCTCTTCCAGGAACACTCCAACGAGGATGATGCGGGCGCGCGCGACCTGGAGCTTTTCGTCGACTGCCTGCGCAGCGTGGCTGGCATCAATGCCCTGGTGGCCAATGTGAAAGCGCTGTTGCAGGAGATCAAGCTGTCGGCCAGGGATTCGAAGAGACCGGACTCGAAGCTGCACATCTCGATATTCATTGAGCTGTTAGCAACCGTACTTCACGGCAACGGGGCTATCAGGCGCGTGTGGGCTGCCTCTACTACCGGACTTCCCACCGAGGCTCTAAGGACCGCACAAAGCCAATCGCTGCTATCAATACTGACGAGTGGCAAGTTGCTTTCTGTAGCTGCGGAGGCTGCCGCCGTCATTGGCCGTGATGGCGTGAAGCAGGACCGCCGGTGGCTTGCAGATGGACCTGACTTCAGTCGCTGGCTTGGTAGAAACATTGTAGCCTGTGTCAGGAGCCAGCATCAAGAGCCACCCGTTTTGTTTGGCTCCAGCCTATTCCATAGAGGACTCTCTCTTGGTTACGCAGGTGAGTCGCATACACCAATAATGTGTTCTAGCTAACCCGCGATAGACAGTTTGATCGAGACTCTCATCAACGACCTACTTCTCCACCGAGATGGTGACCCGGAGCTGTTCGGCAGCGTATGCCTCAGCTCGCCCTCGCAAACACGAAAAGTGCTAGCAAACCTACTGCAACATCTCTCGGCCAGGTTTCTGGACAACCTGGCGCCCCAGGAGGAGGGCTCTGGCCCGACCATCGCCGCTGTCGCTGGCCTTATACACTCTGTCACAAAGGGTCACGATAGCCGCGTGCAGGAATTAGTGCGATGGTGCACCTCTGCTTCCGGAGCGGGTCTCGGACATGCCACTGCTCTGCGTAGATCCGTCATCGCCGTGCTCGCGCAGGACAGAGACATCATCACGGATGTCCTGGAGAAGAGCCTCGCGCAGTTTGGAGATGAGCTGTATCTTCGACACGCAGCTATTCTTCAGCAGGACGGTAAGTCTATTGCCCTCACAAAATATCCCTATCACTGATGCATTGGATAGTGCACGCCGAGATCCTGCTTTTGAGCGCAGGTTATGTTTCACGAGCCTCGCCCGTCAAGCTGGCCATGCTTCTTCGCTCAAGTGCCTACCTCGGCAGTATCTCAAATCGAATTGCGGCCACCCAGGTTCGGGCTCGCTTCCTCGGCATGGTGGTGGGCGAGGTCCTCTCCTCGCTGGTGGACAGCAAGGGCCAGAAGCTTGATTTCAAGATGGAGGAGCTTGATACGGAGGACGCGGCTCGCCTCAAAGCCTTGGCCCAAGTGAAAGACGTCGTTGGGTCTTCCGAAGTCCTGCTGGGCCCAGAGCTGCCAGTCGTGCACAAGGTGCAAACCACGTCTCAACGCTCGAAGCCGCCAAAGAAGAAGCCGAAACCGGCTCTAGAGCCAATAACAGCTGTCAAGCCTCGCGCTATCATCGAGATAGTCGATGATTCAGACGAGGAGGAGGATGACGACTTGGTGCCGTATGCCAAAGGCTCGGATCCCGAGGACTCGGATGACGATGCGACACTTGTCCAGCGAAACAAGCTCAGACCGCCGGTATACGTGCGTGACCTCATAAACTATTTCCGGGACTCAGAGAACTACGACAAGCAGAAGTTAGCCCTGCAGACAGCGCCGTCGCTGCTTCGAAGGAAAGCCAATTACGGTACTGAAGTCAGCGCGCATGCCGATGAGCTTGCAAACTTGATGGTGGCTGTCCAGGACAAGTTCGAGATGGAGGACTTTGACGATCTGAAGCTGCAGTCCCTCGTTGCCTTGGTGGCCTCTCAGCCAAAGACCATGGGGCCGTGGTTTGCGCGTACGTTCTTTCAGGGAGACTACTCCCTGTCGCAGCGTACGACGATCCTCGTCACTCTCGGTCTCGCTGCACGGGAGCTGGCCGGGTACGACGAATTCAAGCATCAGGTCGATGCTTTCGCGTCCAAGCGACTGCCAGAGAAAATAGAGAGGCTTTATCTAAGCGACCAAGCGCACAGCAACACAGTACTTGGGTCAGATCTCAAGGCCTTACCCCCTACGGCGCTAGACAACGTCACGCGGTCCCTGACATCAACATTCCTCGAGCCTCTCGCGGCAGAAGCAGCCGACTCATCACTGGGCCCCGACGCTCTCAAGCTACAGACCTTCACCAAACGCTACAAGTCCTCGGCGGCGAAGAAACCCCGTGTCCGCGCCATACCCAACACCACAGCGGCTCTTCTCGCCGGGTCCTTCTTCTCGCCATTGACAGCCCACTTCCAAGTCGCCCTTCGATCCGCCAAGCCTGTCGTACTCAACCAGGTCTTGCTTGGCGTTTACCTTCAGACTCTCGGCGTCATCATCCACGCGGCTGGGCCGTCGACACTGTCACTACCGCAACTGACGTCCGAGCTGTGGGATCTCCTGTTGAGTGTACGGCAGCATGTCCTCGGCGCCCTGAGTTCACTCAAGGGCTGGCTCGTGGCCATGTCGTCCTTGATCGCCGTCAACGAGGGCGACATGCGGGGCCTGTGCCAGTCACAAGGTCGCCAAGTAGTCGAGACGCGGGAATGGGTGAGCGGTGTGTTTGAAAGGACCCGGGGCGATGACGGCGGCGAGGAGAATGACGTGAAGATGCTGGCTGCCGGTGTGCTAATCAGACTAGGGGAGGCGATGGAGAAGTATCAGGCGCTACTCATGGGGGATATGATCGGATTTTGATTCTGTTTATTCTTTTACAAGTACACAATGTCGGGAGCTCAGCTCTCGTGCGCCCAACGCCTTATCTATGTTTCCCTGAAGATACCCAGAACACCTTGCACTTGTCTCTATATACGTGTGTAGCAACACCGAACCAACCCCCCATGCAAACGTGGAAATCTCAAATGACATCGCTTTCTGACTCGGATCTAGTCGAGCCAGTGCTCCTCACCGGCAGCCCATCGAGGTAGACGTTGAGATGATGGAGGTGATCCTCGAGACACATGGCCATCCGTCGAAGCTCCTCCTTGACCTCGTGATTCGAAGCCTGGCCCTGCAACACCTGTGGTGAAGGCGCCATGGGCAGTAGAGGCATCATGGGCCCGTTGTTCTGCAAAGGTTGGTCCATGTGTTGCTGCAGGTGCTGCTGCGACAGCGATGGCGGGAAATACGCCAAGTCTTGCGGTCCTCCCGCCTGGGGCGTGGGACCATCCATGTCCTCGGGATCCATGTCGGCAAATTGACTCAATGAATACGGCCGTGCTTGCTCGGTGACCGGTATCTTGGTCAAGCTGTGGTCCTGGGCATGGGGATCCTGGAAGGATGGTATATCTGCGACGGCGGTGGCGAACTCGGAGTCGTCGGAGACGTATATCGACGGCTCGCGATACGTCGACGGTGTGGCGTAGACCGAAGTGTGCTTTTCGAGTTCAAAGGGGTTCGCGCTGCCGAACTCGGAGCCGCTGACGGAGCCCGCCTCCGAGTGAGACGTCGAGGGCCTCGTCCAGTCGTTGGAGGGGCGCGAGAAATGCGGTATGGGGGCTACGAGGCCCATGTCCAGGTCAATGAGACTGCCCACGGAGGCGCGGTTGTCCATGTGACGCGGCTGAGAAGGCGCCAGGTCGTTGAACGTCGCCGACGCGGGAATGGGCTCCGTGGGGCGATGGAGAAGTGATGGTCGGCCCGCGTTGGGGACCGGATCGTCGGTCATGGGGAACTTGAAGGCCGCCGGGTTCGCGGGGGCATCGGTCGCCGGGAACTTGAATACCTCGGGGTTCGCTGAGGCGGGCGGCGGCGGCGCCGCAGAAGGAAACTTCCAGTCTTGCGTTCGGCGGTCTCCTTTCCCGCCGTCGATGGGGTCACTGAGCGGTGCGTCGTCGTAATTGTGCGGACCGCCATAGTCGTTGTAGTCCAGAGAGGTACGGGAACCGCCTGCCCGTATTGTGTTCAGATCGACAAAGCTTGCCAAGTCACCTCCATCCAGCGACGCGTCTAGGTCGATGAGGGATTCGCGCACATCGGGGGCTGGTGCTGAGTCGTTTCGTAGGGGCAGATCTGAGGCTGGCAAGGGATACATTTCGCTCTCTGGAAAGGGGCCCAGCCTGCCATAGTATGTTCTGGAGTTGTCCTCATAGTTGGACATTGTGTTCGGGTCAAAGATCTTCTCGAGAGGTGCCTTGATCGATGGTAGCTGTGGGGGCGGGCGTCTACGCCCCTTGACCTTTTGTTGCTGTGGCCGCGCCGTCTCTTCGAAAGACTTTTCCTGGCTGTAGTCGACATTGTTGCCGTACGCGTCAAAGACGTCTTGGGCGTTGCCGTCTTTGAAGACTTGCCGGTCGAAGTCTGCGGTTGTGCTAAAGTTCCATTCGTCGTTGGGCATCGCCGCCAAATCGAGGTCATCCGGCGCCTGCGCACCGCCTAGGCCGAATAAAGACCTGCGTGCTCCTCCTTGTGACTCCCACAGCTTGAATCCCTTGACCAGGTGGGACAAGGTATGCGTCGGATACGCTTCACTGGTGTTGTGGATGTATCCGTGACGCTGAATCTGATTGATTGTGGGCCTTTTCGCCGGGTCATGCTGAAGGCAGTACGAAATCAGGTCTTTCAGTCCTGGGGAATACTGGTCGCCCTCAAGCCGAGGGGTGTTGTTCTTCAGGTAGTTGCCTAGCTTGGAAAAGTCCATGCCTGCATGGACATTGGGAGGGAGGCCCGACGCGATTTCGTACACCATGGCGCCAAAGGCCCAGATGTCGACTTCGGTTCCATACGAGGCTGAATCATCAAACAGTTCCGGCGCCATCCAGTGCGGTGTGCCGATCACTGTGGTCCTCTTGTCGAATTTGGTCTCGATGACGCCGGCCACGCCAAAGTCGCAAAGCTGGACGTCGCCCGGCTCGGTGACGAGTACATTGGCGCATTTGATGTCTCGATGAATGATGCCTTGGCCGTGGACCCAGAATATCGCTTCGGCTGTCTCGCGCAAGATCGGGATGACCCATTTCTCTTGCAATCCTCCAGGTGCCGTGGGCTGCATGAGGGTCGACACGCTGCCTCCAGCGCAATACTCGGTGATCATCCACATTGACTGAGCCACAGGCAGGGCTTCAATGACCAGGTTGACGTTCTTGGCTCCTGTCCGTCCCAGCATCTGAAGCGCGTTGATTTCTTTCAGAAGGTCACTGTAGGTATCTGCGAGTCGTGGGTCCATTGTATCGCTCTGATCAATGTCGATGATCTTGACCGCAACGAGTTGCTTCGTCTTCAGTGCAGTTGCTTTGTAGACTCGGCCAAAACTGCCCTTGCCGATGAGTTCTGACAGTTGGTAAGGCGGCGGCTCTTTGCCTCCCTTGTTGCAGTCTTCCACAACTCTCTTCTGCATCTTGACCGCATCGTTGATGGCCTTTTGCTTGGTTGCCGACGTCTCCGGCCAGCGCACTTGAAGGGACGCCATGTTCAATAAGGGTTCCGGCTCACGCTGACGCGTGAGACCGGTGGTTGAGGTTGGGACGATCAGGAGTCCGATGAATGGGTGAAGCCATACGCTCTCACATCATGGAGCCAACCAGGCTGCTCGAGGGACCAGGCCTGTCGATGTGTGCGAGGGAAGTATGCGCCACCAGGACGTGGAAAAGAATGTATATCAGAGTCAATCGTTCATTAATCACATGAACACTTGACCTGAATGTGAGTTGCTGGAAACTTGAAGGTTGACTTAGGGGTTCAGGCGCTAACCTCTTTCAGCCACAAAGTGGAAGGCTCCAGTCGGCAGAATGATGCCCCGTCCCGCGTCGATATACGTGACCTTCTATGCCAAGGGGTAATTGATGTTCGGAATGAAAGGCTCTGTAACGAAGTTATGCTGCCATTGGCGTCCAAGTCTACCTGGTAAAGATAGAGTAGCGCGCCGACGCGTCGAAGAGGAACCATCAATCTTGCAATTGACATGATGAATGCTTGTTCCGGCACACAGTCTGCTTAGGCGGATTCAGTCCCTCCCTCGGGTGTGTCCTGCAAATGAGCTACCATCTTCGCATGGATGCCTTCCCACCCGGCTTCACAGGTTCCTCGGACTGTGCCGATCAAGAGTCTGGAGCACTTGATTACAACGTCCTCGACCAGCTCATGGCCTCGATCTCCCTCATGGACTTCCCAGACCGTCTCCATGGTCACCCCAAGGGGACTTCTAATCCTCACAAAAGTCCCTTCTTCAATATCAACAAACTCGTATATGCTCTCCACGTCTTTGTCCCAGAGACCGGCCGGCAGAGCGTGTACGCGATCTGTCACTTTGTAGCACTCGGGTTCCCGCCCGGCCAGAGCTGCAACTTTGCGCTCTGATGGGATGACAGGTGCTGGTGAAGACATTGGGACCTTGTCGTAGGAAACCATATGAGGATCACACTCGATGAAAAATGTGTGTTTCTGAAGCAGACGTATGAGCGTTTCAGGGCTGGCCGACGCTGGCAGCACGGTTTTGTGCTGCAAAGCCGCGGTCGTGTTCAGCATAGCTATCGTTATCAGCACGAACCGACGCGGTCTCTCTTTTATATAGTATCTCACATGACATGGCGAGGTTGCACTTCAAGTTTCGGCACGATTACCATACGATGGTTGAGCAAGCCGATGATTGTTTACAGTTGGCTGGTACGTCCCCTTGTGCCAGAATTGGGGTAACCTTGGGAGTTTCTATCTGCAACCGCCTCCGCAAGATCGCATGCATAATCTGACGATCAAGTCACCTCCTAGATTGGGCCTGGTCAAATTCGTGCCTGATATGATTATCATGGGCAGCAATCGAACACAATGGCAGCGACAAACCGAGTGAAGGTATCTCTAGGGTAGTCAACTGGCAATCACAAAGGCGATTAGCAGACCAACGCCACTTACAGTCACATGACTTCGCGTTTGCCCCCCGTTGAGGTTATACGGGTCATTAACGCGGGTCGTGTTGGCGGGCCCTCCCCTCAACGTCAACTTTTGAGACCCTGTACTTACGTCCTTGGCAACCGACAGGCACGAGTACAATGTCATGGACAGACACTCCCAGTTGAACCCATCCATGGCCTCGACTGTTTCCACCCAAATACCTTCTTCACCATGCCAGCATCTACCAAAGCACGTCGCACGCAGACCCCGAAGAAACAAACCAAACTCAGCGCAGCCAGCTTCACAGCGAATGCCAAACCAGCCAAGCCAGTCAAACCGAATACTAGCATACTTAGCTTCTTCAAGAAGACAGAAAAACCCGAGGATTCGCTTTTTATTGGGGAAGCCGGGGCGGCAAACGGCGCAAATGGAGAACCCGAAGACGATCTGTATGGAGCAGATGAAGAGAGCCGCTTTAACGAGATCTCGTCACCAGTGAAGAGGAGGAGGGTCAGTGTGGACAATCGCGAAGACACAAAGCAAGCAAAATTTCAAAATGAAGAATCGGACGCAAGGGTGGCAAACAGCGTTGCTCTTGTGAGCGAACGCAAAGTGCGACCTAAAGGCCCCTTCATCATGGATTCTGACTCCGAGGGCGACGAGGACGAGGACGAAGGCAAAGACGAAGAGGAAGCAAGCACCATAAATCTCACCGGAGACGGTGCCCGACACCAAATTGGTCGCGCAACAGCTGAAGCTGATCCAGCGTTCTCGTCGTCCACTCCCGTCAAAAAGGAATTTCCGGATCCCGAGTCCACGACCAAGACGACACCGAACAATATTCCATCACTCAAACATGAAGAGTCATCTTGCGTGTCGAACGCAGACGACAATGACTTTGGGGAGACCCATGAATTCGATGATGCTGATCTTGACGGTTTTGCTGGTGAAGAGCTACGTGAAATGCGCTTCATGCGAGAGCAGGCCCTCCTGGAAGCCGCTGAACTCGAAGCGGCCGGCGCATTTGATGGCGAGGAAGTCATGGAAGACTTTATCGACGATGGGACTGCAGACCAATGCTGCCCAATGTGCCAAGGGAGCATTGCCGGTCTCTCGTCCGATGAAGCGTCCCGTCATGTCAATCTGTGCATCGATGGTAATGCGCCGCCTTTGATCAAGGATGAGCCATCGAGTGCTGCTGCTGTAGCCACTTTCGCGACGCGCGTCAAGTCAAAGCCCACCGATGCCGTTCCGCCAGCCCCTAGTGTTGACTCGGCGGACATCAGCAAGAGGTTCTCAAAATCAGCCGTGCCCAGGCCTGCGCAGGTCAACCCCCTGGAGGGCAGTTCGTCATCCAAGGGCGCCTCTAGGTCGGCTTTCTCCAAGCTCATGTCCAACAACGCCGAGGATACAGCATGGGCAGCGGCGGCAGCCACGGAAAAAGCAAGTCGAGGCCGCCCGGCGTACGAGCGCACTTGTCCCTTTTACAAGATCATGCCAGGCTTTTCGATCTGTGTCGATGCGTTCCGCTACGGGGCGATCGAGGGATGCCAGGCCTATTTCCTGAGCCATTTCCACAGCGATCATTACATTGGCCTCACGGCAAGGTGGACTCATGGTCCAATATACTGTAGCAAGGTCACAGGAAGCCTGGTCCGTAAGCAGCTCGGCACTGCTGGCAAGTGGGTGGTCGCGATTGACTTTGACCGATCCTACGAGATACCGGGAACGGATGGGGCGACTGTAACCATGATTCCAGCAAACCACTGCCCAGGCAGTTCTCTTTTCTTGTTTGAGAAGAAGATGACTACTGCCGGCAATAGTCATATGAAGCGCATACTGCATTGCGGAGATTTCCGCGCATGTCCTGCGCACGTTGAGCATCCCCTATTACGGCCGGAACTCACCGATACTGTCTCGGGCAAAATCAGGCAGCAGAAGATAGATATATGCTATCTCGACACGACATATCTCAATCCGCGGTACTCCTTCCCACCGCAAGACGATGTTATCCAAGCTTGCGCAGATCTATGCGCCAACATGTCTGCTGATCCCAAGTGCAAGGACGACGTGTGGGAGAGATCGGCCAAAGCCCTGGGTACGCCTGCTGTGAGCAAATACTTCAACACCGTCAACGCCAAAACAGAGGAACAAGAAAAGAACCCACCAAAGCAGCGTCTGCTGGTCATATGCGGCACATACTCGATTGGAAAAGAACGAATATGTCTTGCCATTGCCCAGGCACTCAATTCCAAGATATTTGTGTCACCTGGCAAAATGAAGATCTGCAAACAGCTGGATATCCCTGAGCTCACAGAACGACTCACTTCGGACCCGATCGAGGCGCAAGTGCACATGCAGATGCTCATGGAGATTCGCGCCGAGACCTTGCAAGAGTATCTCAATGGGTACAAGCCACACTTCAGTCGAATCGTCGGATTCAGACCAAGTGGTTGGAATTTCCGACCAACCAATTCTAAAGCCATTGGCGCAAACACGCCCCCTAGCACGATTCCTTCCGAACAGATCCTTCATAGTACAGGGTGGCGGACGAGATTCGGATACAAGGACTTTGTCGCTCAAAGAGGTAGCACAGGGGAAGCCATGTGCTTCGGCGTGCCATACTCCGAGCATAGTAGTTTCCGCGAACTCGCCTTGTTTGTCATGAGCTTGAGGATCGAGAAGGTCATTCCCACAGTCAACGTTGGCAGCGAGCAGTCACGGACACGGATGAAAGCTTGGATAGATCGGTGGATATCGGAGCGTAGGCGGTGTGGATTGGTCAACCCAGTAGTCGAAGGAAGGGATCCAGACATCGTTCAGGGTGAAATGTGGGATGCCAAACCAGGCAAAGGTGGCCGAGTCTTGTGGTAGATCTCATTGTATCATAACCTGCATAGCGCTCGGTGTCGCCTGTATGACCTGTTCCAACGCCTCAAATGCATGCCAGAAACCCCCCCGTGATGTGTGCGACCTCGGCGTGGACTGGCGCAAGGCGCGGCCTTTGTTGTTCATTTCCAAAGTAAGAAATCCCATCCTTTATTTTGCCTTTGATTGCTGCGCGGCTGCCTCTGTGAATGTGTCAGTGATGTCCGCACCCAGTTTCCACGTATCGCTGGACGAACCTCTCCGTGTCGCATCCTCAAGCAGTTGTGTGTCCACAGACCCGGCGGGTAGGTGAACATATCTCACCACGGATCCGCGGATAAAGACGTTCTTGACCGAGCTCTGTGGCATGTCAGTTCCGATCTCAGCTTTTTTTTTTGTTGAGAACACGTACGAGGTGAGGATATTTGAGTTCCTCCACCACCGATATGTCATCGAGCTTGATGTTGAGATACTGGTCCACGCTTTTGAGGGTCCCGCGAAGCTGAATGTCGTTCTTGAGCTCGACGGTCACCTCATGGTCGATGAGCGTCTTGAAGAAGCTGAAAAGCTGTCAGCACATGCGCAGACCACCAGCCGTGATGAGAGCTGCGTTTCGGCATTAGTTGACGCACCTGAAGAATAGCATGGTTGATGAGTTGAGTTTGAGTACAGGTGGTCGGTAGAAACCGAGAGGGGCGCCGTCGCAGTTTTTGGAATAGGTTCTCGACCGAAAATCTCAAACTCGTCAATCAAACGGACTAAAAAGCGTACTGTCTCGTGCTTGGGGGACTGATGATGGCGCGATGGGTGATGAACAGCATCATGGTCACAGTGTGACGCCCAAGTCTGCAGCACGTGTCACGTGATCACAAACGCCGCCCGGATACCTTACACTCTCATCTCATCAAGGCTTCATGCTTCATTGGTGTTCATATCATTCACGTGTCAATGTGTAAAACTTTATGAGTCGCAATGACAATTAAATGAACACAACCCTTGCGCATATTTTATAGGTGCCATTCCTACTGTTGTATGCATTGGGTCTAATTGTGACCGTGCTAGTGATATCCTGAACGCCAGTGCCCGCGCCTTCTATGCTACATCAACAAACGTCCTCTTCTTTGCGCCCCTCTCATCATTCTCCTCTGTCCAGTTCTCATCGACATAGTCCTTGACGCTCGCCTCCCGAACCTGCATACCCACGATTTTGAGGGCTGCAATGTTCACGCCCATCTCGTCCTTTTGCCTCTTCAACGACGCGCGCAGATTCATCCGGATACCATCTAACATGACCCTCATCGTGCGGCTGGCGACGACCTGTCGATGGTGCGTCTTGAGCATGAAGAACAAGATGCGACAGGTAAGAGGGATGTTCATGGAGCGCATCGCAAAGATGTTGAGGAATGTGAAGAGCATGGGAACAGTCGAAAAAGGCAGGACGAGCAAGGCATCGTGCAGAGCAGCAGCCTTGATGCGCTGAAGCACGGACAGCACATGCTGCTCGGCGCTGATGTTGCCCAGAGCTAGGAAGATGGGGTTGCGCTGAGGATAGGGCGCATGAGGGTCGGTGAGCTTGGCCTGTTCGTACTCTTTCATGATATTGAGGTCAGCGATGCCGAGCTCGAGGGCCTCGGTGATGCGCTCTCCTGCCATGAGGGTCTCGGTGGTATGCTTGCTGGCGGCACCGATCTCGTCGTCGTCGGCGACGTCCTCGTCCTTCTCCAGTGACTGCGTGAGCGTGCTCTCGTACAGCTCCTCAATCTCTTTCTCGCGCTCTTCTTCGAGGAAAATCTGCTCGTCTGTCTCATCCCAGACCCGGATGCTCTTGTCATGGCCCGCACTCACGAGAAAGTTTCCACTGTGACTGATTGCAATGGACCAAACTTCGCCGTGATGCCCGTCCAGACGTTGGATCTGCTCGAACTTGTCCGCGTCCCAGTAACGGATTGTCTTATCCTTACTGCTACTGAAGAAATGGTGGCCATTACCGTCGGAATTGTGCGGCACGAAAGCGACCTGGAGAATACTGTCCTTGTGTCCGAACAGTGCCTTGTGGCAGTCGCCAAAGTCCAGACCCCATACTCGAATGTTCTTGTCTGCCGAGCTGGTGACAATGAGCTTGCTGTCGTAAGATATGTCCATGCTCAGCACAGGTAGCTTGTGGCCGTAAAGGTTGAGATATAGCTTGAGCGTGTCCACGAAGAACACCTTGACTGTGTTGTCCAGTAGGGCCACTGCTATAATCTTCGAATCCGGAGAGAACTTCAAGCTCAGGACATCGTCTGACACCTTCAGGATCTTGGCTTGCACCAGCTTGAGTTTTGATGTGGTCCGTGTGGTGCCAAGAACTTCTTCCTGTACAATCTTAAAGTTCCAGAATTTGGCTGACTTGTCTGCACTCCCGGACACCACCGAGCGCCCATCTGGGTGCAGAGCAAGTGCCCAGATGGCCCCGTCGTGTGCCTGGACACTGTCCAGTAGTGATGCTGAAGCAACGTCGAACAGCTGCAACTCTCCGCTCTTGGTACCAACGACGACAACCTTGTCGCCGGGCAGGAAGGAACAGCAAAGGGCGTAGCCACAGTCAAACGTCCTGATGCAACTCTGCGTCTTGACGTTCCATATTTTGAGTGTGCCGTTGGATGCGGATGCCAGCATCTTGTCGTCGGAGCTCAGTGACAGAGCGCGTATGTCTGTTCGGTGACCTGGCAGTTCCACCGAGAGAGCTCGGGTGTAATCTGGAGCGTCATCTTTGCTCTTGCGATCGCTCTTCTCTTTGACTGGGGTCGTGTAGTATTCGATCTGGTTGTTCGTGGTCCCAACGACTAGATTGAGATCCTTGTGTCCGCTGCCGTGCGCCCAGTCCGTGGATCGAACCTTGCCGCCGGTCCTGACCGTGACATAGAGCACAAAAATATCACTGGTGTCGGCTGTGGAAATGTCGCCATCTTTTTCATCTCCATTCTCCACGGTCTCATCCTCCTGCTTTGCGTCCTTTGTCTTCTCGCGACGACGCCTCCTTTTTCTTGCGAGTCCTTTCCTAACCTCTGCATCTGATCTCATCCGCCAGATCTCGGCGGCCTTCTCTGAGCCATGCACTACAAAGTAGTCACGCTTGGGGTGGAAGATAACTTCGGTCGTGCGGTCTTTGCCCAGGCGATGGAGGGTTCCTCGATCTCGTAGGAAATGTGTCGTGGCTGTCTCGACCTGGCGAGCGCTCGCGGCCAACCCGGCGGAATCGAGCGACCACACCTTCATCTCGCCATCGTTGCCAGCTGTGATGCACCCGCTCAGATCCGGGGAGATTCCCAGCGCCCAACACTCGCCATTGGTCTGGGAGATGTGCGTTTCGATGCAGTGTCGTGACGAAAGATCCCAGAGCTTTAGCAGAGAGTCCTTCCCCGTGGTGACGAGGAACCCTTCGTGGGCGCTCTCGCCATCAACCACCATCGCCTGCGCTCCATCTTCATCCTGCACTTCGGGTTCTGGCTCGACAAAGGCCAGGCCGGTGATTTGGTCCTTGTGTCCTCGCAGCTTGAACTGCCCTACTTCGGCCACCAGATCCCAAAGGATGACATCCGTGTCTTTCGAACCACTCGCCAGCCTCACTCCGGACTTGTCAAAGGCCAACTTCGTCACGGCAGACTTGTGGCCATTGAAATTGACTATCACCGTCGCAATCTTGCTGTCCCACAGGCGGATGCTTCCATCTTCGTATCCAACGGCGAAAAAGTCGGGATCGGTTCGGCTTTGGGCTATCGCGGTGACGGGGTCGGTGCAGCGCTCATCTTTCCAGCGGCTCAGGAGTTCGCCTTTCTTGATATCCCAGCACAGCACCTCTTCATTCGCAGCCACGACTACCTGGCCGGCACTGGCGCCATTGCGATCCTTGGATTGCCAGACGAGATTGGAGGTGGCCGAGGCGACAACACCAAAGGATTTGGCGTGCTCGTACTTTCTGCAGGCAATTAGTTCGGAGAGCTTCTCAGAAGAGCTCGGCGATGCTTACAGGTATGACTTGACCATATTGCCCTCCAAGTCAGGTGCTATGCAATCCCAATCAACTCAACCAGGTATAGAAGCTTAACTTTGCGACAGGTCTGGCTCAAAGGTGGGATATTTTTTTCTCTTATCGATAATGGCCGCCCTTCCAGACGAACCCACCGTTGCTTCGGCCGCGACGCGCCTCGATTCGCAGTCACGTGGGTGTCCTCCTCTGACGTCCTCCTCGACAGCTGAGCCACCGTTCCGGCCCCACCTCAATCGTCAGACAGCTCCAACCTCCAGGGACACCTCGCAACGGGCCCAACGAGTGACAACGACAGCCGTCACAATGCTCTTGCTTGACTACCAGAACGTTCTCATTGAGTCTGTTCTCAAGGAACGATTCGCACAGTACAATGCCACACCCCAGCGCCACGTACCGCAGCCGGGAAGCTAACATCCTCTCCCAGAGATGCCCCTCCCGCTTCCATTGACCAGACTGTTTCCGACTTCGACGGCGTAACTTTCCACATCTCGACCCCCGAAACGAAGACAAAGATCCTGCTGTCAATTCAAATAAGATGCTTCCGAGACTTAGTCCAGCACGGCGCTGAACAAGTCCTCCAGCGCGAATACGGCGACTACGTGACCAGCACCGAACCAGGCTATGATTTCTCCGTTCTGATCGATGTGGAGGGGATCACGGGCGAGAAGGGTAGGGCTTGATCCGGTGGTCGTTCTCAGGACGGCATGTGCTGACATCGTACCAGAGGAACGCGATGCATTGGCACTCAAGTTTGCCCTGCTGAAGCGCAATGCTATGGCTGCGCCGTTTGAGGCTGCGTACCAGGAATACTACCAGCTCAAGGAGGAGGCTTCGAAATTCACTTCCGAGGAGGCTCCCAAGGGCGTTCTGGAAGGAGGGCAGGTCAAGGCGATCCACTACCGTGAGGAGGAAGCCATTTACGTCAAGGCGAGCCACGACCGAGTCACGGTGATTTTCAGCACCATCTTCCGCGAAGAAACCGACAGAGTATTTGGAAAGGTCTTCATCCAGGAGTTTGTGGACGCAAGGCGGAGGGCTATCCAGAATGCGCCGCAGGTGCTGTTCAGGAACGACCCACCTCTGGAACTACAAGGTGTGCCTGGGATCAAGACGACAGACGGGGAGAAGGTTGGCTACGTCACATTTGGTACGCATTCCCGCCGCATTTACAGGGCCTGTGCTAATGACACTAGTGCTCTTCCCTCGCCATCTGACGCCTCAGCGTATGGAAGATGTGATCTCGCACATCCAGACATTCCGCGATTACTTCCATTACCACATCAAGGCCTCGAAAGCATACATCCACTCCCGAATGCGCAAGCGCACAGCCGACTTCCTTCAAGGTTTGTGCCCTGGAATCCGATTACGAACAAAAGAATATCTTACTGACGAGTGTAGTGCTGCGCCGCGCCCGGCCCGAGAACGAAGAAAAAGAGAGGAAGACGGCCAGTGGAAGGACATTCAAGGTCCAGGGCAGTTGAGTGCCAGCTCTTGCTACAGCTGCGACAGGTGCACTCGGCTTGGGCGTAGGCCCAGGGCCATCAGTGGAGCTGCCTGGTATTCACATAAATTTAAGCGTATAAATACACATTTGACTCACCTACACACTCCGGTGAGGCTATCCTACCTAAGTACCAATTGGCACCAGTTGTGCGAGATGACAAGCATGGCGCAAGCGGGACCAGGTTGACTGCCAGTGCAGTCACCACTCACCAGCGAGGTGAATTGTGGGGAATCAGATCGATCTGGGGAAACTCCAACGCGCACCCCGTCGCGCTACGTAAAAAAGTGTGGTCTGCCCACCGCTCTCTGCATCACACTGTAAGAAGTCAACGGCACTGCGCCCGCATGGTCGATCAAGACCATGGTATGGCCTTTCGGTTCGGCGAAGACTCCAAAGGACGCTGAGTCGGCAGAGCGAAAGCCGGTCTCATGGGTTGAGTCCGTGAACGACCACAATCAGTTCCAGGCTGCTAAGGAATGGGCACCCGTCGTGCTCTTTTCGCTCGCCAGTCTTGGGGCACTCCAGCTTTACGTCAACTTTCTTCGTCGCATCCCCGGCGCCGGCTACGTGCGCCCCGACTACTTCCACAAGCGGAGCATCTACGGCCGGGTCACCAGTGTCGGTGATGGCGACAACTTTCACTTGTTCCACACGCCTGGAGGTAGAGCTGTTGGGTGGGGATGGCTGAGAAAGGTGCCCGAGGGCAGGAAAGATCTCAAAGATCGAACTGTAGGCATTGTATGCCAAAGTTGGGCGATCCGCGACGCTGACAGCTCACTCAGATCTCTGTGCGAATCGCCGGCGTCGATGCACCCGAATGCGCCCATTTCGGCCGTCCAGCCCAACCGTACTCGTCCGAAGCCTTAGAATGGTTGCGAGGCTACATTCTGCATCGCAACGTGCGGGCCTATGTCTACAAGAAAGACCATTACGACCGGATCGTGGCCTCGGTGTTCGTTAGGCGATGGCTCATACGACGAAACGTTGGGCTGGAGATGGTCAAGGCAGGACTCGCGACCACATACGAGGCGAAGTCGGGCGGTGAATATGGCGGTAACAAGGCTGCACTGGAAAAGGCGGAGGCAAGGGCGAAGAAGAAGAAGCTAGGCATGTGGTCGGTTACGAAGAAGGACTTTGAAACCCCTCGCGACTACAAGACCAAATGGCAGGGCAAATAGACAAGTGATAGTCCATAGAAAGACGTCCTAGACAGTGAGTTGGCAATGATCAAGATCCAATATGGAGTTCTTGTCAGGTCATCAAGCGTGAGATATGTAGTAGGGTGGCAAGTTGGCCAGTACTCGGTAGCTGGCTGTGGCTAATGGTCAAAGATGCGATACCTGGCGCAAAGTTCGCCAGGAGCTTCCAACAGCTCGACAGGCCATAACAGGCAAGGGATTGAAGTCAACCCTTGCGCAGAAACCTGTAGGGTTTATCGTCGTGCGTCTGGATACCGAATGCGATGATATGACTTTTGCTGCACATGCGCGCAAAGCTGGTTGGGGGTTGATCATTGGATCCCAAGAGCCGGGCCAAGACTGGAGGTCTGACCCCTGGCATACGATCCCGATGCAGGGGCTGGTATCCGTACCGCAAGACAAGCTGCTGAACAACGAGGGGTTCAAACATCAAAGGAAGGCCTCTGTCCGACGTTTTCTGTTCGAGTTTGCTCGTCCTTGTACGGAGTACGGATAATACTCATCAATCCGCTGCGGATGATTCTCGTCCCTCGCTATCACAGTCGCTCATTCTCACTCTCGTTTACAACTCACCCAGCATTCATTCCTTCGCAGACCCCAGCGGCAGCTCACGCTGCGCCAGAAGCTACTACGACTGATAAAAATTAGGTACGGTGTATTATTCATTATCCGCGATGTTCATTGTCACTTGGTTCAGTACTTTGCGGAGGATGAAATCGAAAGCTGGGACTGTCACTATGCTTTCACTAGCAACTTCGCAGGTCCCTGTACCGAGCTTGTGCTACGCCAGCCCCCTCCCCAAAGCGAATGCATGACTTAGCCCCGGCTTTGCTACTTGAAGTCGAATGATTGAACCTTTTCTCGTCAACAGACTTGTATTATTAGTTTATGACCAATCTCGAAGCTACACTAAGGACCACGATTGCCTTTGAGATCTTGAAAGATTAGCGCGACTAACTTGTTGTGGATTAGTGGCCTCTTTCTCACACCCCGACGTCAAAGCCAATTTCCCTCAATTCTTGGCTCCACCAATCTCCGGCAGGCAGTGCACGACTCTTGCTCCAGTCGCTCGTTGTCTAGCCCATCCTCACCCAAGTTCCAACTTCCAGCCTCTGCTGAGCTTGACGCCATTCGTTCTTTCCACCGTCACTTTCAACCACGCGACGCTCATCGACGCGATCCCGACGACGCTCTCAGGACCGACTGAGCTCGCGGTAATTAGTCGATTGCGTGTCACGTAGCACCACACACTCCTTTCATCCTTTTCACCGACCGACTTTCGACACGCTCTTTTTCACTACTATCGATTCTCGAGACCGCCGCCCCTACGGTCCCACGTTGATCCAGAATTCCTCACCACCCGTTGTTAAATTCCTGCCGTTGCCATGGTCCTCTGCTGAACGACTGGACGCCACTCGACAGTTCTGTGACGCTTGGAGCCCCATTCGACACCTGCTTTGACAGGCGGCCAGCTTCGAGCAACGCAGTCATAACTTCATCGAGGATTTGACGCGACAACGATGCGAATACAACGAGGACCGCGCTATGCGGCGAAGCGCCTTGGACTTGGACTAGCTGCCTTCGCCGCGTGGGCACCTCTGGCAGCAAACTCTCTCACCTTCGAACCTGCACCATCAGCAAATCTCGACCTCTCAGATCTCGGACGAATTGGTGTTGCGGGTGATTTCAATGGCATCTCCTTGTACGAGTACGAAGGCCAGAATGGCAGGCCTCCCAGCCGCAATGGAAGCGAGTCCCTACTGGGCATGCTTCCAAATGGCGCGCTCACATCCATAGTATCGGCGGATGCTTCGATACGCGCAATGTGCACGTTCGCGCTCAGTAACGGGAAACTGCAGGGTGTGGTCATAGGCGGAAACTTTACGAGCCTGGACGGCATCGAGTCAACTGCCGCTGCTCTCTACAACCCCGAGACAGGGAGTGTCAGCCCACTTGACGGGCTCAAAGGCGAAGTCAACGCTCTCTATTGCGACAATGACAGAGACACGGTCTATGTCGGGGGAAGCTTCAGTGGAGCCGCCTCGAGAAATGCGATTGCCTGGTACGCCGACCAAGGCTGGACCAACCTGCCTTTCGCCGGATTCAATGGACCTGTCGAAGCCATCTCCAAGTCCTCAAGTGGCCACATCATATTTGGAGGCAGCTTCACAGGCTTGGGCAATGCCAGTACGCCTCGCGAACCCGACGGCCAAGCGATTAACTTGTCAACTGCAAATATCACCGCTATAAATAGCGCCTCCGACAACGGCAACCCACAGGACATTGTTTGTGCGGGAGGCTCGGAAGATGGAGGAACTTGGCTAGTCCAGGACAACACACCTGGGTTCTGGGAGGCAGACTTTGGTTTCGGCTTCGAGCCTACGAAGCTCAGGCTGTGGAACGCTGGTCAGGACGGCCGTGGTACTAAGACCTTTCGCTTTCTCGCCTTCCCCATCAACGGGATCATGAACCTTACCTACATCGACCCTGCTTCCGGGGAAAACAGGACCTGCACCAGCGAATGCCCTCTCAGCAACGATGCTGACGTCAAGTATCAGGACTTTCACTTTGTCAACAAGGTCGGAATGAACAGGTTTCAAATCGCCATATCGGAGTGGTATGGGTCTGGCGCCGGCCTTGCTGGCATCGAGCTTTTCCAGGATGATATATTTGCATACGCCGTCAATGACTTCAACGAACCATCTTGCGGTGGGATCCAGCATCCAGCTAACGCGACAACCACCGGCCCCTGGCGTGAGTCACCGTCACTACAGAGCAGCTCGAAATATCTCACAGCAGAACTCGGCGATACCGCTTCCGACTCGGCCAAGGTCGTCTTCGTTCCGAATATCATTGAGTCCGGTAACTACTCTGTCAACATGTACACTCCTGGCTGCGCCCCCGACGAAACCTGTGATCGCAGAGGTCGTGTCAACGTGACCGGTACCATGTCCTCAAGTCGGGACGACGCAGATTTCAGCCGCGTCTTGTACCAGACCAACAACTACGACAAGTACGACCAGATCTATTTTGGCTACATTGAAAAGACCTCGGATAGCTTCCAGCCCACTGTCACACTGTCGCCTTTCGAAGGGGAAGATATCAATGACCAGATCATCGTTGCCCAGAGAGTCGGGTTTCTGTTGATCAATTCGACTGGTGGGCTCAATGGCCTCTTCGACTATAATCCCAGCAATGCGGATGTGGATCCATCCGACTTTGCGGACTTCCCCGTGAACGAGCTTGGGGCCTCTTTCGACGAGAACACGGGCGTCAAGACTCTTGTAGCCCACGACGACATGATGTTTATTGGTGGCAACTTCACTTCAGCCGACCATGAAAATATCGTCGCTATCACAAGTGACGATAAAGTGCGCAATCTCAACGGCGGACTGAACAGTCAGGTGCTCAGCATGTACAGCAACGATGGTCAACTGTATGCTGGAGGTGATTTTACAAAGTCTCAAGACGATGGCAGCAAAAGTCTAGAGCACGTTGCCGTCTACAATGTCAAGGACGACAGCTGGAGCCCGCTCGGTGGTGGTGTGAACGGCAGGGTCCAGCACGTTGTACCTTTCCAAGTCAACCTCACGGATGACAAAACGGAAAATGCGATTGCTTTCTCCGGATCTTTCACTGAGATCAACAGCTTCGAAGACAACGATTCCATAACGGTGAATGGGCTTGCCATCTGGATGCCGTCGGAAAAGAACTGGCTCCAAAACGTTGGAGGATCAACCCCGATTTACAGTGGCAAGCTCACCACAAGCCTCCTGGACATACCAGATGCTGACCCTCTGTATGCGGGCTCGATATCTTCTGCTCAAGTCGGGGCCAACGGTGCAGTGACGCTGAACGACAATGGTTTAGGCCAGTTTCCGCTGACACTCGGATCTCCCGCTGCATCGTCTTCATCGCAAAACAGACGCCGGGATCTCTTTTCCGATGACTCCACGGCCGGTGTCCTGACTGGAACATTCTTTGACGACGACGATTTCAACCTGACGATCCTAGCTGGCCACTTTACTGTCCAGCCATCCAAAGGCGAGACAATTAACAACCTCGTCATCATCGACGCCAATGATAAGGATTCGATCTCCGGCCTCGGCAGCGGCATCTCTGCCGACTCGAGCTTCATCGCGGTCGAAGTCAGTGGGAAGACATTGTACGCCGGCGGCCGAGTCAGTGGCACTGTCGACGACAAAGAAATCGGCGGCATCGTTGCCTATAACCTCGAATCAAAAGCTTTCGGTGTGCAACCGCCCTCGATTACTGGGGCGAATGCAACAGTTGCTGCCATAAGTACACGACCCGATCGAGACTCTGACATCTTCGTCGGAGGGTCCTTCACCAGAGCAGGTGCTCTGGACTGCCCAGGAATCTGTCTTTACAACGTCGACTCGTCTCAGTGGATCCGCCCCGGTAGCAACGTGGGCGGAGATGTGTACAGTCTGATGTGGTCTGACAAGAAGACTTTGATCGTCGGAGGGGACTTGCAGAATACCACTGGACACGTTCCTCTGGCAGTGTACAAACCCGATGACGAAGCCTGGGAGCCGTTTCCTTCCGCTGACTCTGTGCCCGGCCCTGTCCAAGTGATGACACCAGGCTCAAGCGACAGTGATCAAATCTGGGTCGCTGGTGTTAGCACTGAGGACAGCTCACTGTTTCTGATGAAATACGATGGCGACAAATGGCAAACTGCCAAACACTCACTGGGGTCGGAAACGGTGATCCACAGTCTGCAAGTTTTCTCAACAACAGAGGGACACGACAAGAACGACCTCCTGAACAACAAGGAAGTGCTGATGCTCACCGGCTCTCTCCAACTCCCGGATTTCGGCATGGCATCAGCAGCTATCTACAACGGCACGCACTTTCAGCCATATGCCATCACCACCAGCTCCAACGGCGACCCGAGCATGATTGCCAAGATTTTTTCGCAGAAGGACAACTTCTTCTCCAGCGGGAAAAGCCATATGGCCCTGGGCTTCGTCGTTCTGATTGGTTTGGCCATCTCACTCGGCATCATTCTGCTCATTGTGGTGGCCGGCATCGTTCTTGACCGCTTACGCAAGCGTCGTGAGGGCTATACTCCCGCACCAACCTCGATGTACGATCGAGGCAGTGGCATCATACGGGTCCCGCCGGGGGAGCTCTTCCAATCTCTCGGAAGAGGCCGTTCCGGCGCACCCCAGGTATAACCACTCGACGACTGTTACGGTTAATTATGTGCATTGCGTTTGGCGTTTGGAAAGGATGGCGTTACGGAATTACTTCACTGAACCCAGGAGGTTCCGGGGAAGGAAGCCTCGAAAAGCGACTCTGGTTTTCAGGACCGCTACATACCCGATCGCCTTGATTTTTTCCCTTTGATTTACAAGGCTACGGACACCATTGTCAGTAATGTCTAACACATTAACTCCGTGCATCTTTGTGTGCAGCGGTGAACTCTCTTTTTCGATGTTTTTCCTACTTGTGTTTCATTTCAAGGCCTCGCTGTCTCCCATGGACTGACTGACGAGATGCAAATTTGGAGCGGACGTGGACGGATGGGATCATCAATGCTTGTACTGCGTCTCAAGCCTACATGTAGCTCAACTATGGTAGCTCAACACTATTTACCTGCCAGATGGGTACTAAATACTTGGACCGGTTTTCAGTGAGGTGATGCTCGCAACTTTGTGACCTCGGCATACTAGTACGTCGTAGCTCCAAGCTGCCGGATCCGACTAGAAAGCCATGGGCGCGTGGATGCCACATTGTCTGTGTAGGAAAGCTTGACGCCACTCGCGGGACGTCTCGTCATCCACACTTGTCGAGCCAGGCTACCAAAAGTCCCCTCGCCTCGTTACATGCCAGTCGAGCGGCAGTGGAATGAGCGGACGGGAAAGGCGTCGGCCGCGGCGGCTAACAGAGTGAGATTGATCTGTTCGCGTGGAGCGACGTTAGCACCGGGAGTTGGTTAGCAGTTAGTAGTTCTTGGTCTCTTCCACGGACCGCGTGCATGAGTTAGACATGGCAAAGCTGTAATTCTCTCCTCAAGGATCAGAACAACAATGACAACTTGCCAGACAAAGACCGTAAGAGTGTTTTGCAAGCAGAGCATGAGACACAGTGACATGCTAAGCATGAGCACGCATCTTTGCGACAGAATGTCGGGCGTGGGACGGGATCATCTGCCATGTCTCGGCGTATCTGCGGTCGTGGCTTCTGCGCTGCATGCTTGTCGCTCGGTGTGATACATTGGGTTGAGGGCATCTTGACGGGCAGAACAAGTCGATACTGCCAGAGAGCAACGTTGATGCTGAGAAGGACTGCATGCATACATGCACGGATCTGCGTGTCTTCTTCGCCTCTCTGCAAATTACGTACTGTTGACGTGGATCGGCAGGCACTGATTGCTCATCTCCTACGGGGTGCAAATCGCGGCTGCTCAGCAAATAAAGGTTCTTGTAAAGCACCGAGGCCATGTGTGTCTGCGACATGTTCCTCGCATGCGTCTGTGTGTGAGCTGTGGATTTGTGAGTTGGTCAATGTTGTTCTTTGACGTCACCAGGTTTCAAGCTGGCTGACGTGTGGTGGAACGGGAGCTGTCTGAGCCAAGCTTTCCGGGCTGCCCCTTGGCATTGGAGGTTAAATTCGACTCTGCATGACGATGCGGAGGGCGTGCGGGTAATACGTACTGCTAAAGGCCATCATGAGTTGCTGATCAGGGCCAAAGCTTCGCGACCCTGGCCGTCTACAAATGGTGATGTCGCGTGTCAGTCAGCACGACCAAGATACTTTGTACCCTTTGACGCGTGCAGCTCTTTGATGTTGTGGGTTGTTTGTATGGCGGCAAGCCCAAGATACTGTTAGGCTGGTGTGTAAATCCTGGGACCGTGTCTCGGTAATTTGACGCAGCATCCAAGAGCCTTGGGGCTACCAAACGCGTGAAGCATCTACCCATTGCAATTTCAAATGCCATCGTGTGTGCATTACTGGATGGACTTCAGGTGTTGTTGGCTTCGGCCTGTTCGATGCGGATGTCTTTGCATTTTCACGCTGCGGCGCTGAAGACGGCCTGGCAGGACTTTTGCTGCAGTTAGTAAGCCCTGCATGCCAGAGGTCCACACATGCTGTCAAAGGATGAGGCAGTGACGACAACTGACTTTCGTCGAAGCCCGACGGTGACGCCGGGTAGGCAACAGGCGGTGATGCCGTTGTTGGCCGCGATAGAACGCGATTCTGCTGGCACCTGGAACAAGTGATCGACATGCTTCGTCGTTTCATCTGTAGTCTTCAAAATTGGGCGGGCATGTGGGGGATGAACATGGTGATGATGACGATCATAGCCATGAACAGCAACGTGTAAGTGGAAATGCATTGTGTTAGCTTCCTGAGAAAGGGCCGCTACGCAAGATTCATATCAAGTGAAGTGTACTTGTAGCAGCACATGAACGTATGCGCTCGGACCTAGAGCTACGCAATGTCGTGTGAACACGCAGCTGCTACTGGTTCCACGACCAACGTGTGCATTTAGAAGACCGAATCGTTGGATTTGTAGAGCGTTGGTATGGAGTAGAGCGTTTGCAAGCGGCGGGACGTTGCTGCAAAGCGCACCTACTTCGCATCAGCCACCTGCTAATAATGCCACAACAACTTGCGTGTGAATGATATGGACTTTGTTCTCTGTCAAGTTACCATCTAGAGAGGGCGGCCTCAAGGCCCTCAACACGCTAGGCTCCCAGCTGCAGTGATGTCCCCTCCTGGAGGTAGGGTCAAATCACGTCTGCCGGCGCCAGTCCTAGGTGAGGGCAGCTAATCCCGAACTGCTTAGACTGATGCGCGATGAGATTGAGCCACTCTTTTTTGACGTCTTGGCAAGCCAGCCCATGCTCTGGGCACAGTAATTAAAGAGCGGTTGTAAGACTAGCAGGAGTCCTGATGCGACGAGATGGCTGAATCACACGCCCGAAGAGCAATGCCGCGTCAGCAACAATATGGGTGCGTGCCCGCTGGGTCCTGGGAGCCTGGCAGCGTACAAGTATCCGATTCGCCACGCTTGATGAATTGAAGCCGTTGCAGAGGCCTGACGACGGTTCGAGGGGCCATGGGGCATGTGGTGGGTTGCTCCGAATTAGATTGTAATGAATACATATCCTTTTGTACATAGCGTGGCTCTCATGGAGAAGAAAGAACCGACATCGACTTTGCAAAGGACACCATGGGAGAAGAACAGTGGGACAAGTTAACGCCGACCTCGCCCGCACAGTCTGAGGGAATGGGCGACAGGGGATCCTTCGTCGCGGCTGCGGGTAAGGACGCTAAACTGCGCTTAGATATTCGCACTGGCTCCTCCCAACTCTATTAGTGCAATTTTGGAAGGAAAAGGACTGAACAACACTACGAGTAGATTCACACGTGCAATTGGACGGATCGTCCAGTCCTGCTTTGCTTGTTGATAACGGGCTGGAAATATGGCGACTCATAATGAATGGATGAAGTAATTACTGGCGGATCCAGTCTTCCTCGAGCTGAAAGGTTGACTGTGCTACCCTGCTCGGTGCTGGCCTGTAGCATTTCGTCCTTGTCCATCCGGATTCCTTCGTGATCACACGAACCCAATGCTTTCGACAGGCACCCTTGCAGCCCGCAATCTTGGCTTTTCTGGGGAGCCAGGGGCCCGAGAGCATGGGAACACGAGCGCCCAGCGCTGTTTCGCGGTAAAGTCCGTTGCGCAGCGTCCCAGGACTAGCACCGACGTCAGTTTCATCCGCAATCGACTAGAGTGCAACGTCAATTACACCCGACAATAAGGGTCCTCACAAGGCCTCGGATCCTTCGTAATGAAGCACGACAGCGACCCGCGATTGAGCCTCACTATCTGTATATCCTAACATAGGGTTGTTTATCTGGGCTTTCGACAACGTATCCATTGACAGGTGAATACAATCCACCAAAAACGTCGAGTCGACCTACAGTATTCGCCCAGAGTGTTCCACTAGCGAATCAGACTGGAGGAAACATCCAGTAATTGCCTTGTTGCAATGGAATACAAGTACCATGCTTCGCACAATGTCGAGCGGAGAAATCTCTCGTTCGTTTGTTACTATCGCCGATTTGGATTCGCGCAAAGCCTCAGTGGCGGCGGCGTGATAGTATTGCTCCCCAAAGTGGCGGCGGCACGGACGAGCGTTTTCACGCAGACCCTGCAGCCCTGAGGACGTCCACCGCAAGCCAAGCACTCGATCCTACTTCAGCCACGCTCAACTGCCGGGTGATCTCGAATCCGATCACTACTTTAATTTGCGGCACAAGAAAAACATCCGACCTCGCTGGTCTTTCATCAACTCAATCGTCCACTCCTAACCTACGTCCAATCTTCGACATACAAATCATTACGAGCACTCTTGCGGCCTAGCTGGGACAGCCAGGGGCAGCTACAGCCCCGATCTTTTGGCGGCTGCAGTGAACGAGTCGTCTCGAAGTCAGCCCCCAGCAAGGAGAGGACCTGAGGTGAGGTGCTGAATGCTGATATGCCACTCGAGAAGCCCTGTCCCTGCTACTATGCCCCAGTTTCCCATCCCGGATGTTACTCTCACGCCCCTGCGGGTTGACACTACCTCGACGCCCCACACTGTTTGGATAAGTACTGCAGTACTCGACTGGGCCCAAAGTACCTGTCGACATCATCACAGCGCGGATCTCTATTGCTGGCATTTTGCGTCTTGTGTTTCTCAATTTCCACAAAACATTGGGACTGAGAATGACAGCTGAGCTACGGATATACGTACGGATAGCCAAGACTCAATGGTTGAACCCGAGACTTTGGATCGGGAGAGCAGACACGCGAACTTGACGTCCATGGATACACGTTGAGCTCCTGATGCCGTCTCTTTTGCACGCAACGCCGTTGGTCCGCCACCAGGCGTCGGCCATCGGCCGTTTTTCCTTTGGAGACCGGCAGCTCTGGCCCTAATTACTCACTCGAGGCTTCCGGTTTGCCCCTGGATTCGAGTGATGACAGCAGCAGGCGCCCATTAGCAACAAGTTGGACTGAGCGGCGTGCGTGGGGTGCGCGGCGCGCGCGTGGTGGAGCGACTGGAACACCTCCGTGCACGGTACCGTACCGTCTGTACAGTATGCGCACGCACGTAGCTGGCCTCCGACCGACCACTACCTCATCGCTCCGGACCCTTGTCGCTGCGGCCTTCGCAAACAGGACACCAGCTTGCCGATCATCTAAACCGCGCTCGGCACGCCATCATTGCTATTCCACCCCCTGGAGGTGCTGCCCCCCAGGGCTCCAGCGCGCCTGCAACCACTGGGCCACCCACTGGGCCACCCACTGGCCACCCACTGGCCACCCACTGGCCACCCACTGGGCCGCCTGTCGCAGCGCAATCTGCCTCCCAGACTCACCCCAAGTATGTCAATCCACGGGCCCCCAGAGGCTGGGCACTTAAGACGTCGCTGATCCCACCTGGTCTTGACCAAGACTCTCCATTCTATCTCCAGACTCAAGGTTCCGCATTCTCATCTTTCAACTCTTGGCTTTTCCCATTGATTGACATCTCGCATTGATCACCGCTCTTGCACAGGTTATCAACCAACCTTCTCTTGTCTTGGCCTCGCTGCAACGCACGCCTGGGCTCAACTTCACCTCACCAGCAAACCAGACCAGATCAGCAGCACCTCACTCAAACAAAGTCTTATACAACACATCCCTGGGCACAAGGTCTTGGCCAACATCCTGCCCGCACATCACACAGAACATGACCATGACCCTGGACTCGGCACAGCAAAGGTTCGGGCCCACGATGAACCTCGACTACGCACATCACCACAGCCATGCGCCGGCTTTCTCGAATCCGTGGTCTTCCTCCATCTCCGCCTCTCACCCACCACCGAGCAGCAACAGCACATTCATCGGTAGCCAGCAGCAACCGCCACCTCTCAACCCAAACATGATGGCCGGCAAACCCCCCGCGCCTCGGCCAACCACATATGGCTCTCTGCCTGTTGGCTCCTCCGCCGACATGATGAGTATGAACCGAGTGCCACCCACATCCACTCACTATGGCACGGAAACCAGCTACGCCTCTTCGGCCTCCCCAGTGCATGGCAGCCATTTCACACCGACGGCTGCTCAGTACGATGCCATGGGATACACGCCCACCGGTGTGCGTCCCTCCTTTGGCATGGTAGGCGAGGCAGATCGCAAATATCCCAGCACGTGAGTAGCATGATCGATCCCTGTGCAATATTCGTACTTATGTGCAACCAGAAGTCTTCAACAACAGCAGCAAGATCATGAGCGTCGTGGCTTCGCCGATGCTCTCGATGCCAGCCACGGCATGCTCGCCATGAGCCAAGAGACACCGAGAAACATCTACGGTCCCGCCCGGAGCGACCGCTCGTCTGTTGATTCCTATGGCTTCCCATCCACACACTCGACCAGCTCTTCTATCTCCTCCAGCGGCAACTTCAGCTCCTACTATGGCGGCGACTCAGTGTCCGACTACTCAACCGCAGGCTCCGACATCGAGTCGTCAATGGGATCGCGGACACTACCCCGCCCTCAGGGGTTGATGGGTGCTGGCCTGCCACCCGCTCCGCAATCCATGATGGGCCAGTTCAGCTCCAAGGTGTCGTCGGGCACGCAGAAGAAGCACAAGTGCAAGGTCTGCGAGAAGCGTTTCACGAGGCCTAGCTCGCTGCAGACGCACATGTACAGCCACACTGGCGAGAAGCGTAAGCACACCCACATAACCCACAGAAAGCGAGGCATTGACGCTAACATGTGCAGCATTTGCCTGCGAGGTTGAGGGTTGTGGACGTCACTTCTCAGTCGTCTCAAACCTGCGCCGTCACCGCAAGGTTCATCGGGGTGAGGCTCATTCCGAGGTTGGGTCCGAGGATCACCACTCGGAGTGAGCGCCCTGGATGCCACAACCCTGCACGTCCAGCGACTGTTCAGGACATGCTCGCAGGGACGAGATGATGGCGACTTTGCATCAACTGGCTTTTTGGTCGGTGCTGGATTCACTGACCCGGTTCGTACTGGTCCTTCTTTCGGCCCAGAACTATAGCTGCCACCTTGGCCGCACACACAACGGCTGGATCTTGACAATATCTTGTACAACGCGCATAGAGCAGGCAACTGCAGCGGTACGGTCGAATTTCGCGACATTTATTACGAGTCAATGACTGTTAGAGGCCTCGTATGGCCCTGTGATACAACACATCACTGGGAGGGGGAAGAATGGCACCCTAGGTGAAACCTTTTGCCAGGAACAGCCTTGAGGACACGGCGATATACCCTTGCAAGACAGGCGTTTGGGGAGTTCATTCAGAGGGTAATTCGTGGCTCGGGAAAGGGATATGAAGGAGAGATTTGCATCAGTTCGTCGCGCACGGGCAGCTGGGACTGATGAGGCGTTATTGCTGTACTATTACTACTACTTTTGAGTTTGACGACAGTCACGATACCCAATGCTGAAGGACGAATTCAGCACTACCAACCATACTTTGGTACCCTGAACATGCGCTCGACATTCGTGTGACAATGCCAACAAGGGAAGGGAAGGGAAAACGGCATTTCAACTTTCCCATGCGCCCATTGCGGCCCGCAACATCTGCCTCTTGCATGACAGGGTAACAACTACGTATTCACGCCATGGTACCCCGGGTCCACCGCCATTTACCCATCAGCCAGCAGCCAGCAGCCAGCAGCCAGCAAGCAGACCGATCTTGATACTTTGCCTCCTGCCCGAAAGGAAACACGAGGCATGGCCACGCAAGCCTGGCTCCAGGAGCAGGTTGCTGCAGCACGCCACGGCAGCGCCGATTGGCACTGGCGAAAGCCCATACAAGGGGGGTCCAACCAGCTGGCTGAATGGATGGAGGAGATCAGACAGACTCCGGAGGACGTTTGGGAGGAAAGGACTGGGACGCCGATCCTTTGCCCGAGCAAGAACGGGCCGGGTTGTTTCAGAAATTGCGCATCATTTCCGCACGGGGATTCAATTACCATAAGGCCCGTTGTCAAGACTGGACAAGCTTTGTGGGGGGGCGGCCAGGGGGTGGGAGGGGGGCAGGAGAGGGAGGGGTTGCATCAGATACGGAGTGCGCACCACATCGCATCACTTTGCTGAGGTTCGCGGAGACTGATTGAGCCCCTCTTTGCAACTAGAGAAGTAGTACGTAGCCATTGGTTAACTAGGTAAGTAATTAATATATTTACAGTGAGTCGGCAGTGAATCCAGCTCAAGTACATTGCTGTCGCAAACGATTGCTGGTATGGTAGTTGGTGTCTGGTTAACAACATGAAAGCACGAGCTGTGCAGTCCTCCCTCGACGATATGCTGATCACCAGGCTCAACAGTAATAAGTCTCATGCATACATACTCGCACCCGCGGCCTGGCCGTACAGAAGGTACGTAGGTACTTTAATTTATTACTTGTGTCTTGAAAGAGGAAGCTACCCGATGAAGGAGATAGCGCAAGGCTCGACAGGCCGGATAGCGTCCCCGTCCACCTCGCACCGTGGTGTTAATAACCATGGCCATGATAAGTCGACGCCGTGGGAGGCGCAGATGATTCAGATTGATTGATTTGCACCCATTTTCTGCGTACACTCCAGTGGCGCGGGCTTGCGTAGGCGGGTGGCCAATTTCCAGAAAAAAATAGACCAAGGTACTTCGAACTTCGCCCAAGATTCCAGGCAGAGAGAGTGTCGCGTGTCCTGAGTTGCAATCAGATATGCCTGGAATGGCGTACTGTTCAATAGAAGACGAGCATGTTATATGGGAGGTATTAGACGGGAGATCGTCATTCTTGGCCTGCGGTCGAAATAAACGTTGTCGACAATCTCCAGATCGTCGAGTCGAGATCGATCTACCTCTTGGCGAGAGCACGCTGTAAGTTTGACAACCTGCAACGGACGGGATGAGCGTTCTTGGCATCGAGCCCAGAGCCAAGGCGATGCTACTCTTACACACGATGACGCAGTCCTTATTTTGCGAGACGATTTAAGCATATTTTCCAATGCAGAGAAATGCGCGTTCTGGAGTTTTCTTCTCTTCGAGCAGTAGCAGCTGACGAGCATTGCTGGCGCGTTCAAGATTTGGCTGGCCTTCTTACGCCACCACCGGCACTGATACGGCACACAGTATTTAGTACCATCCGCGCCATTACCTACAGTGCTAGCTCATTGGCGCCATGTCCAGACATTGACGCGGCACAATTGAGGGAGACTCCCTCGGAACCACAGCACTCTTCGAGGGGAGGACTGGACACCACTGGAGCCGCACAAAGCCCATCCAGCATCGCTGCAGCGCGTCGCGATTTTACCAGTTGGCCAGAATGGTCCGCCCCTACGTGGCAGAGACGTGGAATGACGTCTCGACGTGGTAGCCGCTGCAACGGGCACAGGGTACGGCAACGTCGACGACCACAGGCGACAGAACAATTAGGAGTTGGACGATGCAGTCAATATGCAACAAGGGGCCATTCCTCAGTTCGTTCATCGCGTATGCGCACGCTTGTAACAGCAGGCAACGATATATTGTCCCCAGCCAGTATGCGTTCGCGTGTGACCGGCCGATCGTTTCGACCGCACAGTGCAAAGGCACCTATACTCCCTTCCCCCTGGATTTTCAGGGTCTTGCTGTAAATGGGAATGGTGTGATGCCCTGCACTGTATGAGGGGGGCGCGGGCGAGCGCGGCGCAAGTCGCAAACGTCTGCCATTGGCTCTTCTGAACTGCCTGCGGGGACTGAAGGGGTGTGCTGGGAGAAGGGACCCAGAAGGACACCAACCAGACTGCGCAGTACTTTGCGAGTTTATGGAGCCTTGATGGGACTCATGATAACGCGGTTCGTGGGCGGTGCTTCAGTTTGTTTCCTTATTAGATTTTTTGGAGCATTCGTAGTCGAACTGTCTTGTCGGTCGGTGCGTGTAGCTTCTCTGACAAGTTCCATCACTTGCCAATAGCTCCCCAATGCAGGCAAGTGCTGATCCTGTGCAGCGCCGTTGGCTACCTGCTGCAACAGGCGGTCCTCACTCGTTTAAAAAGGTCCCCCAATCCCCATTATCCCAATCAAAGTCAGGCGCACGGGAAACAGACCAGGGCCAGGGGATTTGACAGGGCGGGAATTGGAAAAAAAAAAAAGTGAGTGCAGCGTGCAGCGCGCTAGAGGAGGTTCCGGTGCTACATCTACCCGGAGCAGTGCTCAAATGACGTCAATGGCTACGGATCTTCAAGGCCCCGGCAGGGGGTTCTCTCCAACGTCATGGGCTTGTGCTCCCCTGGTGGCTCTCGGAGTGAGACTTGGAGGGGCGTGCTCGTAGTCATCCATGCATGCCTAAACTCCAGTCCCGTCATCACACATACATTAGTACCGAACCAAACAAAGCACAGAGAATCGCCACTCGCTCTGGCTCAGCACTGCTTGCTGTGCAGACAGCATCACGTTAAGATTTTTGAAGTGCAGCATCACATAGCTTGGCACAGGCAGCCGGCTGCATTCTCGCCCGGCAGTCAACCGGCTCTCGTCGTGTCTGGACTGTTGGAGAACTGGGAGGTCCATGTCGAGATGTCGAGTCAAGAACCTTACCTCATACAGCCACGTGCCGCACTCGAACAGCACCAGCCATTGAGCACGCGACAATTGCGGTGTGCGAGCTGTTTGTGAACCCTCAAGCTCTACCAGGAATCCCTGAATGTATAGGCACAGTGTTGGCAGCTGAGTGGCCGACCAGCATCTGCAGTCCCTGATGACCTACCACCAACGCCTCACGAACCCTGGCTGGGACATTTTGATTGATTGGTGACCCGCTACGACAAGGGACGAACGAAAGGTCCCTTTGTTGTTTGGAGGAGCTCCGGTCACGGATGTGGTCTGAACGTAGCGCCACCCAGCTCTGGCTGGCACTGTTGCTGGAAAGGGGCACGGTTCACAGCTCCTAAGCGTGCCATCTCCGCCTGGAAGCCCCCAAAACTAACAGCACTCTGTAGGCGGCGGCAGAGATGTGTACCAGTCGCCTGGCAAGGCGAGTGTCTCCTCGTTTGGCTCGACCGTTCGCATGGGACGCGAGTAAAGTTGCCACCACCCCCGCCGCCAACGCACGAGCAGGGCGCTTCATCAACCTATACGACGACGACATCGGTCAGCACGTACGTACGTACGTAGTAAATAGATTACTATCTCGATTTCCCCGCCTCTTCGTAGTCCCCCGCTCACAGTGCCGAACGGAAGTCGCCTGTGAAACCCTGCCCCATGATGCATGGCGAGAGTGGCATGGTCTCATCACAATCCTCTTTCTTGCACGGACCTCGATGAGCTACAGCGGCTAATGTGTGTTCTGTACCTCGACGTATCACGCAGTACGTACACGCTCGTGAGTGACGGGACTTTGTCGGCCGCATTCAAACTGAACGCTTCGGCCAAAAGTGCCATTGGGACAACTCCGAAGTGACATGCGCCTGGCTTGGGCAGGTCACCACGATGCCTCGAGGGCAGATGATGTCAGGACATTGGCTACGGGGCCGTCGCGGAAAGGATGGTTTCTAGACCAAGTCCAGCTCAGAGCTTGACGCCGGTGAATTGGGAAAGGTCGAATCGCGTAGCTTCACCGTGAAGCGCAGCTTATGCGACGGAGTTCGAGCCTCGAGTCAGTGATGTGCATCACGGACGGCTGGGCCTAGCTAAGCTCTAATTAAATCCAGGTAGCGATCCGCTCGGGGCTGCTACGGCTGGACTTCAGCCGGTATGTGTTAGGCCATCTCCCACGACATGAACAGCCCAGGCGAGAGCAAAGTTGAACGTAGACATTCGGTGGTATTAAGCTATAAACGCCGTGTAACATGCTTTGCCGCCCGTCTAACCCAGGCGCGCCCCTCCCCTTCCCGTCATAAACCAAAAGAGATGATAGAAAACAAAGTACAACTTGTACATGACAGACGTCCCACTCTTACAGGATAATGGCCAGCTCTGGCCTGTCCGGCTTGTCCTCGTCGAGGTTTGGATAGTAAGGCACCATGGCATCGGCTGCCTGGACATAGGCGTCGTTGTAGAGCCTCCAGTAGGGGATGCGCACTTTGCGCGCCGGATGGAACAGGCCTGCCCACACGTAGTTCATCACCACGCCAGGGCCGACGGCCACGCGGATGGCTTCAATCGCCTCGACGATGCGGTCGATGACGTGAGGACTAGTCTCAAAGAGGTTGGGGTAGAGGAGGTTGAGCAGATGGATCATCGCGTCCTCACAGCCGAGGCCCACGACGCCGAGCGCAATATGCTTGACGACGGAGGCGGCGGTTTGACGATGCACCTGGTCACGGTCAATCAGCGCATCCTCGAGCAGAGGCGTGACGGCGTAGACGTAGTCCTTGGCCATCTCGCCAATGTACTCAAACAGGAAGGAGAGAGATTTGAGCACGCCGTTCTGCACATTCAGCTCCGGCACGCGGTACTCGTTCATGAGCGCAGGCAGGACGGTGAAGGGCGCGCACGTCTCGGCCACGATACCAATGGCCACGGCTGTGTTGACACGCGACTGTCGCTCCTGGACACGCAAATTGTTGAGGAGGGTCGCCAGCACGTCCTGGGGGCCAATGGCCTTGGCGATGAAACCAAAGGTGTTGTTGGCGGCTCGTCGGATGCCCTTCTTGTGCGCCTTGAGCATGTCGAGAAGCTCGAAGCAGATACGCATCCACTCTCGGGCGTTGACACTCTCCGGCCCCCGATCCGCGATACGCCCGACCAGGTCAATGGTGTTCTCCTGCACCTTCTCGTGGCGGTTGCGAAGGATGGGGGTCAACCTGGGCAGCAGGTCGCGGATAGGGGGTTGCATCTGGGCGATGCCGACAACAGTGACGATTGAACGGAGACCGCCAAGGATGGAGCCGAGGACTTCGGGGTACTCTTCGCCCAGGTACTCGTACAGCACGATGCTAACCTTGCCCATCAGCGCATCCTCGCCGCACTGCTTCATGACCATGGCAATCCGCGACACCAGGTCGGCTGCCTGCTGGCGCACCGTCGGGGACTTGTGGTTCAGCCGCCAGAGGATAGTACTGGCGATCTGGGGGAGGTAGGGCTTGCAGCGCACGCCCAGGGCATTGACCACGGAGCCGAACCCGTTCAGCATAACGACGTCCTCGACACTCTGCTCCTGGAACGCGTGCAGCATGCCGTCCACCAGACGTTCCTCAAGGCCCTCTCCAATGTCCGCCGCACCCAGACTGGCCACCATCTTCTCAATCGTCTCTACTGTCATCTTGCGATAGGCCTCGCTCTCGTCCTTCAAATTGTTGACGATTCGGTCCACAATCTCGCTGACACCGACCTTCTGGCCAATGTCGACAGTCGTCTCGACCACTTGACGGTAGTTGCGCTTATCCAGTGCCATCCTCCGAACCCAGAAACTCTTAAAGAAGTCGTCGAGGACGTGCTCCTTGAGATATCCCGCCGTGACACCCTCCGTTCCAGCACACTGTGACACCACCTTCAAAACAACCTTTTTCATTTCCTCATCGGGTGAAGAAAACTCTCGAAGTAGAATCTCCATAATTTGACTGGTGTAGTAGTTGGCGTACTCCTCGTCCATGAGAGGAATGATGAACCCGACAGCCTTGAGGAAGCCGGCCAAACCCTTGCCTCGCTGCTTCCGTGCACCAGTCCACAGTGGGTTGAGGATATCGTCGAAACTCTCGATACCGTAGGGGTTGGAGGCTTCGGCCAGGGCGGCGATCGACAAACTTGTGACTGTTCGGACTTTGGTCTGCTCGTCGTTGAGGTTGGGCCCAATGCATTCCACGAGGCCCTTGAGGTGCGGCAGGACTGCGCAGCCCATCAGAATGGGAATTTGCTGCACAATCTTGACACCAGTATGGCGGGCCTGCCATGACTTCTTGCTTCGGCATACGGCTCGCAAGAAGGGCAGCAGCGCCGGGATACCCAGGGCTGATGCGACGACGGCGAATGCTCTGGCCGTTGTATTTCGCACGTATTCATCGACGTGGTCAATGTCTGGTCTCATGGTGCTGATCATCGTAGCGAGGCCGGCAGCTTTGCTGAGATTCGAGATGATCTCACGACCTTCAACACGGGCGTAGTAGTCCTGGTCGATGAGCAAGGGCTCGATAACGACCAGAATCTTGTGCACGTATGGCCGCACGAGATCATCGAGCTTGTAGAGGATACGGTCAATGACCTTGACCAACAAATGTCGTTCCTGATCTTCGAGCGTCTTTTCCATGAGGAGTGGGAGGATCTGGTCGAACAAGGGGCCGGCACCAAACTGACGTGCATTGTCCGTGATTTGTCGCAGGGCAGTCTTTCGCATCGGTGGCGTGCCGTTCTTGATTTTGAGCAAGAGTCTCATGATCTTTCTCTCCTTCAACTCGTCCACAGTGAGCACGTTTTCGTCGGAGTTGTCCGTAAGCTTGCCGAAATATGCCATATCCTCGGGTTTGAAAAATTGCAAATCGCCAACCCCAGGAATCTCAGCCGGCAACGGCTTTCCTCCCAACCGAGTTTGCTCGGGGTCCTGCATCATGAAGCCCGACTGAGGCGCCGGAGTGGCCACGAGCTTCTTGGCTGGGGCCGAGATGGGGGCGTAGCCAGGCGGTGGCTCGAGGATCTTGTATCCTTCGTTTTCGCCTGGGAGTAGCTCATCCAGCTCCTCGTCGCTCAGTGGCATGTTGCGCCCAACGTCCGTACCAAATGCCATGGACACCGGTGCTGCCTGTGGTGCCGGCGTGGCTAAGCCTTGGTTGCCCATAGGTGTAGCTGAAGGCGCCTGGTCCCAGCGCGAACGCTTCTTCGCAACCTCTCCACCAACAGCAGGTGTCTGGTCCCATCGCGAGCGTTTCGGCTTGGCGTCTCCGTCAGCGTCGGGTGTGGGTGCTTCGTCAGTGGTAGCGACATCCCAGCGCTTCTTGCGCTTTCGGCCTGCTGCGACGACCTCGGTCGAGCCTGCATCACCGTTTTCCTTGTCTCCATTCTCCAGCATGGGCTTTGCATCATCGCCATTCTCTTGTTGCCCATTCTGTTTGGCTTCAATCGCTCGGCGCACACGCTCCTCCTCACGCTCAAGGTCACGCGACTCCATGATATCTCGGTACCCTGCTCCATTTTCAGCGGCACCGGCTTGGCGATTCTCTGCAAAGGGATCGGCTCGGGTGGGCGTCAGCACGCGATTGAAGCGTCGTTTCTGGTAATCCGTCTCGCGGTCGGTGATGCGGCCGCTCTTCTCTCCCCTCCCTGACAGCATGTCCTCCTCCTCAACGCCATTTCCTCGAGAAAATTCATCAATTATGTCGCGTGAAGCGGTGTACTGGCCGACAAGCCGATGTGTTTTGTCGCCTTCTGCCATGTCGTCGTCCTCATCGCCCATGGGCAGCGACGTGTGATATCCGGCAAATTTGTCGCCTCCATCGCGCTCGTACAACTCATTGTCGGCACTGTCCGTGAGCTTCTGTTTCGTTGCGTCGGTTCGCTGATTCGCATCGTCAAACGTCCGCGAACCCTTCTTGGCTGCGGCGGCCGCGTTGCGCTCTTGCTGGAGCCTCCTGATCGTCTCGAATTCGGCGTCCGACATCTTGGCTCAATCAGTGATAGTTTTCCGGCTTCATCCCGCGTCCAAATCACAAGTGGCCGTCTCCGAGATGGTGGTGCGCATGGAAGGAGTTGACGGGTGATATGGGAGTAGGTAAAACTGAAACCCCCAGCATATGAGAAGCTTTGCAGCTGGCGGCAAAAGGCGACGGACCCGCGACTGGCTGTCCCCGGAACAACCTTTGTCCGTCGACATGCTCTACCTTAGCTCAACAGTCCGTCTGCCAGGTAATGATCATTTTCGTCAAGAGGCACCAATCATTTATTAATTATTATACGGTACATGCCATCTATCTGGGTTGCCAGTTTACAATCAAAATTTCTAGCCGCCGCTCCTCGTCTGACGTGTTCGCCGTCTCTTTATCGGAAGCGCCAGTGCAAGGCCTTCTGCATCCTCAGCGTCTTCTACCTTCACCTCAGTCTTCACCTCAGCCTTCACAGTCGTGACTCTTTTCCTCTTGGTGGTCACCCCATTTGACTCGATGGTCTCCTCCTTCACTTGCACAGCGGTCGCATCCTCGCCCTTAACAGCCGCCTGTTCAGCAAATTGTTTGAGGTCTGCTGTGAACAGGACCGAATGAGCCCAGCCAGCATACTTCCCCCACAGTACCCTGAAGTGGTCGCCCACGGCGTCGTACATTACTTTGTTGAAGGTCTTTGACTTCTTGCCAAACTTGTAATCCCTTTGCGCGATCTGCCAGACGTGGGTGTCGACGGGTACGGACTCTCCCCAGCCCAACCCCATCAGGCACACGCAGTCTGCCACCTTGGGCCCTACGCCCTTGAGCGTAAGTAATTCGTCATGTGCCTGTTTGTATGCTGCCTGAAGGTCTTGGTCACTACTGGCGCCGCCGAATGCTGGGGACTCGGGATTGCGTAGTGATTCCAGCCAACCGCTGGGTTTGTCGTGGGCGACCATTCGCGCAGTATCCGCGATGTACTTTGCCCGATACCCAAACCCTAGCTCTCTGAGGTGTGCCTCGACGCCCTTGCCCGTTAACGCTGCCGGTTCAGGAAAGTCATGGAAGGCTTCTGTGTCAATGTGGCCGAGCAGAGGACCGTAATGGATGCAGAGCTTGTGGACCTAGGTTCGTTTTAGCTTCAATGTCCATCATCTGCAACCATCGAACCGACCATTTGCGAAATCCTCGAAATATTGTTGTTACTGCTGCAGATGAAAGCCACCAGGGCCTCCCAAGCATCTTGGTTCAATATGCGAACTCCAGTAAACGTGGGTGCCTTCTTTCGGAAGTTGGGGTCGACGTCTGACCACTGCTTATAGAGGCTTCCCAGATCGACATCCAGGTTGAAGTAATGCCGTAGCAAGGCTTCAGTGTCATCAGCTTGACACTGCTTGTTCACCTCTGGCCGATGCGTAGGCCATGTGGCTTTGTACCGTACGCATTCAGGATCTTGCCTCAATGACAAAATACGGCCATGAAGAGTGCACCGCCTTTTTTCTGGTCAGTACTGCGTTCGGACATGATCTCAACAAAACACTAACCATTCATCTCCAAACTTGCGCCACCTGAAGGACTGTCCACAACGTAGGGTAGTGTCGATGCAGAGCTCTGTGAGATTGACGGGGAGCTTGTGCCACATTTGCGGCACTTTGACAGTCATGGTGTATGAATTAGCTGATCGATTCAGGGAAGTAATATTAGCACGCGAAAGACAACTGTATTGCCATATCGCCCCTTGGGTTATACCTGAGGACTCACCAAGGGTCCAAGACTCAAGAGGCAACATGGACCCGCAAAAGTCTCGACTTGGGAAGCCGCTGGTCGCCAGATGCGCTTGGCCTGATCCGGCTAGCGCAGTTTCGATGAAAAGCTCCAGCCTCACGCGTTGTACTGAATGGTTTTGGAGTTTGCGAACAGACAACCTTGGTCATCCGTAAAGCTATCGTCTTTCGGTGCCACTCGCCATTCATCCACCGATTGCCGCTTCAAGATCATCCCTGTGAAGTTGCGATTGCCCACCATGAACGGTGATAGCTACTCATCGCGAGGTAAGAAGCAATTCCGATGATGTTATTCGTGGGCAGACACTAACCTCGACGCTCCTGCAGATCGAAGGGGACGAGACTATCCAGTGAGCAGAACACCTCACCAACTTCACCCAAACACGCATGCTAACACGTCAAAGCCGCGGGGCGGTGACCGCGACGACCGCCGCGAGCGCCACCGAGACCGTGGTGACCGCGACCGTCGACGCTCTAGATCGCCAGACCATCGCCATCGCCGGGCTGAGGGCGACGACAACGCTTACTCCTCGAGCCGAAACCATAGAGACCGCGAGCGCGAGGATCGCTACTCGGGTCGCGACCGCAGACCAGAGAGAGAATGGGATCGCGATCGTGGTTCGTCTCGCCGCGATGCCCGACGTGACGACGACGATCGCTTCGGACGCCGAGACAGGGACCCCTACGACGACCGCCGCCGCGGAGGAAGAGACAGCCGAAGGGATGATGGTCATGGTCATGGGCCTGGGCCTGGGAGGCAAGAGCAGCGTAGGGAAGCCTCGCCACCCCCCAAGAAACGCGAGCCTACCCCGGATCTTACCGACGTGGTTCCCATTCTGGAGCGCAAGCGTCGTTTGACACAATGGGACATCAAACCCCCTGGATACGAACATGTTACTGCCGAGCAGGCTAAGCTATCGGGCATGTTCCCTCTTCCTGGCGCGCCGCGACAGCAGCCCATGGATCCGTCAAAGCTACAGGCGTTCACCCAACAGAGTGGCGAGGTCTCGAGTGACAACCTCATGGCCAGCAACTCGCGCCAGGCGAAACGCCTCATCGTATCCAACATTCCGGCGGGCACAGTTGAAGACAGCCTGATTGGATTCTTCAATCTTCAGATGAATGGCTTGAACGTTGTGGAAAGCAACGATCCCTGTACACTCTGCCAGTTCTCCAACGATCGCTCTTTTGCCGTCGTGGAGTTCAAGACCGCTGCAGATGCCACTTTGGCATTTGCGTTGGATGGCATCTCCATGACTGGCGGCGCTGCGGCCAATGGCGATGCCAATGGATCAGCCAGCGGCCTGCAGATTCGCCGCCCCAAGGACTATGTCGTTCCCGCAGTGTCGGATGAGGCTCCTCAGGAGTCTGACGTTGTGTCGAGCGTCGTGCCTGACAGCGCCAACAAGCTGAGCATCACCAACATCCCTACCTACCTCACAGAAGAGCAGGTCAGCGAACTGGTTGCTTCGTTTGGCCGACCAAAGGCCTTCGTCCTCGTCAAGGACAAAGCCACTGAAGAATCAAGGGTACGTATGCTCTACCTACTAGTTGAGTTTTGTCTAACGATTCCAGGGTATCGCATTCCTTGAATACGTCAATCCTGCCGAGGCCAACCAGCCCGCGCTGGAAACTCTTAACGGCATGACGTTCGGCGAGCAGAACCTGAAGGTGTCCAAGGCCAGCATCGGCCCAACCCAGGTTGCCAACTTTGATACTGGTGTTGCGGCGATCAGCGGACTTGCGGCGCAAGCTGGCAACGACGCTGATCACACTCGTATCCTACAACTACTCAACATGGTGACGCCTGAGGAACTGATGGATAACGACGAGTACGAAGGTAAGACGCATTGATGCCATTTGCTTTTAGGGATGGACGACTGACTCGATGCACTAGAAATCCGCGAAGATGTCAAGGAAGAGTGTTCCAAGTTTGGCACCGTCCTCGACATCAAGGTGCCCCGTCCCGCCGGCGGCAGCAGGCAGATCGCTGGCGTTGGCAAGATTTTTGTCAAGTTCGATACTCCCGAGTCGACAACGAAGGCGCTTCAAGCCCTGGCTGGTCGCAAATTTGCCGACAGGACTGTCGTCGCGACGTACTTCCCCGAGGTTAGTACCACATCCATTGGGCATCTCACAATGCACTGCTAATCTAGACGCAGGAAAACTTCGACGTTGGGGCGTGGTAAGCAGGGATCGTATGGCATAGTGCCATCCCAGTTTCTGGGCTGTACACTATGGCTGGAATTTGAGGAACCCGTATTTTGAGGAAAAGGTTTCGGACAAGGCATCATATTGATCATTTCGCACTTTGTCGGGTCTCCAGTGTACAGCAGTCGCAGATGAGCAGTGCCGTGGCGTTTATGGAAGGATTGTCTTGGTTCAAATGTGATTGGTCGCGCTGTAATTGTAACATCTATCTAAGTTGGTATCTGAAATTAACAAGTCGCTGGAATGATTCGGCATGCGGCAGATCTAGACCTATGTACTTTTTGCACAGTTAGCAAAAGCTTTCAGTTTTGAAGGGGCAAGCAGTCGTGGCCTTCGTTGATCGATCAGAAGTCCAGTTCATTCATTGAGCCTCGTGAAGAGACTCTAACATAAGAGGTACCAGAAAAAGTAAAAGTGTTCTATCATCATGTAACGAGTGTCGAAGACCAGGCGACATGCTTGACGGGGTGTAAGGACTTACCAATTATTAACGCGCAATTGAAGCCTGCGAGACATGCGCAGGCAGATATCGCGTTCCGTTCAGCAGTAAAAGGTGCGAGAGAGGATGTTGAAGAAAAGCTCAAAGAAAATTATATGGGGCCGCGGCTGGAGCGTCTTGGAGCACTGACCAGCTCAGGCGGCTCCTCCGTCACGTGCCTTGTCCCGCCCACAACGCACCACCCTAAGGAAACGGGCGAAAAATTTCCAGCTCCACACAAGCCCTCTGGCTGGAATTGCTCTGCATCTCGAGACTTCACGATCCACGACCTCAAACCGACCCCGACGACAAACCTCCTAACCCTTCGCAGCATCACCACCTGCCACCACCACAACCGCCAAGATGGGTCGTCTTCACTCCAAGGGAAAGGGTATCTCCGCCTCTGCGCTCCCCTACTCGCGCGCTCCCCCCGCCTGGCTCAAGACCACTCCTGAGCAGGTCGTCGAGCAGATCAGCAAGCTCGCCAGGAAGGGTGCCACCCCTTCGCAGATTGGTGTCATCCTCCGTGACTCCCACGGCGTTGCCCAGGTCAAGATTGTCACCGGTACGAATTGGATCCGATTGGGAACAAAGGGAACGGCTGGCTAACTCGGGTTCGCAGGTAACCGCATTCTGCGCATCCTCAAGGCTCAGGGTACGACCCCCACGTGAACGAATCGAACGATGCATGGACGATCAAACGACATACACATCTGAGATTCGATATCTCTTAATGCCTCTGTACGGTTTAGACTGACAGAGAGATTTGCATAGGCCTCGCTCCCGAGATCCCCGAGGACCTTTACATGCTCGTCAAGAAGGTGCGTACATATTGTTGAACCGGCAAACGGGATCGTGGTAGTTGGCGCCAAGAGGTGGACATACTAACTCATGTGGGAAACAGGCCGTCTCCGTCCGCAAGCACCTCGAGCGCAACCGCAAGGACAAGGACTCCAAGTTCCGCCTCATTCTGATCGAGTCCCGCATTCACCGTCTCGCCCGCTACTACAGGACCGTCGGTGTCCTGCCCCCCAACTGGAAGTACGAGTCCGCCACCGCCAGCACCATGGTCGCATAAGCATAGGTGGTCGACGTCCGCCGGTGGGCAATAGGAGGGAAAGGGTTGGAAGCCAATGGATTCTCTGGTCAAGGAGTTCGGGATGATGAACTTTTCACGGAAAAAATATGCATTTAGAGCCATGATGCAATGCGCGTCCGGTCTTAGACCAAGACGGTGGCTCTGCGGTTGAAAATTAAATTCAAGCGTCGACTACCGAACCAAATCCATGCCAACATCCCTGTGGTATCACCAATGTGTCAAGAAACCAAGTGTCTCCCCGCCCCTGTCCACCAAACGCCTAGCCTTATGCCCAAGATTGAGAGCTCAATCCGTCGTGTCATGATGTGCCTTCCAATTCCTTCGACTTTTGTAGCAAATATTCCCCCAGAACGCGCAACGGGTCCTCTGGCCTACCACTCTTTAGTCATTCATCCTGTGCTTTCGCGAGAGTGCCGTACTTGTCTTTTGCAATCTGTTTCACTCCGTCCAGCAGGACACCCGTGACCTTTGTATTCAGATACCGACGCGTCACGTCGCCGTGGGGAGGAGCTTCCGCGGGTATCGAAAGGCCAGGGTCGGGATGTACAGAGGCAGCTCTAGAGCCTTGCGCCGGTGTCCCTGTCCGCGCGGGAGCTGGGCTCGCGCCACGCACCGCGGGTGCTGGAGATGACTGCGAAGTTTAGCCACACCTCCTTTGCATTGTAGGGGCCCATTGAAACATACACCTGGTTGTTCAAAGGTCGCATCCGCCATCAATGTATCCTTGAGCGGCGTGCCATCGGCAATGGGTTCTTCGGTCGACGTTGCGGGCACCGGTGTGTCGGTGACAGGTTCGTTTTGCGCGCTCTCGTCCGCCATGATGACTGCTTAGAGGTTCAGAAAGTTGCAAAGGAGCTTGGAGCTTTCCGTGAGCACCGTACACTCATGAATGCGCCGGATGATTGTCGGTTTCCGATCCTAAATGTTCGAGCTTGGGACGGGATGGCGAAGGGTCTAAACTGGTCAGGTGACTTCGCGTTGCCGACGTGCTTTCATTCTGCGATTCACGCCATCGCGTTCCTCGCCTACCCTGATATTCGCCACAGCGAGGTCTCAAATCTAGTTATTCTTTCGTTACTGCTGAAGCGGCTTCTACCTTCTGGATCATGGCGACTTTCAAGGAACATCTGCAATAACCGTCATGGATGCGTTTGTCAAGCGGCTTCCCAAGCCCGACGTCATCCAACCTTCAAAAAGCCCAGCGCCAGCAGATGATGGCCTAGCTGAGTCTCCTAGGCCGCAGAAGAGGCGAAAGCAGGATGTCATACCAGACTCAGAAGAAGATTCGGAAGGGGAGCTCGGGGGTGATGACGATGAGTTCACGCGTCATGTCCTGCACGAGAAAAGCGCACAGCAGCTCACAGACTTTGAAAATGCTCTTCCCGACGCCCAAGATGACGAGGAAGCAATCAGAGAGTATGAAAATTTCAAGCTGTCACAAGAAGCAGAGATAAAGGCGGGAAATGGAAGTGCGGAGAAGATCAAGACGACTTGGGTACGAGGGAGAAGCTCAATCTATGTCGATGCATTCAACTTGGCTCTCGACACAGTATTGGAAGAAGAGTCGCATCTTTTTGACGCGAAAGAGGAGGAAGTTTTTCGACAATGGAGGGAGCTTCACTATGAGGCCCAGTTCATGTAGGCTTCCCCCCTCCCTAGGCAAACGTTGCTCATATCTGGCAGGTATGTCAGGCTTTTCCTTCGCAAAACCGATGCCTGGCATCGCTCAACCCGACTGAACTATTACTCGGACGTGTCGGATCCCGAGAAGGCTGTAGAAACGCTACAGCAGCTGCGTACGCTCCCAGATGGCCCTTCATCTGACACACATGCATCTACGGTCGATAGTTCGGGTATCGTGCTAGAAGATACCTTTACCTTTGCGGACAAATCAGAGGACCACTTCAAGACTGTTGCACAAGCGGCTTCCCTATTAAGCCTGGACGAGCTCAAAGCAGTCGCCAAGGAAGCCAAGGTACAAGGGAAGAACAAAGCCGACCTTGTCAAGGCACTGTGTCGCATGACGCAGAAGCAAGCGGGTCTGATGTCGTTGGGCCTAAGCAGACACAATAGCCGCGAGGGATCTATCGCCTCAGAGGGCTCCGAGAGTCCTGCGCCCAAGTCCAGGGCCAAACTGAGGCGGGAAGATTCCAACCGGGAGCAGCATTTCCTTACCAAGATACTCGAAATCCTGGGACCATGCGTACGACTATCTCCTGCTCCGTTCAAGCTGTTCGAACGCGTGCACTTGGTCTTTTATCGCTCAACAGAATGGACGGAAAAGTCACTGACGACAATCATCTTGGCCAAGATCGCCAGACGGAATTTCCCAGAGTATCTGGTATGTCGTACGTCCACAATCTTCGCATCGAGGGCACATTTGCTGGAATTCGAGTCCGGCATTCGCCTCGAGGCAGAAGTCGATAGGATCACAGAGTTCGGCGAAGTACCGGGCGAGGCTGGGTTCCAGAGAATCTTTGAGATATTCGAGGCCATCTACCCGCGATGGAAAGCACTCATCATCGAGGAGGAGGACAAAGAGCAGCGCGTGTATGAAATGGGTGAAGGCGCCTACTTACGGCGCTTCACGCCTGCCCATTCGTACACCCGCATCATCCACAAAGCCCTTCCTGTCTTTGCGCGATGGAAGGAACATGCCAAAGAGCATAGCCTTCTGAGTGAACTGCTCGGTCAGAGGCTCTTCCACATGGCAAGACGCGGAGCCTGGTATCAGCGCAAAGCCCTGCTGGAGGAGCATTACATGCACGCCCTGGACGAGAATCCTGTTTCCGAGACCGAAGAAAAGCAGATGAAGCACTGGAGGAAAATCGCCGTGGCCACCTGTGAGGCAGGCCTTCGTGACCCCGACTGTCACTTGATCTATCACTATGATCTGCAGAAGCGGCTGACCAAGCTGGAGAAGAAGCTCAGGATACCCAAGCGCGAGCAGCATGACTTTGGTCACGTACGGCTGGCAGATGCCGAGGATATCACTGTCGAAGGTATTCAACTGAAGAGGGACGTGCCTGTCAAGCCGGGACGGCAGGCGGCTTCAACCAAGACCATTTGGCTCGATGAACTCGACTCGGGTGGCGAGTGCAGCGTCGAGGAGATGTGCCTGAGCAAGTTCCGCCAGGATGGCTGGAAGGGATATCATGCTGAGGGGGGCATCATCCGTACACTTTTCGCCTACCTTTTCTACGATGTTCTTTTCGTCTACATACCCAACGTGTTTCAGACGGCTTTCCAGACATGCCCTCTGGATCTACACACCGACGCATTCTTCCATGTGAGGGCTTCCGAGATCAATCACCGACTGGTCGACATAGCCAATGGGCAGGGCGAGCGCATCGTGCGAAAGGTATGGGAGAATCACCACGACCGGCGGACTTGTGTCATCGGCTTGAAGTGGGATTTTGACATTGAGGATATCGCACAGTTGGTGTCCTGCTTTGAAGGCAGTGCGCTGGCCGCTGTTTGCAAGGTGATGGCCCAGGAATACAGGCAGCGCGGGGGCGGCATCCCAGATCTGATATTGTGGCGACCGTTTGGAGAAGACGAGCGCTCATCTCGATCTGGCGGTGAGCCTGGCACTGCGAACGGCGAGGTCATGTTTGCAGAGGTCAAGAGTGCCAATGACCGCTTGAGCGACACGCAGCGGCTCTGGATCCACGTACTCACTGGCGCTGGCGTCAGGGTTGCGCTTTGCAACGCCGTGGCTGCGGAAGTGAGAGAGGTTGATTGAACGCAGAACCCGTCTATGCAACCAAATATCACATGTGCGCTGTCGGCTCTCCGACTACCAAATATAGCAGCGACCATCATGAAACCAGAAGCAGGTGAAACGCAGTTTCACGGGAGCCCCTGATCCAGTCGTCTCACTGTTTCTCGTCTTTGCTTCCACGAGCCCCCAGGTGAACAGCCAATCGTGTCGTCCCCAGAGAGGGGTGTAGTCACCGGGGGCTTTCCTATCACATCACCGAGAGCTATAGTAGGGATCTCACACATTGAAGGATCTCTACGAGATTGGCAATACGACCATGGGATGATGATAATGAAACACGGTCAAGTGGCACAGACGCATTCGGTCATGGCGCAGTCAAGGCGGGATCATATGCTGGCTAACACCGTGGATGAGAGGAAGGAAGAGTAATCAAATGGAGAAGTTTGGACCGGTATCAACACGGCGTCGCGTTTGCGATGGGATGTCCAACTCGCACCCCAGTCGTCTGGCTGAAAATTAAGCCTAATGGCAGGACGACAGCCGTCTTCCAGCAGTGTGGTAATAACTCTTACTCCTCTCAGGCTCTCACACGAAAGGTCCGCTGGTGGTGGATCCGTCTTGCAAGTGTTGACAGCTGGCGGGAGCTTCCAAGGCTCTCAAGCTCTTCATTTTGCCAATGGGAACTGACTGGTGTGCTGTGTCAAGTAGACCGGCAGTAGCTGCGTAGCATGGCATGCCTTGGCTTGAGCATGAGTCGGTGCCAGACCGCGAGCAAGCAACCAAGCACCGCTCCCTCGCTCGCTCGCTCTCACGCGGAACGAAGCTACTGCGGCAAGGGTAGACAGCACCGCAGACTGCAGTAGGCAGAGCAGCCAGGACATGGCCTTTGTCGACTTTCTCGATGATATGGGCGCTTAACAGTCGCTCCATCGACCCCGGCCGCCAATCATGAGCCGCGGCCCGCTCTGCTGGGTGATGGGGGGCATCTCCGGCCACGCAGCCAATCAGCCATCGAGCCGTCCTTCGACACGGCGCTTAGATCCCTGCTCGGTTCTGGGGGAGGGAACGTGAGAAAGGGGCCGCCGCTTTTGAGATTGCACCGGGCAGTGTTGACTTGGTGGAAGGGGCCGGACATGGATGGGGGTGCGTGATGAACCCAAGTGACGTCCGGCAGTAGTCACTCCTCCACAGTCATCACAGTTGAGCGCTGTGCTAGGCGTGGAACGAGAGGGGAACCAGTAACCACAGCAAAGCGAAGCAGGCCTGCCTCGCTGCCTTGTCTGCCTTGTTGTTGTCCCCGTGCTGGTTCGCAGTGAGTGCTGCAGCGCCATTTGCACCTACCGCACGCGGGCGGGTACGTGGAGTTGCTCTGCGACCACGGACGCGGCCTCGAGACGCCGGTCAGATGCGGTGGTTGTGTTATGAGAGGGAAGCACTCGGGCAGGATGAGATGCAATCAAAACGCCGCGTGATCAATGTCACGTCCGCTGAAACATGAGATATCTCGGGGAGATCGCTCATGTCTCTCTTTGTGGGCGTCACATTGGAGATGCTCCCGCACCTCCCAGCACGCGAGTCTATGGCGAGCGGGTAGGCGAGAGATGGTGGTCGCACTTGTGGGCGGGTAATGGGGGGAGGAGGAGCACACAAACAGAAGCGGCCCATCGGGAGACCTGCGCCTTGCATGATACACGCTGTCATCAGTAAACATGATGAATGTGACAAGCGATCCAAGATCTAAGGGCGGTCAACAAGGAGGACCGAATGGACGATTGCGCAGCGCACTTTGGCCTTGAGAGTGAATATGTCTTTTCTGCATTTTGATGCACTAATATTCGATATGCTACCCAAGAAGCCTCCTTCACTCCGAAGGAGCTTCACCCTAGCCGCCTTGCCTATGGTATTGATGGTCGGATACTAGACAATAAAAAACGAAAGCGAAACGCTTAAAAAAATGTTTGAGGAAACGCCAGTGTACTCCGTTGACCAAATCTTTGCCGCCTGAGATCCTGCTCGCCAATTCCCTTTTTGGCACCAAGGTATATGTATCTGAAGTGTCAAAACCCTCCTGATGGTGCGCCGTTATGTTTGGCCCGAGTTATGGCCAGATGTGCATGAAGTCGTAAAGTGTTCCCGGGAATAGATACATGATTTATCTTGGGAAGCATCATTGGTGATGCTGACATGTAGAAAAAAGGTCCAATTGTCGATGTGAAAGGCGCGACAGTTTGATCCCGTTGTAAGTGAGTGTCGATCGTGAAGGGAGATCCAATGCAATGTTCATTAATGAGGGTAAGGTAACGGTCTCATTCGACCTTGCGCCTCTTGCCTTTGGGTGCTGGATCCATTCGTGGAGTGTAGGTGACGGTCCTGGTCACCACCTCCCTGAGGTGCCGTACACTGGTCCGGGAAGGCTGCTTCTTCAGAGACTGCGTGCGGGCCTTGAGAGCCGCGTCCCAGTCAAACGCGGAGTGAATTGACCGTGCACTATAGGGCGAACGGACTGGCGAGTCCAGGTTGGCAACCGAAGGACTTTGGGGGACTCGCAGGCTAGGGAAGGTTGCAGGTCCCGTAGGAGGGGCCGACATTGGTGCCGCTGAGGGGCAAAAGGGACTCGGCGGCACAATGGGAGCAGTGGCAGGAGGGGACGGCTTGTCACCGTCGACACTGGTTGGGGGTGATGACTCTTCCACCTTGCATGAGCACGACGACTGCTCGCTGCTCGCCGTCCCCGGCATGGATGCAGACTCGGGTGTGGAGTCACCAGTAGGCGGAAGTGGTGAGTTGAGAGACATGGCCTTGGAGAGAAAGTCGGTATAGGCCATGGGAGGACTGATGGGAGTCTTGATGTAGTCAGGATCCGGCTTGACGGGGAAGGCCACGGCAGAGATAGGTGTAGCCGTGGCAGCAGAGGTGATCTCGGATGGGAATGTGGCCGAGACTGGCGTTGCCAGCTTACCAAGCTTTGGTCGTTGTCCGGGCATGATGAGGATGTTTTGAGTTGTCGTTGAGCCAGAAAGCGAGTGATTGAGTGACAGTGAGAAGTACCAGGCGAAGGAAGCGTCGAAGCCAAATGAATGGCTCGTATCGTTGTCTTTGGTCCTGGACAGTGACACGGTGGTCAGAGAGAGAGCAGAGCTGGCAGACAAGCCCTTGGCCGTGCGAGGAAAACGCGGACGGGTGAGCGAGAGAAGGTGGAAAGTGTGCAGTAGCAGCAGCGGAGCTTGTTATATTGTAACACACACGACGATGGGACTCACGAGCGGTGGGAGGCTCAGGAGCTGCTGGCGTTTGGCGCCGGGGTTCCGCTTTGGGGAGGGTGTGGACAGGGAGGGAGTGTGTAAGTGCGTGCAGGTGGGCGTCGGCAACGGGCCTGTCGCTGTTGGTGCAATGCCTGTCAGGCGTGCCGGGACTTGTGAGCGCTGGCGGCAAGCGTCTCTGGGGGTGTGAAGGTCTCGTTTATTCTGTTGACAAGGTGAGTCAATCTCGACCGTCTTCCTGAAGAAGAATAAAGGCCGGAGAAGACGTGTCTGTTCGTCGTGCTGTGTCTTGACCAGCGAAGTTCAGACGACGAACTTGATGCTTGGCGCCGTGTCCGAGGAGCAGGAATCACACCTGGCGCGAGGTGATACTTGCGGAAGCTCCGTGTCGTAGGGAATTCTTTCGAAGATGGGAACAAATAGGCTATAGCTGATGAAAAATCACCAACAGTCCAGGACCCGAATTTTTGGTTAGGATGTCGCTAATACAGCGTTGTGGGGTCCACTGGCTTAAAGCGGCGTGGGATTGAGTGTCCTGTATGTCCTGTATCGGCAATCCTCAGTGTCTCAGATAGGTGCTGCTCGAAGTTGGCCGAAGAAGCGACTGGATATGGTTTGAGTAGGTCGATAAGAACGAAGGCGAAGAAATGACAGATGGAGGATGGAATGTCCAGGTTTTCAGCTTGGGATGTCGAGGATGGGAAAGGAGATATGGGATTGTAAGCAGTGTCGCTCTTGCTTTGCTTGTTCTCTCCAAAAACCTGAGGCAGGCGCCGAGATGGGCGATTCCGATCGCAAAGGGTCGACTACGCGCTCTGATTGGCCGTGTGTTCCAGTGGGCCCAGGTCTCTGAGCGCCAACGGGAATGCAAGCTGAAGCTGATGTCGTGCGTTTTCTCTTCAACTTCTTCGTCACAGCCTCGTTAAGGTTTCGCTGTTTCGGCGAATGAAAGTGTCTCCTTCGACTTCTGTCTTCGGCATCAACTCTGGGGTTCGTCGCGTGGCCCGAGGAAAGGATGAGGTCCGATAGGTGCGTGTTCAGTTGACGGAATGTGACGAGTGACAGGACCGCGCTCAATGACCAGATAATGAGTGATGGTGGGAGGATGGTGGGCAGGCTGATGTGGTTTGCTCTCGTGTCCTGAGCGACGGCATCACGAGTTCTTATCCTTCACGCTGCCAAAACACCTCGCCGCTGTTTGTTTCACAACAACAACACGACAGTAGACCTATGAGTTTGCGCGGTACGTCCAGACTTCATTTGGCATGTTCGACGACCTCTGGAGACTCCAGTCTGCTTCAGTCAGCGCGCGGCTGCGACTATCAAGGGTGCTCCTGCTCAAAGTCCCAAGCTCGCAGAACAGAATGTGTGGCTGAGGATGAATCGCAAAGGCGAGGCCTAGTTCCTGATTCATATGCGAGAGCCGCTACTTTACAAGGCGCGCGCCACGTGAAGCAGGTGGCACATGGTCTCTCCGGAAACATCCCACATCTCGCCCACGGAAACGCTATGGCTTGGCTCAGGATGCTTCCTCGAGCAGCCGTGGGATAAGTTGAGCGCGCGCCTGCTCCAGAGGAACGAGGAAATTTGGTTCAATATTCGCGCCGGAGCGGAACCATGCAGCATTTGGTCTCTAAGCGCCCAACTGCCCACCAACCTCGAAGGCACAGCAAGCGCCGCCTCTTTCCCCTGCATCAACAGTTCTCATCTAGCTGGCCTGGCCAGGAGAAGAAACTTGTATTTGATATGCTATGATGTGCTCTGCTGAGCATGATACCTCTCCTATGGCGACCTCACAGTCAACACCCTTGGCATATCACAGCAGAGCATCCGCGCCAAAATGTATAGAAGCACCAGAGTGTCCAGCGCTTAGTGTACGGCATGGCTGGAGACTACCCCAAGGCTGGATGTTAAGTGCCAGACTGGGTCTCGCTGCCGCCTGCGCTGGCACGTCACGTACTGGAGGAGCACGCATCCGCCGCGCTTGAGGGCGCGCAAACCCACTGCCCCTTTACCCGTGCCCCCTTGCCATGACCACATTCCCTCCGTGGGATGCAGCAACCCGCCTGGTCGGATGCTGCCAAGGCGCGCTTATCAGCAATCCCAGTATTCGAGGTGCTGGTTATTGGGCTGGGAGTCAAGCGTTGTCTGCTCTAGGCAACGCCCTCGCGCTTAAGCCGGGGACGTATGCATGCTGGGCTGCGTCTATCGCGCTTACATCGAGATGGACAGTGTTGGCCGGCGGCCATACCAAGGGTCATGTGGTTGGTCGCTTTCCGAATATTTGGGAAGTCTGTCGGATTACACGCAGACGTGGTATTATCAGTTCTGGTGAGCCTGCCCTGGCAAGCTGATGCATGGTCTTAGGACAGCATGCTGTCTTGTTGTTGCGAGACAGCACATCTGAGCAGCCCTCGAATCATTGGATGACCCAGACGCTTGGGAGTTGTGGCTTATAGCCTGTATCATCGTGAGCCCATCCTTCAAGTTGGCTTTCCGGTTGTTTCTGAATCAACGCCTGGATCGAGACTACCTATAGGTATAGTATCCAGGTTTCTAAGTTGGACTTCTAAGTTTCATCTTCTCGAACAGTGAAGCTGTTCAATATGTAGATCTGTATCTGCCCAGCATCGGCCTCTTTGATGCAGCTACGTAACTATAGACTGAAATGGTCACCGTCTCTCATCAGTGTGGGCTCCAAGACACTAGTCTACTGCCTTTTCCATCGCCGCAGGTTAGCCTTTGAGCTTGCCCAATTGAATTGATGTAGTAGACTCAGAGTTATACATTTATGTCCCGTGATTTAGTCGGGATCTAGATTAGAAGAGTACCAATATATACGATAGTGTCTAATGCATGAACACGGTTTGTATTGATGTAAATATTCGGGACTCACCAAGTCGCAATGAAAGCAGGGATTTTTACGGACAGTTGCACATCCCATACATCCACATACACCTACGTCGGTACTAAAACACCCACACCTTACGCAGAATTGTGTTAAACAAGCAACAATGAAGTGCGGTATGATGGTGTCTACTAAGAATGACACGACTACAGGGTAAGTCTGCTGCATTGTCGACGAGCATGCCAACCTCAAAAAGGTGCCGCAACCCTGAAGTCTCAATTCTAGCGCAAAAGGGTGATCACATTCAGGCCGTAATAAGATTTACTACTCCGTGTCAGATAGAAGCCCAACGCTGCCACACATGATTCTATTTACGATGCGTGGGTGGCACAGCAATGCAGGCAGAGGTCGCACAACCGGAAAGAAGAGCCATGACGTTGTGAGGCTGGGGCTCTACGGAGGCACTCAGGATAATCATTATTGCTGTGGCTTGTTAACCGCGTCCTCACACCGACATTTGCAGCAAAATGCGCGTGAGAATCGCCCAGCGCGCATCGACTCTGCATATCAGGCCATCGATCCAGGCGAGACTGCCTTTCCACCATCACGTCCATGGGGCGAAATGCTGTCATTGCGGTGCCTACATGAGTCGCGCCCAACCTCTCATGAGGGTGAGACTCGTGGACTGCCGGCCGACGCGCGCATGACTATCAGTATTGAGGGGTCAGCGAGGCTGAAATACGACGGTCTCATAATAATCTGCTGAGCACGCTGTGATGAAATATCACAAAATTACCTTGTGGTAGCTCTTTAATGAGCTGTGCCACAACCGCAATGTAGTGTTATGGCTCTGCTAGGCGGCGCCGGGTCACCAAAAGCAATCACATTGAAGATGCGTTTCCCGTTCATGACTTCATGTCATCCGCGTGTCTTGGGGACGATGATGGCGGGCTACCGCAATGGGAGACCTAATTTTAGCCGCAATGTGCAATGAACATTGAACGGCGAATTTGCCAACTCATCAACTGTGGCACACCATCATCTCCGCCCGGAGCGTAGACGATCTCTCCGAGGTGGGGAGATGCGCCGAGAGCCCTGCTCTGGTCGCGTCACTCACCCGCGTGCATTTCCAGAGCTGGGCCCGTATTCCTGAAGACGCTGGAAATTGCGGTGATACAACAAGAAACACTTGCTGAGAAGTCCGACTGGTTTGACGTGATGTGATGTTCGATAAGTGAGGATGTGATTGATTGAAGTGGTAACAATGCCGAGCTCGTCACGGCCCAGCGATCTTCCGGAAACCGGGGCATGTGAGTGGCTGGAGCCAAGGTTAAAGCGGAGTCAAGTGTCTGCCTGAATTGGGTGCCTGAGTCGGGAGAGCAAGAGACGGAGAGCCCCACTTGCTAGGGCTGTGTCAGCCAGTCACGAGTGTTAAAGGCACTGGGTCGGCACTCCCCCCCAAGGCCAAATCATCTTTCAAGTTCTCAGTCCGTCTCCCTCTCGCACGGCCAATCAATCTCACTTTCTCCATCCGCTCCAGCGCAGTGCACCCAGAGCATCGAAACCTCTTGATTGATCCAAAAGAGCCTGTCCGGACTGGCCATTCACAGCCTCTGCCGTCATCGCGCCAGCAACTCTCATTCGTCAAGCGCCATCGCGAAACAACGATTCGTCGCGGTGTAAGACCAAACTTTTCTACAGTAGTGAGTCCGACTAGACAAACCTACCTCGCATGCTGAGCGGACGGATGCAGAGTCTCAACCAGATTGAGCTCGAGCCGTTACACGCTGCAATGTGCACGGCGTCGCTCGCCCGTCCAGTCACAATACACCCTTTCGACAAGATGGGGAAAACGCACGGCAAGCAATGTTCATCAGAAGCTGACCGCCTACGCAGACACTGCAACGCGTCGCAATACGCGCGATTTTTCTTGGAGCAAGCCGGGACAAAGACACGTGGAGCTGATACCGTCACCACACGCGCGGTAAGCAATATCTCATTGAACAGCCTCACTCATCATCATCACACTGCCAACTTTGTCTTGTCCACCTTACATCATCCCCATCATGCCCAAGGGTGAAGTCTCACCTATACTCCTTCGCCACCAGGCCTAGCGGCCGACCTCGACGTCAGTCAGCCTGGCCATTGCCGCAAGAATGCAGTGCACAGTTGCGGTGAAGACACGACATGGACTGGAGTCCAGCCTCCAAGAGCCCGGCCAAGGTACGTACCTTCAGGCAATAAGTGTGGCTTGCGCCTTGCGGGCATCGGTCCCCACTGGCCTGGCTCCGCGTCCCAGCCCGCCCATTTGCTGCCCATATCAGTCCCTCGCCCACCACGCCAGCAAATCAGCTCTCTTTTTCGCGCGTCGTCGCTGTCATCCTCCTAACGATTCGCGACAATACAGAGGCCTATCATCGTCAAAGGCCTCACTATACACTATCTCATTGGATTAAGCTAACTATCAGGTGATAAGACACGTCTGCGGTATCTTTTGCAACCCCAGAGACCAACACGTCGCGATCAATCAGCGACGTTCTTGTCCTGTCGCGTGCTTAGTTGCGAGTATCGACAGCCTCTGTTTGAGGCTCCGGCCCTGAACAACCACCAAGCAGTGTCGCACAAGGTATGTACTGCTGAAAAGCAATCTTCTTTACTCGCGTCATTCCACGTCCCACCGGCATTGCGACCTCGAGTCCGTGGGTATTGCCCTGTTCGCAGTACACATCCGTGTATTTACGGCTATCTGCTTCTCATCCTGCCTGGACCAGGACACAGGCGACTACTGCGCAAGCCGGCCAAGCTTTCTTTTGCATCGTCGTATTCCTCACATGCTTCCCCTTTTGGCTCTGCTGCGCTTTCTAGGGGCACTGCCTGCCAGCCAGCCAGGCTAGCCAGTTCTGCTTCGGCCCCGGTCATCTACACCGACTGTTAGCTATATCTTGTCGCGTAAATTGTCGCATGTTTACATCTCCAGAACGCGCTGACAGGAACATCAAGCAGACCACGACTATTGACACCACACGACTTCACTCAGACACGAGCGATTCTTGCTACTGAGGTATGTATCTCATGCAGTTGTCATCCATTCTTGCCTGTCTTTCGTCTGATGCTCCGTCGTGGGTAGCTGCATGGTTTAGCCTGATGGCTCCAGCACTCTACCCATTTCGGACACAGATTTTTACACCTCCTTCGACACTCGGTCGAGTGTGTTGCGCTGCCGTTGCAATCAGAGATCGGACTGCATGACGGAATGTGCGCTTGGCACGCCAGCGCATTGCCAGTCGTCCAAGCCCACTATCTTGCCCTGGCAGTTCATCACCCCCCTCACTTTTTTTCCGATTCCATGGCTTTGATACAAGGAATGAGTAGACAAGGGCTGACACGAACTCCCAGCTGTGACTTGGTCAATCAGTACCAAACTGCTGCTACCAGTGCCCTACAGTCGGCACTGCATCTCATTCTCGCTAGCCCGAGTGAGTAGCTGTGCAGCGAGCAAGGCCCAGGCCACGATCGTGCCAGCACACGCTGCATAACCAATCAGGTCGGAGACACCCTGTGCCTGACACCCGAGCATCAGCGCGCCGGCCCAAAGTGACGACGCTTGGCCCATTGTGCCCAACCACTACCCTTGCTGCCATTGCATTTTAAACCCTTAAGCTCGCTGAGGGGACAAATCGGGCACATCTATTCGCCACGCTCTTCACTCGCCCCTCCAAACGCGTCTTGAGTACTCCAACTCGAGCCTACCGACCAGAGACGCGACGGACCGCGACAACTCGCAACACCAAGGACTCACCTCTGTATTATGGACTACGCGCAGTACCCTCCACAGCAGAATAATCAGCAAGGCCTACAAGCGTCGCCCGTCATTGGATCACAGCAGCAGTCCACGGGCCAGCCTCAACAGCACAACATGTATCAAGCACAGTACGGCGTTCCCCAGCAGGGGATGCAGCAGGTGCCATATGGCATGCCGGGGATCCAAGCAGCTGCCATGGCCGCCACCGCTGCGGCCTCTGGGTCCAGCTACCCCTACATGCATCAAGATCCGGCCATGGCACACACCTCGCCACGGATGGGCGGCGCCAACCCTAAGAAGGAGGGCAGACCGTCGCCGAGGATGGGCAACATGTCTTCGATGGACCGGCGGATGAGCCAAGTCACCAGCCCTGGGGTGCCTCCCGGGTCGATGATGGGCCATGGGGGGCCGAGACCTGGCGTCGCGCCGCCCCAGATGCCCCAAGCGCAAATGCAACACCCTCAATCGCCTGAGATGCCCTCTGGCGCCGTGGAAGAATCACCGCTGTACGTGAATGCGAAGCAGTTCCACAGGATCCTCAAGCGGAGAGTGGCGCGCCAGAAGCTGGAGGAGCAGTTGCGATTGACCTCGAAAGGCCGCAAGCCATATCTGCACGAGTCGCGACACAACCATGCTATGCGCAGGCCTCGCGGGCCGGGCGGTCGGTTCCTGACAGCCGACGAGGTGGCGGCGATGGAGAAGGAGGAGGGCAAGGAGGGCAAGGAGGATGAGCCCAAGGAGGAGACGGCGGCCACGGGCAACAAACGCAAATCGCAGGCAGGATCGGGCGGGTCGAATAAGAAAGCGAAAACGGACCAGGAGAATGGGGAGGAGGACCAAGAGTGACCCTCGCCGCGACCGCCCACCCGGAGCGAACGACACGGATGACATGACCAAGCAGATTGCTTCTTACGATGTCATGACGGGAGAGACGGCGACAAAGCACGCGGTTGCGTGCATGGGGCCACGCTGTGGCATTGATTGGTGTTGGGCTGGCGAAGCGCGTCCTTGATGGTTTTTCCTTTTGCCATTTACCTTTTTTTGTTCCTTACATTCCGCCTTATATTACAGCACCAGGACTGGCAACAGCATGGCGAAGCCTCCGCCTGTCGTGGTAGGCAGTAGCCCCAGAAACACAGACACAAAAACAAACAAACACGCACGCACATGAAATGCAGTGGAGGAGGGACAGATTGTGTGGATGACGGACGAAATGCGACGATGGATACCCCCCCGGACCTTTTATTATCGAAACTTGTTGTTGTTGTTGGTTGCTACGGAACAATTCTTTGTCATGTTCATTGATTGGGCTGATCTTGTTGCGTGCTTTTCTCTGCGCTTTTTTGGGTGGCTGTCATCTTTCGTAGGCGCAACCAGGTCTGGTTACCGGTCGTTGAAACAGTGTATCGAGTGTTGAGTAGCAGGGGCTGGAGGCCGTGTATTCACCTACATTGACGTACATTGTGTTCGGCAAAGTGATTCATGTGTATAAGTACTGGGATCCTGACCCTCCCAAGGCAAAATTATTGCTGATTCCACATATCTGGACTGCTAGCACGCTGCCTTTTCGTGTCAATCCAGTGAAATGTCTTTTCTTTGTGCAAGAACCCTGGGTAGCCTCGCCTATCAGCTTACACGAAATGCATCGCGCTCGACGCATGCCGCGAAGGGGGGGGCACAAAGGCTAAAGCCGTGCTGCTGCCGCTGCTGTGCATGGCAAACGCGGAGGTGGAGGTGGGTTCTGAACTGGTGGACGGATTTGATGATCCGGGGTTGCTGGCGCCCTGGACCTCGGCTGAAGGCCACAGCCAGGCCGAGCAGATCATCCTCCTCGACATCCCACGGCACGGCAACATGGGGAACACCTGGTCTCCAGGCACACGGTGACTGACCTTGATCACACTGATCTCCCCGTCCGACATTCTTTTCCCAGGCCGCTGCCACTTGCCCGACCTCATTACATGTACGCTGTACCAATCTGTCCACGACGACTGGAAGCCTCCCTCCCTCCTACCAACAACGGAAAGACGTCATGGCCGGACGCGTGCGCCAGCCCATTGATCAAGGGGCTTTTGAAAAGTACCTCGTCGACAATGTCCCCGCTGTCAAGACGCCAATTGAGCTGAAGCAGGTTCGTCGTCGAAACGCTTTTGTCCTGCTGCTGCTGACACGGCCCTTGTAGTTTGGCTTTGGTCAGTCCAACCCGACATACCAAGTCATCGCCGCCGATGGCCAGAAGTTCGTCATGCGCAAGAAGCCCCCCGGCAAGCTCATCTCCAAGACCGCCCACAAGGTCGAGCGCGAGTACCGCGTGCTCCACGCCCTCGAGAACACGGACGTGGCCGTGCCCAAGACGTACTGCCTCTGCGAGGACGACAGCGTGATCGGGACGCCCTTTTACGTCATGGAGTTTCTGGACGGGCGTATCTTTGAGGACTTTACCATGCCGGGCGTCGGCGCCGAGGAGAGGTCCCAGCTCTGGCAGGAGGCTGTCCGCACGCTGGCGCGCTTCCACGCCGTGGACTACAAAAAGGTCGGCCTGGAGAAGTTTGGCAAGCCGGTGGGGTTCTACAACCGGCAGATCCAGACGTGGACGACCATCTGCTCGAATCAAGCCAAGGCGGTCGACATTGAGACCAAGGAGCCTGTCGGGCAGCTCCCGCACTTTGAGGAGCTGGTGCGGTTCTTCAAGAACGAGAAGCTGCAGCCGCGGGATCGAGCCACCCTCGTCCATGGCGACTACAAGATTGACAACCTGGTCTTTCACAAGACGGAGCCGCGCGTGATTGGCATCTTGGAGTACGTAATTCTTCTTGTCTCGTCTCGCGCATCTTGATCGAATGCTAACAACCCACCACAGCTGGGAAATGTCCACCGTCGGCCACCCGCTCTCCGACCTGTGCAACTTTATGACCAACTTCTACTCCGCGCAGTACTCGGGCGCCACCCCCTACGACGCCTCGGGTTTCCTGCCCGGGCGCACGCCTGGCCTCCCGCAGCCCGACCAGATCGTCGCGTGGTACCGCGAGGAAGCCGCCCGGGCGGCCGGCACGGGTGAGCGCTGGGACCCGACGCCCGACGAGCTGGGCTGGGGCATGGCGTTCAACATCTGGAAGCTCGCGGGCGTCTGCCAGGGCATCGCGGCGCGATACGCGGCGCGGCAGGCGAGCAGCGAGCAGGCCAAGCACCACGCGGTGACGAGGACGCCCATGGCCAAGTTTGCCTGGGAGCTGGCGCAGAAGGCCAGGAAGGGGGAGAGCGCGCGGTTATAATTAGATGTGACTTTAGACCACAAATATGGCTTCATGTTGTTGTAGCGCAGCGCTTGACTTCATGGCCCTCAGCTTTCATTGTGCCAGATGCCAAGTCACTAACTGTGATTCAACTCCAGTTGTTACCGGTGCCTTTTACAGTGCCAATGGGATGTCAATTTGCTTCACCAGTGATCCATGTGTTTTCTCAGCTTGCAATACGTCCGACAATGGTCTTCAAGCACACCTTGACGTGGGTTATCGGCCCCCATGAAACTTGGCCGGTGTTAGCAGCCCATCCAGTCGTCAGTCAGCTTCTCGTGCCCCCACCTGACATCACTCAGGCTGATGGCTACCTTAAGATAGGGAGGAGTTTCAGTGGCCGCGCCCGCTACAATGCCTGGTCCCTAGCCTAGGGCCTAGGGTGCCCCGCCTTGATTTACTAGGCCTGGCGTTACTTTAAGCTGCGACTTGACGCCCGGCACTTTCACGTGTGACTTCATAGTCCATCTAATTTAATTATAAACCTGCCACCTCCAGTTCTCAACATCACCAGTCACCTCGCGTCAGATATAGATTGTCTCTCAGACATTCCCATCATCTCGCATCCACCGCTTGACTGCCCATCGGCTCAGAATCGGATTCTGGCCGCATGTCCGGCCGCCAAAGGCGCGTCGTGCTAGCTGCACCGACAGACGAGCGCCGTCCCTTGCTGAGCAGGCTGTACACGGATCACGGCGAGAATGGCGACCCCATATACAGCTGCAGGACGGACCCTCACAGCCACCTGCCCGTCTACACGACGATTCACCGGATACGACGCGACATTGTCAGCGTCGTCGAGGACTATCTCAGCCTGAAGCAGCTCACCGACGTCAGGATCAACGTGACCGTGGTGAGGCCCCTCGTGGATAAGTTCTACGAGCTGGACGACATCTCCATTGTGTACTGCCTGCTGGTCAACAGGGCCAACTTTCTCGACGAGCAGGCGCACCTCACCAACAGGCAGAATGTGAACTGGACGCGCGCCACCCTGTGCGAGCTCATCGCCAGCCGCATCCTCCGACGCTTTAACGAAGACCACGAGGGGAGCGAGGGCCTTTTGCTCCTGGCACACATCCTCGTGGCTGGATTCGAACCCTTTCAGGGCGCACCCCCCTCTGTGCGCGAGGAGGCCGAGCGCAAGACGGCCTGGACGCACCAGAGGACGCTGCCGTCTCTCGAGGTGGCGATCCTGACGGAGAGCAAGCACTTTCTCAGCTCGACCACGTGCCAAAAGGTCGTCAACGCCATCTACGAGGGCCGGATTGTGTACACGCCGTCGACCATTTGGGATATCATCCCCGATCACTACAAGCTCAAACCCATCTCGTTGTATGAACCGCGGGACTCGCCACTCCTCAACCAGTACAGACTCATCGTGCCTCGCACGCGGAATATCCTCGAGGCGATGCAGTTTGCGATCCTCCTGGGCTTGTATGTTGGTGTCATGGTAGCCCGAGACAAGTACGAGATCACCCTCCTAGAGACTGTCTTTGCTGTGTACGCCTTCGGCTGGGGCCTGGACCAGTTTGCGACTCTTCTCGCACATGGATGGTATGCTGCAGAGGTTTTGGAAAGGCTTGAAGATAACTTGACTAACGCATCACAGGAACGTATACACGCAAAACCTCTGGTCCTTTCTGGATGTCGCGTTCATCGTCATCTACGTTGTATATCTCGTGCTGCGCTTCCATGGGTGGCGCATAGACGAGATTGGCCCGGCCGAACAAGCATTCGACGTGCTGGCCCTGGCGGCGCCGGTTGTCATTCCCCGACTCGCCTTCACACTGCTATCGGATAACCTCATATTCCTGTCATTGCGGTCGATGATGGCGGATTTCTTTGCCCTCACCGCGCTGAGTGCCTGGTGCTTCTTTGGCTTTCTGCTTGCGCTCCTGTGGCTGGGCGAGGGCGCACATCCTTTGGTGTACGTATATATGAGTGCTCCATGGTACGAATTCATACTGACGGTTCAGGACGATATCGGAATGGATGATATACATCTGGTTTGGATTGGACGGCACTGGTATCCGGCGCTCTGTAAGTCAATCGGGACAGAAACTGCAGAAACACAGACTGACAAATGTAGTCTGAGTTCCACAAGATCTTGGGACCGAGTCTCATGGTGGCCTTTGCCTTCCTGGGCAACACCCTCTTCCTGACCATTCTTGTATCAATGTTGTCGAATACGTTCAGCAACATATCCTCCAACGCCGTCGCCGAGATGCAGTTCCGCAAAGCCGTCCTCACCCTCGAAGGCGTCAAGGCCGATGCCGTCTTTGCGTACCAGCCGCCCTTCAACATCCTGGCCGTCTTTGTTCTCCTGCCACTCAAGTTTGTGGTCAGCCCGCGCTGGTTCCACAAGATCCACGTAGCTACGGTCAAGGCTATCAACCTCCCGGTGCTGCTGGTCATTGCCGTGGCGGAGCGGCGTCTGCTGTGGCCCAGTCGAGGCAAGAGGGGTCCATCTGACAAGTCCATATTCCGCAAGGTGTGGAACTTGTCCGGCAAGGAGAGTCTGAAAGCGGTCTTTCAGCTCGCGCCGCCAGAGGATGTGTTTGAGGACATTGCTGTGGACGACGACATGACACGGCATCTCATCCGCCGACAGTTCACCCGCCAAACGACGAGCGAGTTCAGCAAGGGCGTGCCGACTTCGCAGCCCCCTTCTCGGCGAGACTCGACATTTCCGGGGATACGAAGGAAGCTTCGGGGCTCGTTTGCGGAGACGGAAGATTTCGACGGGGTTGCCTCTCGGTTGGACGGCATGGAGAAGTCCATTGCTCGGATGGAGGTGCTGATAGCCAAGTTGCTCCCGCCAAGTGAGGTCGCATCGGATGATCATGACGACGGTTCAGCGGGCGAAGGTAGCAGCACCCCGAGGGACACAGCAGGGTTCTCGGTGGAAGACTCGTTCAGGGGTGTCACCCAGACCGAGGAGGATTGATTCGTGATGGAGCTAGGAACGGCAATCACGCTGGAAACTAAAAGGCATCATACCACCGTTGAATAGGTTGCCATCGCAGTCCCTAATGTATGTGTGACTGACTGTCGCGTAGTGTGGCAAGTCAGATCCGCTTGATACGGCTCTGAGCGACAGGTGACCAGAAGCCACTGTGATTCACGCAGAGGTATGCCAGACATACATTGATGCCTTTGAGACCTCGCAGACCAAAGTTTGCACCCAACGCTATAAAATATCCCCAAGGACCGTGTTCGCCATGTGCATTACCACTCTCTTCACGCACACCGTCTGCAAGCACACCTGGGCTGTCATCACCGAACCATGCGGCCCGGGAATGACATTCACGTCCTGCAACACTTTTAGCCCAGGCGGTAGTCACCTCCACCCAGCGGCAAAACTGTTCAAGACCAAGAGTCGGCCATGCCCAAAATGTAGGCCTTGGACGTTTGACCCGCACATGATGCGAGTGGTGGAAAGCTACGGAGGAGGCATCAAATGGGGCATCGGACCGGAAAAGGATGATCTTGGGTGCGAGGTCAAGTTTGGAAATGCTTGTGTTGTGTTGTGATAGGTAATCGATGGTTCGAGGTCGAGCTTCGGGGTCTGGCCACCAAAGCGATCAACCCACTTCTCATCAGGAAACCTTTAATTTTCATCAACAGCGACTCACCACTAGCAGAACTCCGAATTGCTGCGACACAAATCTTATAATACCACAAAGAAAGACAAGAGAGATTTTACCTGACCGCTTTGTCGAAGTTTTGGACCTTGCCTGGCATGGACCTACCCACGCCAAACACCTCACATGTACCATATGAGCGGGTCTATGAACCAGCCGAAGACTCGTTCCTACTCCTCGACACCTTCTCTCTTGACACAGAACGAGCGTTCCTGCGAGAAAGATTTTCAGAAAATGTGCCACTCGTCGTCGAAATCGGCACGGGCTCGGGCGTTGTGCTAGGCTTTGTCAATGCCCACGCGCAAACACTCTTTGGCACCAGACGGATCCTGACGGCGGGTGTGGACATGAACGCCTATGCGTGCAGGGCCACCGTCGAAACCGCGAGGCGGGCAGAGAGGGACAATCCATCTACACACGGGCTGTATCTGGGCTCGAGCATGGGCGATCTTACCACGTCCATACGAGACCACGAGATCGACGTGCTCATCTTCAACCCGCCCTATGTCCCTACCTCGGAGATGCCTCTACAACCAGACGAGTTCAAGCCAGAGCCGGCACCGAGCCAGCAGCCGTCATTCGACGACGATTCATATCTTCTGTCCCTGTCATACGCCGGTGGCAAGGACGGTATGGAAACGACGGATCGGCTCATAGACTCGCTGTCCGCTATCCTCTCGCCCCAAGGCTGCGCTTACATTCTGTTCTGCGCCCAGAACAGGCCCGAGCAGGTCAAGCAGCGCATACGTGGGTTTGGGCCCGCGTGGAGGGCTGAGACCGTCGGGTCGAGTGGGAAGACGGCCGGGCGCGAGAAGTTGCAAGTCGTCCGTATATGGAGGGAGTCAGACAGTGCATGATACCACCAGCGGGCTGGCTATATCGGGGGAATACATTGTTCTCAATCCAATCCGTGCGGATTCCAATTTCTTTTCTGTCTCTCGTGATGCCCGAATACAAAATGTCCCCAAACGCCAGATGCCATTGTATGAACCACCACCACCACCCACCCCCCCTTGTACCATTCCTGCATCGTCAGATCTCCATGGGCAATCAGCCTCGTCGCCCGCCACGTCCCCTGCCGCGCCCGCGTGGGCCACCGCGTCCTCGGCCGCCACGTCCGCCGCGACCGCCCGTGTCCGCCGCCTCCTTGCGGGCCTTGTTCTTGGGTTTCGGCGCGTCGTCCACCAGCAATGTGTCGAGGGGGAGCGAGTCCGGGAGGATGTAGTAGCGGATCGTCGAGCCGCGAATGTTCATGGTGTCGAGGGAGAGGGGATCTTGACCCTTGGCGGTCATCTTGACGTTGCGCAGGGCTGTGTTCATCTGGGGCGACACGGACGCGATGGTGCCGTGGACGATGGTGCCTGCGTCGGTCAGTAAGTACTTATGGCCTGCACTGGAGAGGCGGTGTTCAAGGGTCGGTTTCCGTACCATTTTTCAGCTCAATGGTCACCGTCTCGTTGGTGCATTTCATCAGGAACCTGGGCGCGCATTGTCAGTTCTGGCTCGGTGCTTGCGGTAGGTGAGCGCTCAGCAAAACTCAATTTGCTAGGTTCCGGGATAGTCTCACCTCACGAGCTTCATTGTGGCGGTTTGATGTCGCAAAGTGTGGGTGGCAGAGAGGTATTAAGTAGGAGTGCGTTATAGCTTGGTCGAGCAATCGCGTTCGTGATCGCAAGGCTGGAGCTTTGTCGCTGCAAATTGTCGGTCGGTACGTCGTAGCTGCGGTCGCCGGCGCATAGCACGTGACGCGGACTAGATGCGGTGGGTCTGTCCCACGACCATGTTGGAGATGATGAATTCACGGACAAGAGGTGACGAGGGAGCGTAGAGATAAATCACAAAGCTCCAGTTTCAAGGTAACTCATTTGTTCAGGCAATTCTAGCAAAACACTTCCGATGCCATAGTCGAGGTTGTAGAACTGGACGATGGACTCCTGTGATCACGTCAAGACCGACAGCTATCATACCCGCAGCGCACCGCATGCAATGAGGAGGAATGAGGCACGACTCAGAAGGCGGGTTTGTCTTTACTAGCAGCGGAGACTCTGGTAGTAAGTACGAGGTAGCTTACGTGAATTCAATAGGGAAAGCGACTTGGATCGTGACGACAAGATTGTGTGGCAGATACTATCTTTATAGAAGCTGGTGGTGGCATAATCTACCACATACGACCATACCCAGTGGAAAATACGGGATCCCGTCCGCTCTCCCATAGTCAAGCCGCTGAGGGGCTGATTAGTAGTTGGGTCGGTGACGACCAGCGAATACCGGCTGTTGTATGTTTTTTGTCTGTCTTTTGATCTTTTTCGTTTTTTTGTGGATTCAGTTGTAGGCTGTGGCTCGTTATTGCATGTGGTGCAAGTCTGACTTTCCGCGGATGTCGAATCCTTATCGATAAGCCCTGGTCATGGATCCTGCCGATCAACATCCGCTTCACCTCTTCGTGACTCTTCCAAACCGATCATACTCGAGTATTTTTCGACGCGATTGGCGCAGGTGAAACATCTCCCTTTGCCTCAGGTTCAGCACCACTTGATTCTGCATTCTTACTGCGCAAATCCGCTCCAACCCCAGTCTTCGTCACCCCGCCACCGACAAGGAGCCCCTCCAACGTTCACACATGCGACGGATGAGCTAGACTTCTTTGCATCGACGACCGAGATCGAGTGCGAGATAAAAGAGCACCACAGTCATGATTTCTGGGCGAGGGGGCTCGGGCGCGCGAGGTGCTCGCATCCGTCCGCCTCGCCGCATTGCTCGCGTAAGTTCCACCAACGTCCCTACACAACCCTTGGCGCACGAAGATCTGGCGTCTCCCTTCCGTCCCATACCTGACCGTGAAGCTGTGATTGAACTTTTCTAACGCTTCGCGCCAACAGCCAAATGCCCCAGCCGAAGGGGCCGATTTCGACGCATGCTGGGAGCTTCTTCGCGAAGCTCTCAGGGACATCCACAACAAGAACTGCAGTCGACTATCGTTCGAGGAGCTATACCGGGCCGCTTACAAGATCGTTCTTAAGAAGAAGGGAGATGAGCTGTACAATCGGGTCACAAAGTTCGAGGAGGAGTGGTTCGCCGAGAATGTCATCCCAAAGATTGAGCAGCTGGTGACGCGGAGCCTGGTCAACATCGGAGAAGACCGCAGCGCGGCGACGTCGGCGAACGAGAGGCGTCAGACGGGAGAGAAGTTTCTCAAGGGCCTTCGAGACACGTGGGACGATCATAACATGTCGATGAACATGACCGCGGACATTCTTATGTACCTTGACCGCGGATTCACGCAAGCCGACCCGAATCGCGTCTCGATCTTTGCCACAACGATTGCCCTCTTCCGAGATCATATCCTGCAGTCCAAGCTGGACGCCACCTCGGATCGGTCCGTGGTCGATATCCTAATCTCGGTAATACTGGACCAAATTGATATGGAAAGAGAGGGCGATGTCATTGACAGGACCCTGATCCGCAGCTGCAGCAGGATGCTGAGCTGCCTCTTCCAAAACCAGCTGGAGAATGAACATGAGAAGCTGTACTTGGTGCTCTTTGAGCCAAAGTTCATCGAGGCCAGCGAAGCCTACTACAAGGCCGAGTGTGAGCACTTGCTGCGGCAAGCCGACGCCAGTTCTTGGTTACGACACACGGAAAGGCGTCTGGGGGAGGAGACGGATCGTTGTGGCACTACCATTGAGTTGGAGACGTTGCCCAAGGTTCACCAAACCATCGACAACCACCTTATCAAGAGTCACCTGGACGAATTTCTGGCCCTCGATGTCACTGGTCTGCGATGGATGATCGATAACGACAAGTTTAACGACCTTTCGATACTCTACCGCCTGGTCAGCCGAATAGACGAGGACAAGACGGCACTCAAAAACATTGTCCAGCGCCGGGTGATGGAGCTCGGGCACGAGATTGAGAAAACCCTCAAAGGCATAGACTTCTCCATGGGCCTAGCGGAGGGTGAAGAGGGTGGCGAGGGCGATAAGAAGCCACTCAACCCCGCCGCGCAACAGACAGCTGCCGCCATTAGATGGGTTGACGATGTGTTGCGGTTGAAGGACAAGTTTGACGCCATCCTCAAGGAGTGTTTCCAGGAGGATCTGGTGCTTCAGGCCGCCGTGAGCAAGAGCTTCACCGAGTTCATCAACGTCTTCAGTCGATGTACCGAGTACGTCTCGCTGTTCATTGACGAGAACCTGAAACGAGGCATCAGGGGCAAAACAGAGGCTGAGGTCGACATTGTGCTGGAGAAGGCCATTGTTTTGATTAGGTACCTCCAGGACAGGGACCTGTTCCAGACCTACTACCAGCGCCACCTGGCCCGCCGCTTGCTGCATAACAAGTCAGAGAGTCACGATGTCGAGAAGCAGATCATCTCACGCATGAAGCAGGAGCTCGGCCAGCAGTTCACCAGCAAGTTCGAGGGCATGTTCCGCGACCTGGTCACATCGTCCGAGCTGACGACGGGCTACCGTGACCACATGAACGTCGCAGGGGAGGGCGAGAAGACCATTGACCTGAACATCAGCGTCCTCACGACCAACTACTGGCCCGCCGAGGTCATGGGCCGGTCCACGCAGATCGGTGCCGAGTCGCGGGTGACTTGCACATATCCCCGAGAAGTGTCGCGTCTGCAAGCAAGCTTTGAGCAGTTCTATCTCTCGAGTCGTAACGGACGAAAGCTGACGTGGATCGGCACGACGGGCAGCGCCGATGTCAAGTGCGTGTTTCCAGCGATTCCCGGTAAGTCGGGCGCGCTGGCCAAGGAGAGACGGTACGAGATCAACGTGCCGACCTTTGGCATGGTTGTCCTGCTTTTGTTCAACGACCTGGAGGACGGCGCATCGCTGTCCTTTGAGGAGATACAAGCTAAGACTAGCATCTCCACTAATGATCTGATGCGCACCCTCACAGCCATTGCCGTGGCGCCCAAGTCCCGGGTGCTCGCCAAGGAGCCTCTGACGAAATCGATCAAGCCTGGCGACAAGTTTACCTTTAACAACTCGTTTCTGAGCAAGACGGTCCGCATCAAGGCACCGTTGATCAATGCGGTGTCCAAGGTGGAGGACAGCACCGAGAGGAAGACGACGGAAGATAAGGCGAACCAGAGTCGCGCGCACGTTGTGGACGCAGCCATTGTGAGGATCATGAAGTACGTTATGTCTTTTGTCTGCCACTGCTTATTATATACTGACCCCTGTCCAGGTCACGCAAAGAATTGAGTCACGCGCAGCTTGTGAGCGAAGTGCTTAATGTGCTCGTTGGTCGCTTCAAGCCGGACGTGTCGCTCATCAAGAAGCGCATCGAGGACCTGATTACACGCGAGTATCTCGAGCGGCCCGACGAGGACGGCGCCCCCTCGATGTACCGTTACGTAGCGTAGACGCATCGCGCAGTTGCTTGTTTCATTCTGGTGCATATAAAAGGGGAATCGGCACGGCGTTGGGGCCTGGAAACGGCATGGAGTCTGTTCAGTCACGACAGCATAGCGCTTTGTACAGTGAGGCTATACAGCATGATACACGCAGCATTGTAATTTCGGCAGCGGCTTCTATACTTAAGAAAGGATAGGCTGGGTCTGCCTAGGTACTTTATGGACGTGAGAATCGAACGTGGATGCCTGACCTCTGGGGGAGAGACTAAAATAGTGATCGGCGAAAAGTGTCAGCCTCAGTGTGCGGATATATCCGAGCGAGCACCGACCGAGCGACCAAGTCCCCAATCCTCGGCGCGTGAACTTCTGCGGTCTCATACTGAGCATTCACACAATTCAACGCGCGTCGGATCTGCTTCCAAGGGTTTGTAGCGACACAAATCCCAAGATGTTCGCCTTTCGACGCACAATGGCCGCAATGGCCCCCCAGGCCTCATCAGCGCTGAAGCAGGCTGGCAAGGTCGTCTGCATCGGCCGCAACTACGCGTAAGCAGGAGAAACATCGTGCGTCGGTCTCATAGTAACTTGACAAATGCAGTGACCACATTGCGGAGCTCAACAACATGAAGCCCAAGCAGCCCTTCTTCTTCCTCAAGCCACCGTCCTCCATCGTCCTCCCCGGCGAGGGCGCGTGTCTCCGGCCCAAGGGCATCGTGATGCACTACGAGGTCGAGCTGGCGCTGGTCATGGGCAAGCTGGTGCGCGACCTCAAGCCCGACGACACCCAGGGCGCGCTGGCGGCGATCCAGTCGTACGCCATCGCCATTGACATGACGGCGCGCAACGCGCAGGACGAGGCCAAGAGGAAGGGTCTGCCGTGGGACATTGCCAAGGGCTTCGACACGTTCCTCCCCATGAGCCGGGTGATCCCCAAGGCGGCGATTGCCGACCCGCAGGACGTCGAGCTCTTCCTGCAGGTCAACGGGGAGACGCGCCAGCAGGGGTCGACGAACCTCATGATCTACCGGATCCCGCGCATCCTGAGCGACATCTCCAAGGTCATGGCGCTGCACCCGGGCGACATTGTCCTCACGGGGACGCCGGCGGGCGTTGGTCCCGTGCAGCCGGGGGATGTCATGAGGGCGGGTGTGCGCGTTGGGGGAAGGGAGATTGAGGAGGGCAAGATTGACATTCCGGTGGAGGAGTCGCCGAGCTCGTACACGTTCCACGAGACGTAGGGGAGGGCTTTTGTGGCACTGTACATGTACTGGGTATATATACAAATAGAGACTTTGATGGCTACAACTACAGATCACTCCAGGTTGGGATCTTGGATGGACCCAAGCTTGGGGGCGGCATCCGCCACCTCACCACACTTCTTGCACGTCCTCTTCTCCTGGTCTTCCTTGAAGGCGTTGACGGCCTGCTTGATCTGGGTGCCGAGATCTGTGCAGTGAAAGGCCGACTCGTCGACGACCTCGCCGCAGCGGCTGCAGTACCAGCGCAGGCGGTCGATGGACTCGGCGGGCCGCCTCTGCTCGATGACGAGGCCGACCGTGTTCGCGAAGCGGACGGGGTTGTGCGGCGTGTTGCCGGGGAGGAGGAACATGTCGCCCTCGCGGATGATAATGTCCCTGAACTTGCCGTCGTCGACGACCTTGAGCGTCATGGCGCCCTTGTACTGGTAGAAGTACTCGGGGGTCTCGTTGATGTGGTAGTCGGTCCGGGCGTTGGGCCCGCCCACAATCTGCGGCGTGTCAGCACAGCTGCGGTGTACCGCGAGATGGGGTTTGACTGACCATGACGGTAAAGTCCTCATTGTACACGCAGTAGTTGTTGATGGGCGGCTGCAGAAGGTGAGAGTTCTCACTCAGCCTGGGGTTTCTGTTAGTGGGCGTGCGGGACACTTGGGTGGGCAGTACCGTACCATTTAGGCAGATTGATGGGAGGGCCGAGCATGGTTGGAATGGCTCTGTATGTGTGTAATGATTCTCAAAGAGTAGATCTTTGGTTTGAGTTTCCGTTGTATTGAAGTGACCTGCGAGATATTCTTGGAGTTTGTCAGCTCGGAATTGACGGGTCCAAGGCATCATCGACCGAAACCAGGTCCGAGGAGGGGTTTGTCTGTATGATGCCGGTGTATGTGACTCAACTTGAACACTATGTATACAGTAGCGAAACCTCGAAACGAGTACTTTTGTTTCCTTCTCGTGTCCCTCATGGGAGCCGCTTTCAGAGTCACAGACGTCAATCTACCTTGCAATAATCATGTCACGCCTATAAACGACTCCTGCGCTAATGCCTTCACGCCACTCTCAGTTACCCGCTCTCGATTTAATCTTTGTATGATTCGTATCTCTGGGGTCCTCTAGATCCCATGGCCAGGTTTTGTGACCTTCGTCTCTTCCCAAGGCCAGCCATCGTAAGTGTCTGCGTCGCGCCAGAAACAGGCGCTGCGCTACAGGGTAAGTAAGGCTAATTAGCCTCGTCCGCCACCTCGAGAAGATACGCACCACGCAACTTACGCCCGTATCATGTGCCCAGACCAGGCCACCTAAACCCCACGCCAGTGCGTGAGCAAGTTGTCTGTCTCAACAATCTGGCCAGCTCCTCGTTCCTCATCTGTCTTCCCCTCCTCTCCCAACGTTGAACACATCCATCCCATCCCATCCCGAACCACCGCACGTATAGAGCACGACCACTGCGCCATGATGGACCATTCTCAGATGGACCACGGTGACCACATGCACGGAGGCCACGGCGACATGTCCAACCAGTGCAGCATGAACATGCTGTTCACATGGGACACGGAGAACCTCTGTATCGTGTTTCGCCAGTGGCGCATCAGCTCGACACCCTCCCTGCTCTTCTCCCTCGTGGCCGTTGTCTTCCTCGCGACCGGCTACGAGGGCCTGCGGGCGCTGTCCAAGAAGTACGAGCTCGCCACCGCGCGGCGCATCCAGTCCATCCCCAGTAAGTAGCACATCCGCCCCCCGCTGTCAGTCAGCCCCCCTTGCTGAAGGGGAATTTTCTGCGTGGTGAAGCTGGAGAGGCATGTACTGAGACGACAGCGTTGGTGGGCGCAGGGCAGAACCAGAACCAGGCTGAGCAGAGGGCGCATCTGATCAAGGGCTTGCTGTACGCGCTGCAGATTTTCTACGCGTTCATGCTCATGTAAGTGCAAGACACACACACCTGACGGACACTACGAACCGCTGACAATGATTCCAAGGCTCATCTTCATGACGTACAATGGCTGGGTGATGATTGCCGTGTCGCTGGGCGCATTCATTGGGTACGTCGTCTTTGGCCAGACAACGTCCTCCACCAAGGACAATGCCTGCCACTAGACCAATATTATTCCCTTATCACGATTCTCTACCATGGAAATGAACAAATAGAACGCTGTCATCATCATATCTTGCCTCGCTCGCTGTCATAGTCCTTGGGCCGATCCGCATGCGCAACCTCCTCAAACACACCGTCCTTGGCCGCAATGTCAATGATCATTCTGTCGCCATAGTCCTCATTGTGCTCCATCTCGGGCGTCTCGGCAAACGCCACACGCGCCGCGTCGAGGAGCACCCGCGCCGTCATCCCCCAGACCTTGAAGCGCCCCTCGTTCGCCTGCTCCTCCTCCAGCTTCCCGGCGAGGTTGCCCTGCCCGCTGCTGCTCGCGCGGCGCGGCGTGGACACGCGCTGGTTGTTGACGGGCACGTGGAAGTTGTGCACGCGCCAGGGGACGTCCTTCCACTGGATCCACGAGCCGTCGTACCACGCACCCTCGGGCAGCGTCTCGCCCTCACCCTTAACGGGGAGGTCGTCGCGCTTGAGGAAGTTGTAAAAGGGCGCGCTGAAGACGGCGGCGACTTCACGCGCGTCCAGGCGGGGGATCATGGCCTCTTCGACCAAGGGGGAGGCGTCGCCTGGTAGCTTTCGGTCGGCGTGGAGAAAGGCGACGACGGGTGTGACGACGAGATGGGTTCGGGCGAGCGCTGGCGGTAGTGTGCAGAGAGGTTCGACTCGGAAGGGCTTCGGCAGGCCGTAGTCGTTTTGGGGGAGGCCAATCTCCTCACTCGCTTCGCGACGGGCGATCTGATCTACGGGATGTCAGTCTTCTAGCCCATTGACATTGTAGAGCAATGGCGCTCTCGTACACGGTGTCTCCTCCGCCGTGTCCGCCTTCCCGCCAGGCAGGGCTGCGTGCCCGCTGAAGCTGCGGAGATTCGCAGCACGCATGGTAATGACGACGCGTAGGTCACCCCACCGGTCGGCGTACAGGAGGATCAGGACGGCGGCGCGCTTCCGGACAGGGAGCGTGTCCCATAGTGGGAAGGGCGGTGGCTTGTATGCGCGAAGACGGGCGACAGCAGCCTATGGCTCGATCAGCTTGCCGTTGCTCAGGTCAGACCCCACCACACCACGGGAGACGCGACGAACGGCAGCGAGGGGATTCAGCGGTGCCATGGTGGCAGCATCGTAGTAGAGGGACGCCTGTGTGGTGTCGTCGCGGAGGGCAGAGAGGGTGGCCCGGATGGCGACCAGGTCCTCTTCTGTGAGGGCGGGGTCTTGGGTAGTCGATGGCGGGTGATGCTGGTCTTGCTGCGCGTCGGAATCAGCAGGCATCGTGACTCCCCGAGTATTGGGGGAAAGTGAATGTGATTTATTGGAGGTGAGGAATTGGAGACGATGGACGAACATCCGAGGTTGGAATCCAAGCCAGTCGGACATGCGGCTATCGATAAGCTCATCGCGGGGGCGGGGTCCGAGGGGCGCCGCCATCGGGACGGACCGACATTCACAACTCGCTCTCTGCGATTTTACTCCTGGATACATACTTTCATTGACTCTGGGTATACTATAGCTACATGTACTGATTCTCTCGCTCATCCTTTACTCCCCATGGCTCGTGCGGATCGCTCTCTTCATCTCCTCTCGCCGCCGTGCCTTGGTACGCTCAGCATGCCACTCCCTAGCCTTCCCAAACAGACTTCTCCCTCCACGTTCCCCAGTCTCCTCATCGTTACCAACACACTTGGCTCCGTTGCAGAAAAATCCTCGGATGGAAGCCATGAGCCTGGCGGCCTCATCGTCCTCCGAGTCACTCTCAAAAGCACTGAGCGGTCGCTCGGGCCCCCACGACGTCTTTGGTCTGGGGGTGCCATCGCTGTGCGTCGCGAGAGCACGCCCTGGCGAGGAGGCCCTCTGTACATGCGAAGGCGTCGAGTTGGGCTTGGACGGCCTCTCGTCCACCATACTTGTCGCAAAACGATGATACTCCCGCGCGGCCCTCTTGTCATAGAACCGCCTCTCGCCAGGGTCCATGCGAGGTCGTGCGTCTTCGTCCTGGGAGTGTACTCTCGATGGCTCGCTGGGTATTCGCGCCCCACTCCGTGAGTCGTGAATGTCCACCTCGCAGCCCATCACCTTGCGCGCCTTGACGACAGAGCGGTGACCTGACGGAGGGTTGACCATGGGCATGGATGCGCGCGTCGGCGTCTGGGGGAGTGGCTTCGCGGTGGGATCCCAACTGATTGCACGCATGGGGACTGGCTTCCGTGGGATGAGCTTGTCCGGTACGGGTGGGCCTTGTGGGAAACGTCCGTGTCCTGGCGTCACCGTCGACGCTGATGGTATTGATGCGGAAACGAGTGTTTCCTGCCTGTACGGGGGCACAGATGACTTTACCATTGACCTCGGAAGAGACGATGGGCTCTTTACACGCAGAGGGCGTGGCAGAGGTGGCAGTGGCCGTGTATCGTATCCATCTGCCGTTGCCGTCCGCTCGTATTCCGCCATGCTGAAGCCGCTGTCTCGATGATCATATGGAGGGATGGCAATCTCCATGCCTTCGAGTGATGGATATCGTGGTGCCATGTCGTCGCAATGATGTATCCTTGTGGTCTTTCCCTTCTTGTCTGTAATGTTCGCTTTCGCAGTCGCAGGTTGCTTGCCTGTCTGATAGTCGTGTTTCATTCCCAACCGGAGAAAAAGGACGTTGACGGCACGAGTGAAACTCAGGGTGAGGTAGCCAGGCAGACCCATCCTGAACAAGTTCCAGAACGCCTTGGGCGGCGTCGTTGTTCACGGCAAAATGGGGGCCTCGTGATCTACTCTTGTTCCGTGACAAGGAGAGAGACGCAAAGGGCTGCGTGTTCGTCAGTCAGATTGGGAAACCTGATGCCCTTGTTCAGAGCGCCAGTGGCACGAGCTCAACCCTAGTTTTTCCCCTCTCGTTTTCTTCTTCTTTTCTTTGATCACTGTTGAGTCATGATCTGTGCGTTCCCCGTGATCATTGTTTGTTTCCTTTAGACCGCGGGCGATTGCCCTCAGGTTCCACCCGAAAATAGACCAAGTCATCATTAATCTGGCGAACGAATGGTCTTACCGTAGTTGAATCACGGCCAGTCCCTTCCAAAAGGACGGCGGTATGCCAGTGCCATGGGCCGTGAACAATAGCGCCTTGCGATATGCAGCGTGAGCAGGCTGACGAGAACAACCACTTTGTCAGGTGTACAAGACGGGGAACCTGAGCCTCCCGGTGATGCACTCATGACGGGTCGAGCATTGTCCGACCTGACAAGCACGGTCCATCAGAGCGGCTTGGGTAACGTGCCATCCAATACCTTCATGTGCTGCCATATCAATCAGCGCTTGCACGTGGGTGCTTTTCGCAGCAAGAGAGGGCGAACAAAGAAAAAATGGTTGAGTAAAAAAAAATCCAGACCCAGAATAACCCCGTCTATGCAGCGCCAAATACACAAGTCTATAAAACCCGACGCGACCTTGGTGGCATGGCCTTCTAAATCAAATCATCGTCGTCGCTGTCGTCGTCCTTTCCCTGGACACTCCTGAGCAAGATATCATCCACCCCCAGGCCGCCGGTCCCACTGTGTCGAAGCCACTCGGCCTCTGTGCGGAAGAAGATCCACACCCATCGCCGGAAAACTTCCAAAAACTCGATCAAGAAGATGCCGCTCTCAAAGTCGCTGAACTTGTCCAGATGCGGACTCAGCTTCATGGACCATGTGCAGCGTAGCATCAGGTCCAGGCCGATCACAACGTAGTAGAGGTTGACGGGTCTGAACATGAGTCTTTCGCGTAGGCCCCATGGGTGATGTGCCGCGGCGCGCTCCCTCTTCTCCGCGAAGAGAGTGAGGTCCCAATCCTTGGCGACGTCCCAGTAGAAGGAGTAGAGCGAGTTGATCAGGACAGCAAACAGCCAGAGCTTATTCATGACCGCCTTGCTGTCCGGGTCGCTGGTGTTGCGCTGCAGTGTGCTTGTGATGATGACGGGAAACGCAGTCGAGTATTTGAGCGCGTTGGCGAGGTGCTGCCCTCCCCAGCCGGTCGACTCCTTGTACGGCGCCCTCTTGACGCGGAAGTACTCGATGATGCACTGCCGGAAGCGGATCAAGCTGGGAATCGCCATCAGCAAGGGCACAAAGACCGTGCCTCCGCAGTCCCGGTCCGGGCGATGAGTAGCCGACCCCCCCGTGCGGAAGAACATGCACATGCTCACGTAGAGGTCTCCCACCACCTTGGCGTACGAGGTGAGCACATCGGCCATGAGGATGTCCCCGAATTTCCCATCCTGCGCCTGCGCGATGCCGCCAATGGCGATGCGTCGAAACGTCGAAAGGAAGCGTCGTCGGCCGGCCGAGGGGAGATCGCGGATCGGCACGAGAAACACGGCGAGCAGCGCGACGAGGTAGGTCAGGGGTAGCCAGTCGTAGGCGATGACGCGCGACGGTATGCGCCACGTCAGCAGCCAGAACAGCGTGATGGAGACGCCAAACAGGCCCGAGAGGACGGTCGCGAGACGGTACGTCGTAAAGTGATGCGGCACGTGGTGCGGCGACGTGCGCGTCGGGTACTTGATGAGCGAGGGCACGTCGATGTTGCAGCGATAGAGGCAGTGCAGGTTGAGGCCCCAGCCCCAGACGGCTACGGCTGTCAGGACGGCACTAGACAGACAGGGAAGTGAGAGGACATACCGAGGGTGACGATGAAGCCGACGCGGTACGGTAGAGGGAACGTCAGGCTGAAGGAGTCGAGCTCCGGCTCTACCGCGGGATCACCGTCCATGCCGCTTGCTGGTCGTCATCGGGCGACTGAGGAGCCAGTCGATAGCTGTAGCGATCGTGTGCGATGAAGAAAGAATTGGGTTTTCGAGGGGCAGCGAGTGTCCTTGACGCAATGGCTTGATGATGGAGATTTTGGTGTGTCCAGGTTCAGGTCCCGAAAGTTTAGCATTGGCCATGACATGAGTCTCCCACTGGCGGGGATCCACATAAATTTGCAGCCAACGTCAGCCTCGTCAGGGGCTGCACACTGTCATCCTCACTGACTGACTTTGACTATGCATCAGCAACTTGGGTATTTAATTGTTGTGCTGACTGTCCTTTCTACCAAAGCCAAAGGCTCTCCACACTGCCAGGCTCACGCTTGGATAGCCCATGATCCTATCATGCAGTCCGTACTTCATAATCTCCTCGCGAATGACGCCTCGCCCACTCCTCCTCTCGACCATCCAGCCTCCGCTTCCCATCTCTAGCCTGGTCGCCTTCTTCTCCCCCTCGAGATCCTCAAAGCTGATCTCCTCACTCGACTTGACGGCGTGCCAGAACAGCTGGTCGCTGTGCGTCCAGGGGATGTCATAATCATCCTCCCCGTGGAGTAGGTTGATGTAGTACTCAGGCCGGGCCATGTCCTCGTTGTGCAGGCGTATAAGCTCCGGCAGTCGCGTCTTGGACGACCACTTGTCCCTGATGAAAGTGTTGAGCAGAGTCAGCAGTCGAGGGAACTTGGCGACGGGCTCCAGTAGTGGTACCGTGCCGGCCACGCGATAGGTGGCCGTCAGAAGCTCGACGTCGGCGAATGGCGCGACAAGCACCATTCCGCTGAAATGGACCGGCTCCTGAAGGTGCGCGTAGTGGTGCGCCAGGGCAATGGCCACGGCCGTCCCCAAAGATTGTCCGAAGAGCACAATTCTCTCTGGAGGGATGCCCACTTCGTCCATCGCCCAGGTCGCCAACCTCTGGCTATCGATTTGGAGACCCTTCTCCGAAGGAGTGCCCGTGCTGGTCCCAAAGCCTCGATAGTCAATGGCGACAATGTGCACTCTGTGAGGTCCCATTGCTGATATCGCCCTGTAGTTTGGCGGCCTGTAGCCAGACCCCAATGTCCCTGCTGCACCGTGGAAGTACAGCACAAGCAGTGCTTCCGGGTCGTCTCTCAATATTTGGAAGCTCTTCCTCAACTTGATGTCCTGGGCCAGTCCAGCCGGCTCACTGAGCAAGTCCTCAGCATGATCCTGCCAGGCTCCTGGCGGGAGAATATGCCACGCGTGCAGTGTCTCGCCATCGGGTGTGTCCAAAGTGAAGGGCGTGACCTGGTTGTGTAGAAAACCCCATTGCTCGGGGAAGTTGACGTCCATCCACCATGTCAACTTGACCTTGTTTAGGTAAATGACCTGGTTTTGCACCGCTGGCACGGTGAGAATGGTTACAAAGGCAGCATAGAGGGCCACCACGCCAGCAAGGGCGTAGATTATTGACTGCAAAGCAGTTGCGGCGGCACCCATCTTGATAGTCACAATTTTGACGACAAAAGGAGTCACCGGCACGACCACAACACATCGACCGCGCGGTAAAATTGAAGTGAGGCCCCAAGTAGCATTTTGGCCCTCGGTTCCTGTGCCATATTCCATGGTCGCGTTCGAAATTGCGTCGTGTAACCTCATCTGCATGACATATGGGGAGGGACATCATCTCTGTATGTGCTTCGTCACAGCTCACAATTCTCGTCTGCGCCTGTCTCCTCGGACAAGCCGAAGCAGGATCGCCTGGCCAAGCTCATTGCCAGCTTCCAGATTGGGTTCTCGTCGTCCAATGCATTGGACGCTTCGCTCAGGGGCTTACTATAGCAACATTAAGCGCTAGACCTCAATACCCTCGCCATTGTCGTCTGCTCACCCATGAAAGCATTTGCAGAGAATCCCCAACGACCGCTTCCCCATGGACCCCTACGGGACGCAGGAGTACTTCCTCTGCTTCGCGACACTCGTCTTCACTGGCCTCCACGTCGCCGGATGGAACATGTCCTTCCCGACGTACACCGAGCAGATCCTCTGGCGCGTCGCGAGCCTGATCCTCTTCGGCGTCACGGCCGCATTCTGGATCCTCGAGACAATGGCTTCATGGGTACGGCTAGGACGCTGGAAGATGCTCTACCTGTACTTCTTCGACCGAGCGGCCATCCCCCGTTTTCGCCAAGCGACCTTTGACCGCCTCGACGAGGAAGAGCAGGAGAAGCCGCGCGATATCAGCACGTTACCGCTACCGTGGGAGTTTTGGAGCATTGCGCCGATCGCCATCTTGTATGGCATCGCGAGGGTCTATCAGCTTGTGGAAGGGTTCATGGAGTTGAGAGAGATTGACGCATCGGCGTTTGTGCACGTTGAGTGGACGCAGTACCTGCCTCATGTCTAATACAGTCAACTTTTTTCGAACTGTAATGCCAGAATGCCCTCTTGCAAAAAGGCCTGCAGGCAAATGGAAACTTCGAGCTCCGTTGTGCACCGCTGCAAGGCTACGTACAACGTCAGAAATTGGACCAACCACGAGGAGCCCGCTGGCCCTGCCAGAACTGCGCAGGCTTCGGGGACAAGCCGAGCTGCAAAATGATACGATGATGCTGTTCATGCACAAGGACCCTTATCACGAGGCCACCAGTCTCAGTGTGCGAACATTGGTGGCTGCCGGGATCACATGGTACAGCAAACCCCACAATCCGTGCCACCACACCATTTCGCAACCTCACATGTCTTGGTCGTCCTCATGGAGCAGGAATGAATGAACAAATGTTATTGACATTGTGGCTGCTATGTTCTGCGGGTGAATTAGAATCGTTAAAGCCGTTCTGCGACTAGCAGACGTGGGGTATCAATCATCGGATCCTCTCCTTCAACAACAACCTGTACAGGCGTCTCCTAACTTACATCCTTGCTCTCCCATCCCTGCCCCTCTCTTTCTATGCGCACTATAACGACGCTTTCTCTCATCTTGTCTCACTCGTGATCTCGACAATGAACTCGGCAATTGCCTCAAAGTAGCCTTCCTCGAGCACACTTGAGTTGTGGTCGCCTCCGGGGAGGGGCCTCCACTTCTTGATGGGGGCAGCGCACAGGTCGTAGAGTTGGCGCATGTGGGTAGGCCTGCCCAGAGTCGGTTAGTCCAAGACGTACGACAAGGTATGCGAGTAAAGTAGGCAGTGGGGCGTGTGATCATCAGACATAAATGGTGATGTAGTTTATAATCAGGACCCGGAGGTTCAGATTTTGTGGGTGTATATGTTCATCACGAGATCAATGGCAGTGTAAGACAAGGGGGGACACTTACGGTACTATCTCATCTTGGAGACCACTCAAGAAGAGCACTGGAACCTTTTTGATGCTGGGCAAAATGCTTTCGCTTCCCCACACCTGGTGGCACAGAAGGGCCAGGTACTTGGCTGGTGGTATGACCGACGGGATGAGCTTGCGCATCGAGAGGAAGGTGTTCTCGAGTACAAGGCCGACAATGTCTCCAGCTTCTTGGTTCTTGGCAACAAGCTTGATGCCAACGGCACCTCCCAGGCTCTGCCCATAGATGATGCGTAGGTGGTCTCGGGTCTCCGCCCGCTGCCTCAGATAGTCTAAGGCAGTTTGTGCATCCACGTTGAGGCCAGACTCGTCTGGCTCGCCTGTGGAAGCACCATAGCCTCGATATTCAAGCATGAACACGTTGCAGCCAATGAGGTTGACAAGCATGCGTGCTATCGGGAGTCGGTGGCCAATGTTGCCAGCATTCCCGTGGAACATGATGACCGTAATGTTCGAATTGCTGCCGCCTCGAGGGCCGCGGATATAGAACGCGGACAGTTTTTCGCCATCATCGGTCGGTATCACGAGCTCTTCAAAGTCTCTGATTCCAAATTGTGATGGTCGGGGTACTTCCGTCCGTGCATTAGGCGGCATGTGCGAGGGATATATGAGGGCTCTGCGAGACACGTGTTAGCACCATTCGGAAACCGCTGTCATCTGGCACATGACATGAGCGCATGGTGGACAAACTTTTGCTTGAAGTAGAGTAGCGTGGTCAGTACCGCAGCGATTCCCTTTGCGAGCACCCGTGTCAGCCGATCCGGGGAGTCGGTGGCGAGCTGCAACGCAGCAGGGGAGGTCATTGTACCGTCGAGGCTATGGCGGGCAGGCGCATGTAGCTGCCGACTGAGCTCAACACCGAGACCGTCTGTTCGAGATAGGAGGTCATTGTAGGTGAGGCAGCGTTCGAACTGGACATGCTGGTACGCTCGGGCATGGAGGGCACACAGTCTAGGTCTGCATGGACGGAGCAACGGCTGCCTGCTGCGAAGCGGATGGGCCACTGCGCTGATGACAGGGCGAAAAGAAAAGAGAAGAAGAGCAAGTAATTGAAAGAAAGACGACGAGAAGGAGAGTTTGGCAATGCGTCAAGGCGTTGCGGTGACAAAGCTGGCGCTATTTGACAAGGTTATCGAGGAGAATTGTTGACCGTTGAGGGGTGCCCTGTAGTGGAAAGCAGGAACCGGCCAACCGACGAGCCATTCGCAGTCGTCAGATCTGACTAAAAGCTCCACTTGTTCTGGGGGAGGAGAATCTCGGAAGCTTCAGAACATTCGGAAAGGCCCATAATTCATCATTTCCACCCAGCCAGAATCACCTCATTGACCGCATTTTGCAATTTGCCAACCCGGTGACGCGACTCGTAGCTGTTGGGACTCGGGCACGCTGGGCGGCGCAATTGCAAGCTCATGTCGTTGTGCCTCGGAACCACGTCCATCTCTAGGCTCTAGCCTCTACGTAGTACAATGTCTGAGGCAGGTAATTGTGCATGATCAAACATGCTTATTAGACTCTGATATCGTCCTTAATCGCTATCCTTGTTGATTAGCTTTATCAGACAGCTTCCACAACTGTTTGTCAGCCACACGACAAGGGCATCATCATGTTGAGCCTCCGATCCACAACTCGCAACCGACCAGATGATCTATCAACAAGTTCCGCCCAGCCTTTTTCTTTGAGGCTGATTGCCACCTAATAGCCTCTAGCCCTCTGCTGTCCAGAAACCTTGATCAACGACCTGTGGTGCAGGAGGCTAAACTTGCGGAGAGAATACTGTCCGTGGTACTCCGTACTGGGTGACAACCTGACTACAGTATCAACACTGTTGCAATGGGCAATACTAAGTGAGCGTTGACTTGTTGCAAAGTCCAGTTTGAAACCTGACAGTCCGTCTATTCGAATCTCAACGAGGCGCATGTCGTGCTGCCACATGACTGGCATCCAAACTTCAGTGTCTGAAACACGGGCCGTCTCAACCCACGAACCCCTTCAACGCAAGAGGGCGGGCATTGATGTGCTCACCTGGTCTATTCACTTGACTTTATGCCTAGTCTAGATGCTAAATTAGTCTGACGAGAACAACAAACTGTAGAATCGTCATCCCCGTAGAAGATGAGTCGAGCATGACCAGCGGCTCACTGTAAGGAGACCTTCTAATTGCGAGCGCCATGTGGAATGCCGATGCTGCAAGGAGTCCAGAGACGATGACGCTAAGCGCCACCAGTCTTTCGATGCGATGGTGTGCTGCGATGCAAGCCTGCGTCTCACGAAGTTACAAGTGGGAGGAATTCCACAGGGTACGCGCGCGTCATTCAGCAGCTGTGCCCTTGCATTGGGGTCGCGGCACGAGGGGTCCTGGCCCTCGCAGTGCTAACTAATAGAAGCTGCCCCAAGCTCAAGAGCATCAGGAAAGATTGTCACATGTGTGTATCAAGGGGGGGACGGGCGATCTCTAACGTTACCTTGGGAGCAGCAGCGCCTCTTCACTACAGGTCGAGCCTTGACAAGACGGACTGTTGCTTGCTACCCGCCTGTCCTTGTACGTACTACGTACATCACCTGGGAGGGGCAATCTGATCAGACAGCTTGAGATTGGACTTGTGATAAGATGCAACATCGATGATCCTGGGAGAGACATTGCCCAACTTCGCATTGGCGTGGATCATGACCCCCTCATATGACCTGGGCATAAATGAGCAGATGCAGGATGGTATACCGCGACCAACCACGACGCGTTACTTGGAGCGCGGTTGCTGTGGAGACAGGGTTCGGGGTCTAAAGTGGATTAGCAGTGCAGCGTGTGGCCTATCACCGAGTACCTTACCGTAAAGCGACGTTCCTGCCCAAGCTACCGCGCTGGCGGGCGACGACGGAAAGAGCAAACGGAACAGTGACATGAAGAAGAATTGGATGAAAGCCTTAACCTCTCTCTGATAGCAGTCAGAAACGATTGGAAAACTCTTCTTTAATAGGGACAATGCACACTCACGAGCTGTGCACATTTTTTTAGGCCTTAATGTAACTCGGGCCTCTGAGAGACCTCGGAATTTCGTTCATTGTGCGTCTCAGTACTGCCGGAGGCGCAGAGTGTAGACACACTCGCCGCGCGCTGATCGCCTCGACCACCACACCCTCACAAGCATCCAGAGCCATTGCAATCAAACTCAAGAAAACAAACCAGAGCCACTCAACTCGCCTATCGACGCCACATTCTCGCGTCCCACGTCTAGAGTCTCACTTACGCGCCTTATTTGGGACCAAGCGTTACAAACCTCCGTTCAGATCCTGCTGCGACCTGCTATCTTCAGCACTGGCCAGGTCCCGCCCCTCCATTCCTTCTATTTTTCGCTTCCCCCCTCCATCGAAACCCGACACACTGCACCAACAGACGTTGACCAGAAACGCCCGACGACCGTCTCTGGCTTCCACTTCGAGACAAATTCCTCGCAGCGACTCCGTTCGAAGGGATAGTGTAGCGCCCTCGTGCATTGACGTCTCCGAACCCAGCCCACGGTCCGCCCCGGGGAACTGACCTTCACCTGGAACGCGCATTTCGACAAAATATTCAGGCCGAAACAGAGGCATTGCTCGAACCGCACAACCGTTGCCGCCGACCAATTGTGTCCTGCGCCCAGTCCACTCACGACCGAGCATATCTGCGACTCAGCGCTGGCAAAGCATTTTTAACGCTCCGTTACATATCGCGGCCATACAAAGTTTGCCAGAGCCGACAACCAATCACCTACGACCTCATCGTCACTCTCTGCTATCATCATGGTTTCCTTCTCTTGCGAGGTACGTACATACTCTGATGAAGTGGCAGGCTTCAAGCATCGTTCGCCTCACCCTACCGCTCCCCATCATCATACCTCCTCCCCCTCGCATCTCTTCATTCCCATGCCCGCTACAAACTGCACCCTTGTCCGGTCCTAGCACCCCACTATCCCTTTTTCTCTCTCTGTGTGCCAAATCCCCCTTGGCCATCCCTCCATCCCACCATTCCCCAGAGCTAGACAATCCCAGATCAGGCCTGACATCACCCGCTTCACACCACATCTCATACACCACCAGTCCACCACCCCTTACCCACGTTAGAGACCATATAGCCCAGTCGGGTGATCATGGTGCCCACCTAGCCTACTTCGTAGTTGGCTCTTACATACGACTCTGCCCCTAACTGCACAACGGCTCCCTATTCAAAACCCCCCACCGCGCTGCATCCAAGTCGACTCTCTGCCACTGACAACCTCGCTCTCCTACGCCAACTAACCCGACGTCTGCGCATATAGGGCTGTGGCGACGTTCTTACGAAGAAGAAGCTCGATCCTCACCGCAACCGCTGTCGCGGCGCCACCTTTACTTGCATTGATTGCATGGTATATTTCCCCGGAACCGAGTATCGCGCACACACGGTATGAGCCTACACGAAGAGGAAATCTCGCTGTTTGCTGACACCATCCAGAGTTGCATGTCAGAGGAACAGAAGTACCAAGGCGCCCTCTACAAGGAAAAGAACAAGAAAGCGAAGACAAACAACAGCTCCAAGAACGCCATGGCTCAACACGCCTACGTGGAAGACGCCGACGAATGGAAGGAGTTCCCTGGACAGACGAACGACGGGTGGTCGCCCGCTGCTTTCCCACCAGAGGCCCCGACGCCCCCATCTGCTGTCCCTGAAGTGGATGTGCCCAATGTCTTCGACTTCCTCGTCGCCACCGGGCAGACACCCAATGCCTCCAATACCGATCTGGTCCATGTCAAGGAAGGAGATGAGAGTCAGTCTCTAGTGCGCTACGAACGCAACGAAGAAGACTCTCTGGATGCTGCTCAGTTCCTGAACAAGGAGCCTCTTGTTGAATACGGCGCCGGCCCATATGATACCCCAGCCGCCTCCAAGGCCGAACGGCGCAGAAAAGAAGGCGACCTCAAGACGGACAAGAAGAGGAAGCGACTGCACGTGGATGTGCCAGGCGACCAAGTCATGACCGACGCGCCTCCGGTCCTGTCCTCAGGATTGACCGGCGGCCTCAAGGGGCTCATGCGCCAACAGTTCCCGCCATCCCCCGACTACTCTGGCGGTGATGCTGCACCACTCAGCCCTCTCAAGAAGAGCAAGCACTCGAAACACTCCAAGCACGGTCAAAGCAACAGCATATTCGGGATGATGGCAGGCAACACCAAGACGAAGACAAAGAAGCGCAAGACGTCCAAGAAGCACTCATCACGCGAGAAGAGCGACAAGCTGATTGAGTATCGCCCTGGCTCCAAAGATAGCAAGGACGGACAGGATGGCCAGATGATCCTGTTCAAACCCCAAGCCGAGGTGCTCTTCAAATATGTCAACAAGGGTCCCGAGAGCGACCGCGGTTGCAGCATGAACAAAGTGCTCAAGCGATTCCATCGCGACCGTCAGGCCGCTGGCGTCGACATGTCGAAACACGCTGCGGAGAAGGAGCTTTGGCGATCTCTCCGGATGCGCCAAAACGATCGCGGCGAGATTGTCCTCTTCTCGGTATGAGGGCTGTCATGCTAACGACAAAACACATCTCATCTCTTCTTGTACGGCTGGGCATCAATCACATTGGGAAATTACAGGCGTCCAGCGCTCAGTGTTTGCATTCTTCTTTGTCTACATCTTCTACCATTGAAAATACCCATACGGCACGGCACGGCCGCTGTTACGTGTATCACTTCCCGCGGATGAATAAACAGGTGGTGCAGGGGCCTTCGCAGGAGCCTGAGCAATGGCACGCAAGCTTCAAGCTGGTCTTGAGCTGGGGCTGGTCATAATGGGCCCATTGCAAAAGATTCCGACTATGCGTGGTCCGCTTGGTCACAAGTTGGCGGTGAAACTCTGTATTCATGATATATGTGTGGGGTAAAAGGATTTAGGAGCGACTAATGGATGATGAGGATTGAGGATGGGGCAACGTTGGGAAACGATTGCGCATGATGTGGATTTATGTTGAACGAGATATTTCAAGCTTACTTGGAGCCTTCAGGGTCTTTGTGTGATTCATGCAATGCTTGTGCGTGCTGATTCTATCCATTATATAACTCGCAAAGGCAGGATATGCTGCACCAGGGCATCTCGCCTGCACAAGGGGCACTCTGGTTTCTCCCGGACCCAGTCCCCGATACATTCCCAACAAAAGACGTGACCACACTGCGTAGCCGCCGGGTCCTTCAACTCCTCCAAGCAGAGCGTGCACTTGCGCTGCTGCTTGCCCTTGATGTAGGCCATCATCTTGTCATCCGTCAACGCGATACGCGGCACCGTGCCAACGGGTGTGTGCGTCGCCGCGGCAATGTCCACCTTCATGCCCTGACCGGTGCCGATCCCGCCGCTGCCCGGGAGAAGGGCATTGTTCGCCGAGTACGAGTTGTCGTGGTCCAGCGACACGTCGGCGGCGGCGGCCTCGAATCCGACTCGCTCCCTTGCCGGCTCCTGTGCTTGCAGCGTCGAGCGAACATGGAGATACCCCTGGACGGCCATCTGAATCACCAGCAGCACGCCCAGAACCTCGTAGCCCGCTCGATCCGGACTGTCGGGCACTTTGCGCGTGAACACGTAGCGCAGGTTGAGGAGACGCTTGGAGAGCTCGTAGTACGTCCCGCTAAAATAGAACACGGCCAGCGTCAGGGCGTGCAACGGCGCCGAGGGGGTGAGGCTCGGCAGATGGCGTAGGATGTATTCCAGTATCCTCGCCTGGCGTGACTTGGGGTCCTTCTGCCGCTGGACGGCCAGGCGTGCTTCCAGGACCCTGCGCAACCGCGTCCGCAGGCCGGGCAGCGCGCGCGACACACCGTACGGCACCAGGATGGAGGCGACAATGTAGCCTGCCCTCCGTCGCAGGCTGGGCAGTTTGCCATTGTTGCCTTCGAGCTGTACCAGGTCGCAGTATTCCTCGCCCAGCGTTCGGTTCCCGGGGAGTGTGGTGAGGGCGAAGTAGAGCAGCGTGGCAACGGTGCGTAGTTCGGGGGCGAGGGCGTGGGCGGAGCGGGCGCCGAGGAGGCGGCGATGGAGGTCGGTCAGGGTGTTTGTGAGGTGGCCGGTGAAGTAGGCATCTTTCTGGTGGGAGCGAATGATGTCGGGAGCCGCTGCAAAGGGGAATGGGGAAGCCATCGTGATGGTGGTGCGCGCCGGTCGCGTTGCGCTCTGGTGTGGTTCGTGGGGCTTCGTTATTCCGTGGGGGTTTGATGTTTTGTGCGAAGTAATTGCAGCTGTGGTCGTACTTGGTACAGCAGGCTCAAGAAGTGAGGCGTCGGAGTGGTAGAATGATTCTTGGAGGTTGAAGTGATGGCGATCTCGGCAGGGGACGGACGATGGTGGACCTCGGCATTGGCACCCGGACCGCGTCTGTCGAGTTATCAACTTAGACCGTCAGCTCCAACTCTCCTGCGCAGCGCGTGTTGTATTGCACGCTATAATTCAAGATGTCGCCAATTGGAAACCTCTAGGCTTTGTAACACCTTATGAAAACGACCATTTGCAACTGTAGACACCCGTAGGGGACGCTTGGGTGACGCTTGTATTACAATTCCTTAGAACTCCGGTCTATGCTGCTACCAACTAACTGAATCACGTCCCCAACAACTGCACTTCTCCATGGTCACGCAATCAAGCCTCAGAATCCGGCTGAAGGACTCCCCAAGCAGAGGTCCCCTTGGTCTCGGGCTGCTTCTTCTTCGCCATGAGGACCTTTTTGCCCTTGGCGGCCGCTGGCTCGTCAGGCGTCTGCGGCTCCTTGACCTTGCGAGCAATGGCACTCCATCCCTGAGGATCCATTTTGACCCGCTCGCGACGGGTCAAGTGGTCATTCCAGTCCGCAGCGACGAGGACCACATTGCCAGCGAGGTTGCGGTCCTTAACGGTAGGCACAATGGCATCGCGGAGAGAAAGCAGACCGCTCTCCAGTCCATTGGGGCCGAGAGAGGCAGAGTACGACGCCGTGATGCGGAGCAGCACTTCCTCCGTGGGCAGGAACTTGACGCTCTGGAGAACGAAGCCCTGTGCCACGATCAGAGACTCGATGCCCTCCTTGATGTCTTCTACGGTCAGCCCGAACCCGACTGCTGTGAGCAAAAGGGCGTTGAAAGGGGCTTGGGCGAGGGCCTGGGCAGCGGCCTCCTCGGCCTTCTTCTCGGCCGCTTGCTTTGCGCGGATCTTGACACACTGGCCGAGAGTCTTCTGCAGGCCGCCGGGGTAGTTCAGTGGTTTCTCCACGGTGACGTGACGATGGACACCGGCATCTTGACTAAATGTAGTCAAGCGGTGATCCTTGCAGAGGAGATGAATAAACTGCCTTTTGCGGTTATCCATGGGATCGAATGCGATTCTGTGCTCGCCGGGTGTGGCGGCAAAGACACGGATCTCACGCTCCATCTTCTCAGCCCAATTCTTGAGCTCCTGGAAAGCAGTGATGGTGTCATCTGAGTAGGGAACATGGTCGGTGAGCTCGGTTTCGGGATTGATTTTGAGGGCGTCGGCAAGACGAGCGTTGCGTGCCAGGCGTGCACACTCGTCATCACACTGGATCGTCTTGTGCGCCGGGTCGAGGTTGGAGTCGCAAGCGAGGCATTTGACCTCGCTCTTCCGGTGGCCACACTCGCACGTGATGGTGACCTTGGCCGGACAAGGCAGAGACTCGCTGCAAGGGGTCTTGCCATGACAGAGGCTCTGGTCGGGATGACCACAGATGCTGCGCGGCTTGCCACAAATCGAGTTGCAACAGTTGCCCGGTCTCGTAGATCCCTCGCACTCGCCTTCTCTATGGCAGGCCTTGGTGCACTTGTGCCCACAGGGAAGCTCCTTGCCACAAGGTGTGCCGCAATAGACCTCTTTGATATGGCACGGAACGTGGCTACGGGTCTGTCTTCCACATGCGCATCGCTTCTCCACTGGCGTAGGACACTTTGGACAGTCTACGTCGTCGCCATGGCAAGGATGCGGCACAGGAGGGTGACCACAGGAGGGCTCTCGCTGGCAGGGCTCCGTGCAGACCGGAGGCTGCGTGCCGCAGCGCAATGGGGCGCGAAGAACGGTGCTACCGCAATGGCAGGTGAGGTCTTCAAAGATACCATCGCGGCAGGGCGGGCAAGGTCCGCGATGGCAGAGCTCGGGACAGGAGTGTCTGCCGCACTTGAGTGGCCTGTCGCACACACGAGTGCAGATATGCTCGATGGGCTCCTCACGCTGTTGTCGGCGAGGGCCGCTCTTCTCCACGGGGCAGCAGTGCTCGCGGCACTGATGGCGTCCGCAGTTGAGCTTGTCGCGACACATGCTGAAGCACATGGGTTGCCCGAGATGGCCGCCGTAGCAGGTGGCTTCCTCCGAGACACGTCCGCAGCGGCACCGCAACTGCACGGGTTGGGGGCAGACTGGGCATTCGCCTTTGTGACACTTGCTTTGGCAGCGATGTCCGCAGACCAGGGCCTTGCCACAGGTTTCCTCGCATGTAGCCAGTGGATCCTGGCACGACTGGCGCTCTGGGGCCTCGAGTGCTTCGAGTGAAGTTCGGCCGCAGGCGCAGCTCACCACAAGCTCGGGAGACCAAGGGCAGTGGCCGGCCGCCGACTTCTCATCGTGCACGTGGCACGTCTGGAGACATCGATGGACGCCGCAATCGAGCAGCCGATCACACTTGTTCCCGCAACTATAAGAGCCCTCCCATGTATCACCGAGCTCTGAGTTGTGGCACTCCTGTATTTCCTCGCGCTCGTCACACCGTAATCGTTTGTTGAACTCGCCGCAGAAACAGATGGAGTCGAACTCGAGGCGACAAGGCTCGCATGGTCCTGGATGGCAGGGTTTCTCGCAACTATGTGTGCCGCACTGGAGCAGCGTCCCGCATGGCTCGCCACAAGACCACTTGCCGTTGCGGTCCGTCTGGCGACACGACTTGCGCTCCTCTTGAGCGCCACAGTGACATAGGGAGATCTCATTGACAATGGGACATGGCGGACAGGCTCCCGCGTGGCACTGCTCGATGCACCGGTGGTCGCAGTTTGGCAATTCCTTTTGACACATCTCACCGCACGAGTGTGGCGGAAGTGTCGCAGGCGATGGACCCTTGAAGGGTTCCTTTGCGCACCAACAGGTGGGACCCTTGGGGAACCCCAGGATTTCCGAATTGCAGCAAGGTCCTCGCCATGGCTCGATCCCCTTTTGGAACTTCTTCTCGGCGTCGTCCTGGTACTGCACCCATTCCTTGACACACTTCCAATGGAGTACATTGTAGCACTTGGGACAGCTAAAGACGGGGTTCCGTCTCGTCACGTTCTCGGTGCAGATACTGCATGACAAGCGTCCAGCGACAATGTCCTCTAGGATGGTGGTGCCGCGCTCCGTGCCGCCATACTTGGGTTTTATGACCTTGGGCCGTTGTTGCTTTTTGGGTCTGACAGGGACGCTGCTCACGTTAGCCTGATGTCTGGTGGTGGTGGCGGTACACATCTACACTCCTACCTTTTGGCTTGTTTGGAGGGTTGAGTTGACTTTTGAGAGGATTCCGAGGGTTGCCCGGGCACAAATTCCTGGGCTTGCGCGCTCAACTTGGCCTGGGCTGTTGCTGATGAAGAATTCGCAGTAGGTGAGTCGCCATTGCTGCTCTTGGAGGCGGCACCCTTGGTCAGACTTCCCGAAAACGCCGGTCTCCTCTGGCCGTTCCCTTTTCCTCCCCTCATGGCAGGGTGTTTCCCGTGCGACGCAGACTGTGTAAGGGTCGAAGACTCAAAATGATGATGATGACGTTCTGGATGGACGGTAGTGACCGTGTGTCTAGCTTGATGGGCTGCCGTGGCCGAGGCTCGCGGAAATAAATCCCAGACTGATGGCTACGTTTGTTCGGTAATGTTGAAAGAGCTTCACGATGCAGTCTGGGCGAGGGTTTAGAGTCTCCGAGTTCGAAGGTGTGGCGAGTCTTGTCGAGGTTTGTCACTCACTGAGCGGACGGGACCCACATGAAGTGAAGTTGAAAAACACAGGCTCCCGCAGAGGCAAACTCACCATGACTCACCAAGACAAGAAAGAGCATCAGATCCAAGTCGACTTCGCCTCTTCACGCGCAGACTTGTCGGGTCGTCAGCAAGAAGCCTCTAATTTTGCATGCTCTGCAGATATCACATCGCAGAAGCTCCTTGTTTGGCAAACACCAGGCGAGCATGTGCTTGCGACAGCGTGTTCCGCGTGATGCCGACTGACGTCTGGCGACGAGGCCATCCAGAGCATGGGTAATTACTCCGTACCTTACACAAGCAAACGCGCTCCCCCGAGCAGCTGCACAATGTCTCCTTGTTGGTTTCGCGCGGCAGATGCTCGTTACTTGCTTCCTGATCACCGCACACGTCAATTGTCGCGCTGTCACGTGACGACGTTGGCCTTGACATCACCACGGTGTAGTGGATTCTGCGGATGCTCTAAAAGCTGATAACGTCTGTCGGGAGGCGTTAAGCCAGCAATTTGTCTTAAGGGTCTGCTCTGACCGTCGCAATCGGTGTTGCCTTGAATGCCTTCTGCGCTACCCACTACGGCAGTCATTTGTCCCTTTTCCTTTGACAAAGCCTGTGCGTGGGCTGGGGAAAAAGCAAAGATGGTCTGGGTGCGCCACTAGATGGCTATCCCACCACTTCTCGATAACTTCAGGCGCCTGAGTTCCAGTCGCGACGTAGGGCTGATTGTACAAAGCCGTGTGGCAAAACGGTTTCTCGCATTCCAGAGCATGAACCGTTTTGACATTTCATTGACAGCTGACTCGCTTTTCCAGCCTCAACTGGCCTGTTCCGAGGGCTAAGGATAGACTCATTTAGCTCACCTTGGCCCTTGGGTTCCTCCCAGGCGGGATTTTGGCGGCCAGAGGCGGGACTGGACTCGTCTGATGGAATCCGCTAGTCCAGATAGTATACCTCACAATTGCGCCGTAATTGATTCCTCGTCACATGTAGACGTTGGAGGCCTTATCAGCACCGAAATGCAGGCGTGCGGCTGGTATCAAACAGTCCTCGCTGCTGGACGCCAACACGTACATGAGAAAAGGGACATACATATACGAGATGCACGATGCAAGCTGCAAAACTACTTTCAGCCGTGTCATATCATATTCATGCAACAACAGCTGGTGGCCTCTTCGTATGCTGCAGGGTCAGCTATGCACTACCGGTACATGTACTTAGCACAGCGACTGTACAATTCACCTGGCATCACATGATTATTCGCCCGAGCCTGAGAAGCCAGCTGTGGATCTCAGTCTTACCTACCTCAGGTTCAGGTCATTGTTGGAGAGGCGCTATCTTGGCAGACGGTCGGCGGGTCGCCGGCACGATTTGGGTACGAGATGTTGAGCACTATGGTCCATGTCGGCGCTTGCCAAGGCCCTGATATTGAAAAGCACACTATGAAATCCTGCAGACAGTCTATCAATGTTCATAAAGGCCTGGGTATCATAGGATCCCCGTGTGAGTTCCGCCAACTGCTTCGGATGATCATGCAGAGTGAAGAAGGATTTTCAGTAAGGGTCTCCTCCTTTGTCTCACCACCGTGGCACCGCCCGCACTGACCCCTGGCACTAAGTTTTAGCACTTATAGATTCAGTTGTTACCTTACCGGATCGGATGTGGTGGCCCAATAGTTTGGGTTTAGCGTTAGCCATGGCCCAAGCCCCGATTCCAGATCTCCATCTCTGTTAAAATCGTCCCCAACAGACACTATCTAGACCCTCAAGCTTCGCCGGCTATTCATGCTACGTATTCACGGCTTTCGTAGGTCGTGCCATGACCAGAAACCTGGGCTCGCCGAACACCAGCCCTGTGGCACAGCTAGGCGTGGTTCCATCCGCATTCTGTCTGGGGCAGGAATAGCGAACCATGGTCGAGGCTGGGCGCCACGCTTTTATTCACGCGAACAAAGGTCTTAGAACCATCTGGCCACGCCTCGAGGTGCTTGGCGACAGTTTTGATTACGGTCTGCCAAACCGAGGGGGGGGGAGGGCTATACTAATAATACTGATAATACGACTAGTACAGTAGTGCTGTAATTAGGTATACAGGCGGAAGAGACTGGGCGGCACCGGCACCCGGCACACGCAGCTGATGTTTATTATTGCATGATCACTTGCTCATCACGCAGAATCAGCACGCAAGGCGACAGGCACATGCTGAGTTGTTCCCGCGCCACCCTCATGTTCAGCACGCCTAGGCACTCGAAGGTGTGGTGCGAGATTGATCATGTAAACCTTTGTTGGTGGGCGGGCCCGGACCTTAGTGATCGCCCGGCCCTATTGTGTGCCCGACCACGAAGCTGTACCTGGATTAGCGTTGACAACTTGAATAGGACGTGAATGTGATCTACTCCGTGCTAGTTATAACTAGTAGTAGACTAACCTGGACATTGTCATCGGTGCACTCATTATTTTCGTCGCGCCAAGCAGCTCATCAGGAATTCCAGTCATTGCTGGGTAATTGAGATCGTACAGCGCTCTGGCTTCCATTCCTGGAGACGTTTACGCCCGAAGCTCAGGCTGCCCACATTGTGGTTGAGGTTGGGGTTGAGAAGTATTGTTCGAGATAGGCACCTTGGTCCTTCTTTCCTTCTTTCCTTCTTTCCAGCCCTTCGCTCAGCCCGGTCAGCAAGCCACTGTGAGCTAAGGTAAGGTAGGCATAGAAATGTCCAACGTCGCTCTTGCCTTATTAACAGCAAGTGGTGGCCTTGACTCTTGATTCTTGAGCCATGTCGTGAGAATCAAATATTACCTCCCGCTGATATCACCAACACTTGACCAATGCCACGTTCAATTTTCCCTCGTTTTCAGTTTTCACCTCTCCGTGGCCTGCAGCACAGCCCGCGTGGCTGTTTGGCGCCAAGCCCGCCCGTGACGCTGTCGACACAGCTGGACGACCCTGAGAGCTCAATGCGTACACCATTGGCCATTGGGGGGCTTGCGGGCTCGTATCGCGTCCTGTTAAGTACAGTCCACAAGCGTATGCATCCATCATCAGGCAACGCGATTTCCGCGAGCAGAGTGTGCACGCCAAGAACGGGAGCTCGATGCACCCCTGCGACAATCTCTCCACCCGCCGGCCTCAGCAGTGTCAGCACAGGCTTACGGCGGACGCCGGACAGCCAGCCCATTTCAAACAAGCCATCGACTTTCGGATAGTCTGAGCTCGCGTGGCCTTCGAAATGACCGTTGCCCAGTGCCCACCCGCTTGACAGCCATGTCCCACAGTAAGGCTGGCTGATGCCCCTAGTCTATCACCACCGCCACTACCCATGGCAGTGCCCCGTCACTGGCCACATCGATACCATGGGGCCATGGCCATAGGCATAGGTCGACATGGGACTGTCGAAAAGGCACATCCCTGAGCGGTCCTGCCGGCCGGCGAGTCAGATCCGTCTTGCAGTCCTGTCTAAGCCCATTAGACCTAGTGAGGTCCACCACCCTGCTCAAGCTGAATGAAGCTCCCGAGTATAGAAGTCGAGGCTCCCTGCCGAGCATGGGTTGTTGACGGTTTTCCCTCTAATAGATCTTGATTATTCAACCACGAATCTGGCGCCCGGGGGATCCTACTCTGCAGGACATTGCTTGCTTCACATCATAGCGTCTTGTCCGTGTGCGAGTGCGCGAGAAAGGGGCGGCCATGATGACAATGACAAGATCAACAGTGGTGTCACTGGCGACCTTCGCCCTTCTTTCTTACACCTCCGATGCTGCCGCAGTGCACAAACGAGATCTGGAGGCGCCCGTCGAAATCGAAGGAGGATGGGAGTACCAGGGCTGTTACCTGTATGGCGCCTGTTCTCTGTACCACGAGTATCCGCACATGTGCTGACTGGAACATAGCGACGTTGGCCGCACCATCGACAAGGACGGCTTCCGCAATGATGAGATGACCAACGAGATGTGCGGCGAATTCTGCTATGATCGAGGCTACAGTACCTTTGGTACAGAGTGGCATCAGGAATGTTTCTGTGGCGACAAGTTGGCCCCTGGTGCATCAGAAGCTGACCCCAATGACTGCGACACCGCCTGCTTGGGCGACGAAAACCAACCTTGCGGTGGATCAAACCGGTTGAGTCTGTACAAGCGAAAAGGCCCGGATATAAACCCTGGCTGGATGGATTATGAAGCAATCGGCTGCTGGACGTAGGTGCTCCAAGGCAAACCCGAACCCCCCAACAAGGCAACAGCAAGTTGACTCTGAACAGAGATTCCCCCGGTAATAGGGCGCTGACCAACGAGGAGTACTCGATCGATCCCGACGAGATGACTGTCAAAAAGTGCATTGAGGGGTGCGCAACTCGCGGCTACATCCTCGCGGGTGTCGAGTTCGGCGGAGAATGCTGTAAGTCAAATGATCATCACGGGCCCAACACCCATGGCCCTCAGAGCATTTCCTAACCATATACTCGCAGTCTGCGGTAACACAATTACCAACGACCATGAGCTCGCCGATGCCGAGGACTGCAGTTATGCTTGCAAGGGCAACAGGACCGAGCTGTGCGGTGGCACAGGCCACATCAACGTGTATGACTTCAAGCTGCAGTTTTCGGGGCCACCGACCACCACGTAAGTTGTATCTGCGGATTGATCACGAGTCTCCGGGCTGTCAAGTGTGGAAGCGTTGAAAGGAGACTGGCTGACCATGGGAAACCAGTATCTCGCACACACCCCTTCTCACTACCACAGAGACGACTTCGGCGTCGAGGGACACGAGCTCGCCAAGCGCGACGACACCCTCGACGACCTTGTCAGACTCACAGACGACTTCCGACTCGAGTTCGGACTCGAGCTCGAGCTCGAGCTCTTCCTCAACGAGTACCACCACTAGCTCAGCCAGTGCCAAACCTACAAGCACATCAGCCTCTGTAACCACATCAACGAGTGCTAGCTCTTCTGCATCGTCCTCGGCATCTAGTACGACATCTAGTACGACCCCCAGCAGTACATCTGCAATGAGCGCAGCCTCGTCGGCGTCTTCGTCCTCCTCGTCTGCTTCCAGTGCTGTCTCTACATCGGCGTCTTCGTCGGCTTCCGTCTCAAGCTCTCCTTCGGCATCGCCCAGCTCCTCATCTCCTTCGGCGTCGCCCAGCTCCTCGTCTCCCTCGGCATCGCTGTCGAGTACTTCATCGCCCTCGCTTTCAGCCACATCAACGACTCCCTCTCCCTCATCCTCAGCGTCGGCCACTCCCACGCCTCTGAGCATCTCAACCTCGAGTACCGCCACCACCTCCTCTCTCTCGGAGGAACAGATTGAATCTACCACGATGTCATCTGCACCTGTTGAGGAACCCACGGTATGTCCTGGTCAACCCCAGAATGTGCTTTCCTGGAGCTGGGCCGGGTGTTACACCGATACTCCTGCGGCCCGCACTCTGAATGCGAATGCCATGACATCCTACCAGATGACCCTTGAAATGTGCGCCGAAAACTGCGCTGGGTACAAATATTTCGGCGTCGAGTACCAATGGGAGTGTTATTGCGGTATGGAATTCCACGGCAGCTCGACCCAACGTCCCGCATCCGAGTGCAACATGCTCTGCGGAGGTGCTCAGTGTGATTTCTGTGGTGCAGGAGACCGTCTTTCTGTGTACGCTATTGGCGATGCACCTCCCACACCCTCTCTCGACCCGACCACCACGGACGACGCACCCTCGCAGAGCCCTACCGCCCCTGTGCCTACCGATCTTCCCGACGGCTGGGACTACTATGGCTGCTGGGTAGATATGGCGAATGGCCGCATCCTAAACACACAAACCCTCGACGACCCCCAGCTCACTCTTGCTTCTTGCGTAGCTGAGTGTGACCGCCGTGGATACTCTATCGCCGGTACTGAATACTATACTCAGTGTTTCTGCGGCAACGCTATTTACAACGGCGGCGAGCTTGCCGATAGTGAGTCCGAGTGCAACACTGCCTGCGGAGGAAACAACGACGAGTTCTGCGGAGGACCAAACAGGATGAGTATCTTCTCCCGTGGCGAGCCCAAGATCTACCAGCCTCCCGCGGCGACGCAGAGGGTTGGTGACTGGGTCTATGCTGGCTGCGTCACTGACACTGCGGGCCTTGCTCGAACCTTCCCATGGCAACTTATCTTCGATGGCACCCTGACGCCCAAGATCTGCACCGACGCCTGCGCTGAGTTCGGATACGCTGCTGCCGGTCTCGAGTACGGCGTTGAGTGCTATTGCGGTGACCCAGAGAACATTGAAGTAAACGGCGCCAGCATCGTGGACGACTCTGAGTGCGACATGGGATGCGCCGGTGACGGCGGCGCCATGTGTGGCGGCCCTTCTCGCATGACCACCTACTTCTGGGACGGCGACGAGCCTCTGTACTCTTGGGGGTTTCCCGAAGACGGCACAGCCGAGGCAGGCAGCTATGAGTTCCTCATTGGCGGCGTGGTTATTCCCCTCATGACCTCGCAAGCCATCACCGGCAAGGTCACCTTCCTCGAGAAGTGGACGACTGGCCCTCCCAACTCGACGGGCGCGTACGAGCTTGACCTGACTGCCATTGACAACTTTGAACTTGCTTGGCGAACAATGAACGTGAAGACCGATCTCTTCTGTGCCGCCGGTGTCACGCTTCCGGACAAGGCTGGTCGGCAGCTCACTGTCGGCGGCTGGTCAGGCGAGTCAACCTACGGTGTCCGTCTGTACACTCCCGATGGCAGCGATGGGGTTCAGGGCACCAACGACTGGGAGGAGGATGTTGATATCCTGAGCCTTCAGGACGGTCGTTGGTACCCCTCCACACTCAACATGGCCAATGGTTCCATTCTTGTGGTCGGTGGTGAGGAAGGTTCCAACGGTGCGCCTGTTCCTACTCTGGAGATCCTCCCCTTCACTGGTGGTGCTCCGCTGTACATGGAGTGGCTTGAGCGGACTGACCCCAACAACCTCTACCCCTTCCTGGCCGTCCTGCCATCCAAGGGTATCTTTGTCTCCTACTGGAACGAAGCGCGTATCCTGGATGAGAAGACCTTTGAGACCATCAAGACTCTGCCCAACATCCCCGGTGCGGTCAATGATCCCATGGGTGGACGTACATACCCTCTTGAGGGCACATCTGTCCTGCTTCCTCAGAAGGCCCCGTACAATGACCCTCTCGGTATCCTCATCTGTGGTGGCTCGACCGAGGGCATCGCCAACGCTCTGGACAACTGCGTCACCATCTATCCCGATGCCGCCGAGCCAGAATGGGTCCTGGAGCGCATGCCCTCGAAGCGTGTCATGAGCTGCATGGCCCCTCTGCCTGATGGCACCTACTTGATGATGAACGGTGCCATGCACGGCGTGGCTGGGTTCGGACTTGCGAGCAATCCCAATCTCAACGCGGTCCTCTACGACCCCGAGAAGCCGGTGGGCAGCCGGATGACCGTCATGGCCAATACCACGGTGGCGCGCTTGTACCACTCCGAAGCCCTGACCCTCCTTGACGGACGTGTCCTTGTTTCCGGCTCGGATCCTCAAGATGGTGTCAACCCGCAAGAGTACCGCGTTGAAGTCTTCAACCCCCCTTACCTCTTGAGCGGCAAGCCTCGTCCCACGTTCACCATTGAGAACACAGACTGGGATTTTGAGGGATCGTATACGTTTACGCTTGGATCGCCAGCCGTCAACGGTGCCATCACCGCCACCCTCCTTGGCTCCGTCTCTAGCACCCACGGTAACTCCATGGGTGCTCGCACACTCCTTCCCGCTGTCTCGTGCAGCGGCACCGACTGCACGGTCACCGCACCTCCTGGTCCCTACATCTGTACGCCAGGGTGGTATCAGTTCTTTGTTCTTGACGGCGGCATTCCCGCTGTGGGTGTTTTCGTTCGCATTGGTGGTGATCCTGCCGAGCTGGGCAACTGGCCTGAAGGCGAAGGCTTCACTCGCCCTGGCATATAGACCAAGGGTTTGATTCTTTCAAATTGGTATATATTCGGTCCTTTTATTGGCAGCTCATGGCCAGCTGCGTTGTTCATATGTCAAGTAGTTGAGTGCTTGGTTGATATTAGCCCCAGAGTCCAACGTGTCGGAATGGCGTGTCTGGGCGACTCTATCTAGAGTCATTAATTCGTAATAGAGCTTTGGCAATATGTACTCAGAATATTGAGAGACGTGCTAGTCATCTGATTGAGCTTGAATGTGGCAGCACAACTGCTGTAGGATTGCTGGGAAATGAATTCACGTTTTTGCTACGGATAGTACTTTTGGATTAGCAGGTACAGGGTAGTCAATGCTGCGAAAGCTTCACCGACATCGCAACTGGGATTGAATTAGCAAAACGTGTGCTCATGCGAATATCGATTAGGTCAAAGTACAGGTAAAATTGATTTTACTGGTAAGTATTGGATATACACCTCAAATTCGACATCATTTGCCTCCTGTGACTGCTGAGCCCAAGAAGAACATCTTTGAGCGCAGCAGATCACATCACGTGACCTGCATGCAAGCTCCGGTATCCGCCGCAACAATTCTTGGGAGAGCCCCAACGGGAGATCCTGTAGCACGACGCTCAACACCAGCAACTCGCGCCCTCGACAACGCCCTCAATTCACCTCCCACGGTCGTCGTCGATACATCACTCAAGATGGCTGCTTTCATCAAGGCCGCCAACGCCAAGATCCGGGCGAACCCGATGCTCGACTACGTCTGCTCGACACGTACGTATGACCTGATAGAAAGGAGATGGGCGTGAGCCGGTAGAAAGAGGAGGAGATATGGCGACAAACGTTCAGAACACAAAAGACAAGGTCGCCAGCACGTGGGAAGCGCCCTGTGCGCCGGCAATGTCCCTTGTCTGCAACTTGCGCACACCATGGTCGTGGGGGTTCCTGATTTTCGCGCGAAAGCTCTACGACATCGCTAGGCAGACTTGCAGACGCGGGGACACTGGCTGGAAGAAGAGATTACCGGGAACAATTGGTCCCGAAAGTACTTGGCTGACACCTTTTTCACAGACTTCTGGGGCCCCGTGTCAAACTTCGGTATCCCCGTCGCGGCCGTTCTCGACACCAAGAAGAGCCCTGACCTGTGAGACAACCCAATCTGTCCGATAGAACGACACACGCCGCGCGCGCGCTCCCTATTTGATGGAAACCTGAACCTAACATGTGGGCAACGATAGGATCTCTGGCCAGATGACGGGTGCTCTCTGCGTGTACTCGGCCACCTTCATGCGCTACTCGCTGGCCGTCTCGCCACGCAACTGGCTGCTGTTTGGCTGCCACTTTGTCAACGAGGCCGCGCAGCTGACCCAGATGTACCGATACATGTCGTACCACCACTGGGGTGGAAAGGAGAAGCTGGGTCTGGAGGATGGCGTGGAGAAGGCCAAGGAGGGTGTGCAGAAGGTGGAGGACAAGGTGAAGAGCGCGGTCGGCAAATAAGAACCACCTCGTCGAGCAGAAGGGATATGGAGAGGTGTTGTTTAGAGATTCTTCCGCCCCATCGCATGACTGGACGGGATCCCCAGGCTGGACAGCCTGGTGGAAGAGGAGGGGGACACGACGGACGGCCGCGGCTTTCTCTGTACTGTAATTGAGACTGGATGGGTATCCAGATCGTGAATCTTTTTTTCCTCCCCCAACCTGTGGCCCCGCCTTGGCATTGTCTTCCCCGGATCGGCACGCACTGGCAAGCTAACTCATTAGGTAACTTAGCCCGTACCATCCCCGGCCACGCCCGACTGAATGTTCTTTTGATGTAGCCGATTGGGGCCTTGACGTCTCGGCCGGACGTCCGGCGCAGTGCTGACTGGACAGGACCGGCTACGTACGATCTTTTGTTGCGGGCCAGTCCCCGATGTGGGCGTGAAAACTTGGGGTAGAAGAGCAGGACTGGCTCGTTCCCGTGCGCATGGTATCACGGGTCTGTGTTAGTCTGTAGATGTTCCTAGGAACTGCTGCTCTGGGACCCGCGGGTAACCACTTTTAGCCGTTCGGTTTAGATGCCAACCGGTTGGGCATCGGCGAAAGAACATCTGACCGAATGGGCTCACGTTGCACGACTTTTGCTGAACGTAATGCCTACAGGCTGGGAGGGAGCGTGGAGAGTGCGTGGCAATGCATAGCGACGCGCTTGTGGTGCCATTGGCGAACATGGTGTGCGAGTCCATGTGGCTTGGCATGATCATGAAGCCGAACACTGATGAAGTCTGGTCTTTGGTCAAGGACTGACGAGTGGCTCGTCTTTCCAAGGCCTTGCAGGGTAATCTACGTATCTCACAAGCCTTGACCCTCACATGACCGCGCTGTTGCAGACCGGCATGCAGCCGCCATCTAACTACGATGCAATGCCGAATCTCCGTTGCCCCGTGGGGGTCAAGCTTATTTGCTGTAGACGGTAGACCTGAGGAGTATGTAGACCTAGTGGTAGGCTAGTACTGAATCCTCTGCAATTAACCGTAGAGTGATGGACGTCGACTCCCCTTTGGGCCCTTTCGCTAAGCGCCCCGAACAGACCTTTACCCGGCTATCGATACTCGGGGGTGACGCCGTTCGAAAGAGGACCAGAGCAGCTGTTGACCGCCCCACGGATGCGCAAAGCCGACCCATCTTTAAGGGCTTCGGTCCCAAGACCGAGGGGTTCCCGCTGGTGGACCTCGGGCCAGGGTCACTCGTGATTGGAGACCTTGTTAGTCGAGGCACGAGAATAGTCAGGAACAGAGCTCCCAATCCAGCACACAGCAGCGTGCTCGTTGCGAGTTGACCCGAGGAAACGCGCTCTCGCAGCCTCCTGTCGCGTCTCGACATCCGTGACGTCCTCGGTCCCTCCAGATGATCATGAGAATCATCAATCGGCCGTCGAAGAGCATCGTCGTCCTGGGACGGTCGTGTATGAGGGTTTTTGCACCACGGGATTTACCATTAGGCAACGCAGAAGACGTAATCGGCCACTATCAGCGCGCACTGATTGGCCCGCCTGGTGGCAGCGCGACTGAGCTACAGCGTACCTGACGTACCAAGTACAGCCTCGAGGCACCAGGCGCGACATCCGTGCCTCCCTCCAGTCAGCTCTGCGCAGGAAAGAAAAGTGTCTCACGCCAATCTGTGACTGATCGAAATTCGCAATCGCTGCGCCAAAATTTTTTTCCCTTCTTGTTTCCTCTGTCCGATGCGTCAGAAAAGCCTCGCCGAGCACGGAGGTGTACACCCATGACACAATTTGACTGGCACATGCCAATCGTCGGGGTCTTGCTAGCCAAGTAGATCTAGTATTCTAGTTACAAGCTTAGAGCAGCGTGTTAGACAAACTCCCCAAACTCAATTGCTCAAGGTAATAATACAGTGCAGAGCAGCTTGAGAAGATTTTCCACCATCAATATCAGCCGCAGTGTCCAGACACCCTCGGCTCATGGCGGGGCACCAAAGCCAGCCTGACTGGAGTCCAGTCGACTGCGGCTGTTAGCGATTGCTGCTGCAGGTGCTCTCCTGCCCTATCGCGCCGCCATTGCCAAAACTGCGTCACCGATAACCTCACCCGCCTGGCAAGACATTTTTGACGTGACCCCCTCTTCGCCCACGATTGCTTATCTCCCACATCTCGAACTCATTACCTGTCCTCACCCTTTCGGTCGATCAGATCTGGCGGAAGCTACGAGTAGTATCAATTATCCCGCCTGCAGAGCAGCAGAGCAGCAGGACTTCCCACCCACCCCCTGCCACTTGTTGATCAAGATACCCCACCGCCACGCCCACCCCCAGCCAGCCTAGCCTTGGGCCGAGCAAGAGACCAAGAGCTCTGTCTGTGACTTGAGAGTTGAGACCCCGCCATCACCGAATCCGGCCCCTCCTACGTACCCGCCGCCTGGCAGATACTCGCTATCAAAACCAGCGAGCCTCGCACTCCTGTACCGCGTGGTCCGACTCTGCTCTTCTTGCCTGCCCGAGCTTCGTCGCTACCATCTTCACCTAGCTACCGCACTCTAGCTCAGCGCGATACGCCCGAAGAGCCGTCACAATGGCTGCCGTCGTCCCGCAACAGCCGTTGACCTTCACCGATGTCTTCGAAGACGAGGATGACGTGAAGGAGGCGCCCACCGTCCACCACATCCGTGCCAACTCGAGCATCATGCAATTGAAGAAGATCCTCGGTGTGTCACATCGTCTTCTGGAAGAAAGCTTTGCGAGCCTGCGCTAACCTTCACTCTCCTCACAGTTGCCAACCGTGGTGAAATTCGTGAGTCTCCATGCGCCTGTGAATGATCAATCCGTTGGCTAACTATGGACAGCCATTCGAGTACGAGAACTCCCTTCTTTTTCCTGGACCTCCCAGAGAACTGCGAGACGGCTTTGAAAATTGCTAACATGGAGCTTCTGCTAGATTTTCCGAACTGTACGTGCCACCCGACATGGCCAATTAACCAGGTCCAGAGCGCTGACAACCGTCCTAGGCTCACGAGCTCTCGCTGCACACCGTCGCCGTCTTCAGTTATGAGGACCGTCTCAGCATGCACAGGCAGAGTACGACTACCACCCGCCTCCCACGAATAGTACTTACTGACGGTTTCGCAGAGGCCGACGAGGCCTACGTCATTGGCAAGCGCGGCCAATACACCCCCGTCGGAGCCTATCTTGCCGGTGACGAGATTATCAAGATTGCCGTCGAACACGGCGTTCAGATGATCCACCCTGGTTGGTCTCTCTCTACAAAAAGCTACAGACGACTCGCCAAGACGAACTAACCCCTCCCAGGCTACGGTTTCCTGTCCGAGAATGCTGAGTTCGCACGCAACGTCGAGAAGGCCGGTCTCATTGTAAGCTTCCCATCGCGCGGGCTTCCTGACCATGCACAGTGCAGTGCTGATACACGCAGTTCGTCGGCCCCTCGCCCGATGTCATCGACTCGCTCGGCGACAAGGTCTCGGCCCGCAAGCTCGCCATTGCGGCCGGTGTGCCCGTCGTCCCTGGTACCGAGGGCGCCGTCGCCACCTTTGAGGAGGTCAAGTCCTTCACCGACCAGTATGGCTTCCCCATCATCATCAAGGCTGCCTACGGTGGCGGCGGTCGCGGCATGCGTGTCGTCCGCGAGCCCGAGTCCCTGCAGGAGCACTTTGAGCGTGCCACGTCCGAGGCCAAGTCGGCCTTTGGCAATGGCACCGTCTTTGTCGAGCGCTTCCTCGACAGGCCCAAGCACATTGAGGTCCAGCTCCTCGGTGACAACCACGGCAACATTGTCCACCTGTACGAGCGTGACTGCTCCGTCCAGCGCCGTCACCAAAAGGTCGTCGAGATTGCCCCCGCCAAGGACCTGCCTCAGGAGACCAGGGACGCCATCCTGGCGGACGCCGTCAAGCTCGCCAAGTCTGTCAACTACCGCAACGCGGGTACGGCCGAGTTCCTCGTCGACCAGCAGAACCGTTACTACTTCATCGAGATCAACCCCCGTATCCAGGTCGAGCACACCATCACCGAGGAGATCACGGGCATCGACATTGTCGCTGCGCAGATTCAGATCGCCGCAGGCGCCACCCTATCCCAGCTCGGCTTGACGCAGGACCACATCTCGACCCGAGGGTACGCGATCCAATGCCGAATTACCACCGAAGATCCCGCCAAGGGCTTCCAGCCCGACACGGGCAAGATCGAGGTCTACCGCTCTGCCGGTGGTAACGGTGTCCGTCTCGACGGTGGCAACGGTTTCGCCGGCGCCGTCATCACCCCCTACTACGACTCCATGCTGGTCAAGTGCACATGCCACGGCTCGACATACGAGATTGCTCGCAGAAAGGTCCTCCGTGCCCTGATCGAGTTCAGGATCAGGGGCCTCAAGACCAACATCCCCTTCCTCGCCTCTCTTCTGACTCACCCCACCTTTATCGATGGAACTTGCTGGACGACTTTCATTGACGATACCCCCTCGCTGTTTGACCTCGTCGGCAGCCAGAACCGTGCCCAGAAGCTCCTGGCGTACCTTGGCGATGTTGCCGTCAACGGCAGCAGCATCAAGGGGCAGATTGGCGAGCCCAAGCTCAAGAGCGAGATCATCATGCCTGACATCATTGCCTCCAACGGCCAGAAGATCGATGTCAGCGAGCCATGCCAGAAGGGCTGGCGCAACATCATCGTCGAGCAGGGCCCCAAGGCCTTCGCCAAGGCTGTCCGCGACTACAAGGGATGCCTTCTGATGGATACCACATGGCGTGATGCCCAGTACGTGAAGTTGTCCCTTTCATGCTGGCGTCTGTCGTTCTAATGTGATGCAGTCAATCGCTCCTGGCGACGCGTGTGCGCACAGTTGACCTCCTCAACATTGCCAAGGAGACGAGCCACGCTCTCTCCAACCTCTACAGTCTGGAGTGCTGGGGTGGCGCTACCTTTGACGTGGCCATGCGCTTCCTTTACGAGGACCCTTGGGATCGTCTGCGTAAGAGTACGTTTACTCCAGTGCTCGTCTTGCGCGAGCATCCCTTCATCTTTCGATCCTATGCTTACTTTATCAAACAGTGCGGAAGCTCATCCCCAACATTCCGTTCCAGATGCTCCTCCGTGGTGCCAACGGTGTTGCCTATTCCTCTCTACCCGACAACGCCATTGAGCACTTTGTCGAGCAGGCGAAGAAGAACGGTGTCGACATCTTCCGTGTCTTCGACGCCCTGAACGATATCAACCAGCTTGAGGTTGGTATCAATGCTGTCCACAAGGCCGGCGGTGTTGTTGAGGGTACCGTCTGCATCTCAGGTGACATGTTGGTAAGTGCAGTCTTTTCCCACTACATGCCGTATACCGAGGCGAAGAGGAGTCAATACCTGGCCCTTGAACCCTTGAGCGCCGCAGTGGATAACTTTTACTGACATTTATCTATAGAACCCCCAGAAGAAGTACAACCTGGAATACTACCTGGATCTCGTTGACAAGCTTGTCGCGCTTGACATCCACGTGCTGGGCATCAAGGACATGGCAGGTGTTCTCAAACCCCATGCGGCCACCCTCCTCATCGGTTCTATCCGCAAGAACCACCCCGATCTCCCGATCCACGTACACACCCACGACTCGGCCGGTACTGGTGTCGCATCCATGGTTGCCTGCGCGCACGCGGGCGCGGATGCTGTCGACGCCGCAACCGACAGCCTGTCGGGCATGACCTCCCAGCCCAGCATCAACGCCATCCTCGCGTCTCTCGAGGGCTCCGACTTCCAGTCTGGTCTGGACCCCCGCCAGGTCCGCTGCCTGGACACTTACTGGTCCCAGCTCCGCCTTCTCTACTCTCCCTTCGAGGCCCACCTGTCGGGCCCCGATCCCGAGGTGTACGAGCACGAGATTCCTGGTGGCCAGCTGACCAACATGATGTTCCAGGCCGCGCAGCTTGGACTTGGCTCGCAGTGGCTCGAGACCAAGAAGGCCTACGAGCAGGCCAACGACCTCCTGGGCGACGTTGTCAAGGTCACCCCCACCTCCAAGGTTGTCGGTGATCTTGCTCAGTTCATGGTCTCCAACAAGCTCTCCCCAGAGGATGTCAAGGCTCGCGCCGGAGAGCTCGACTTCCCCGGCTCGGTCCTCGATTTCTTTGAGGGTTTGAGTAAGTGTCCACTCCCCAGACATTTTCCATTCACTGTGCTAATCAACTCCTCTAGTGGGCCAGCCCTATGGCGGCTTCCCCGAGCCGCTGCGTACCGACGCTCTGCGTGGCCGACGCAAGCTCGACAAGCGTCCTGGTCTCTTCCTCGAGCCGGTCGACTTTGCCAAGGTCAAGAAGGAGCTCGGCAAGAAGACGGGCGGACCGGTGACCGAGTGCGACATTGCGTCGTACGTCATGTACCCCAAGGTGTTTGAGGACTTCCGCCAGTTCCAGCAGACCTATGGCGACCTGTCCGTCCTGCCGACACGGTTCTTCCTCTCCAAGCCCGAGATTGGCGAGGAGTTCAACGTCGAGCTGGAGAAGGGCAAGGTGCTCATCCTCAAGTTGCTGGCCGTCGGGCCCCTCAGCGAAAACACGGGCCTGCGCGAGGTCTTTTTCGAGATGAACGGCGAGGTGCGCCAGGTGACCGTCGTCGACAAGAAGGCGGCCGTGGAGAACGTCAGCCGCCCCAAGGCCGACCCCAGCGACTCGAGCCAGGTCGGCGCCCCCATGTCGGGTGTCCTCGTCGAGCTCCGCGTCCACGAGGGCTCGGATGTGAAGAAGGGCGACCCACTCGCCGTGCTGTCGGCGATGAAGATGGTACGTTTATTACAATGTCTCAGCCTGGTTTTCTCAGCTAACGTGTGTGTCAGGAAATGGTGATCTCTGCTCCCCACAGCGGCAAGGTTGCCAGCTTGCAGGTCAGGGAGGGCGACAGCGTCGACGGCTCCGATCTGGTGTGCCGGATTACCAAGAGTTAATGCGCGATTATCGACTTGGGGCACAGAGGCGAATGGTTCAGCTGCTATATATTGCTGACTTTATGATTCTTCAATGAGTACATTGTTGCGTTTCAATTTGATGTCTGATGGTGACGTGCGCAACCCTCTCGTCTCTGATGTGTGTTCGATTATCCTTAGACAACGCGCGACTAGAAGAAATATGTACCAAATGAATAATAGCTCCAAAACTTGGTCCTTCGTCTAAGAAATATAAGCAGTAGGGATCATACGGAACGACACCTTCTCAGTATGCGCACTACATCTCCGTATCTCCAGCCCGTATAGGGTTAGCCGTTCTTCGGGACCATCCACTAGACTAGGAGTCTAGTCCGTTGGCACATACGCACCCAAACTCCATGTCGTAACTTGACGTAGGCCTCCGCCGCTTCGGGTCCAGATATAGGCCGGACAGCCGGTTTTAATCCAACTTGTTATATAGGCAGGCACTTCCTGCCGACCCCGCGCATCTGCCGCAATCCTACTACAATTCCGTCCTGTAGAGCTGAGCTGCGACGCACCAACCCGTGCCTATAGTTCTATACGTAAGATACCAAGTAACAGATCGCCATGGCTGTGCCATTTTGGGGTCCTCCGACCTCCTACCTCAAGTAAGTGTATCTGTCCCCCTTCACATATGGATCCCCCCCAAGTCCAGTCCCTTCTCCAATCTCCACACTCTGGCGCTCAGGCTATACCCAGTGCTGACTCTACAATTCTCGCTATAGCTTTTGTGAAGAGGTAAGGCAGTTCATTTCTTGCTCATCTATCTCATCACCAACGGCGACGTGGATGTTGCGACACGGTTCTGATCGATCTCTCAATGGGTAGGATTACGTCATTTCGCGATATGTCGGAGAATTCGTCAACACGTTCAGCAGCCTCACATTTGGTACGTCGAGTCCTCTTGGCCCCTTGGCTGGAGAAATTATCTTTCTGACGGTTGGTGTAGTCATCTATGGTATCTATGGGTTGGCAACGTCGTCGACGTTCCCCAGCGGACCGCGACTGGTGTCGTATCTTGGTCTCATGGGAGTGGGGATATGCTCTGGCGGCTACCACATGACGCTCAAGTACCATACACAAATGGGTACGTAGTCTCTCTCTCTCTCTCTCTCTCTCTCTCTCTCTCTCTTTATTCGGGACGAGAATATGAGAGAACCAGACCTGACCCGTGGTTTGGTTTCCTTTAGCCGACGAGTTGTCTATGCATCTGCTCACGACACCGCTCATATACCGCCTACTTACCTACAAGGCCACGCCTGAGCGCACGAAGGCTGTTGGCATCATCTTGTCCATTCTCTTCACCATCGTCATGGTGACCCACATGGTCATGGACGAGTTCATTCTCCATGCTACGGCCTTTGGCTTGAGTGTGTACATTATCGCGTCGCGCGGGCTCAGACTCTCTAAGCAAGTCCCTGATCCCTATTCAAGGGCGCTGGTCAGGAACGCATCCATCTTTGGTTGCCGTGGGTTCCCCTCACCAAGGCATAGTGCCTCCGCTCCCAAGCGCGCGGATACTGACGTTACTATTCACATAGTGTCCTTTGCAACAGGCTACGTGCTGTGGCTCATTGACGAATTTGCCTGCCAGTACCTGATCCAAGCGAGACGTACGATTGGCCTCCCCTTTGCCTTCCTCCTGGAGTTTCATGGATGGTAAGTCTGGCGCGAAGCACCGCCTGACTATCCCAGCTGACGCATTAATAAGGTGGCATGTTCTCACCGCCATCGGTGGCTACGCGGCCGTGGAGATTGTCAACATTCTCATGGCGGAGAATGCCTCGACAGATTCCATAGATGCTTTGGCGTGGCCTGTGCCTCAGATGACGAGGCTGATGACTGATCGCAGAGCGAGCGTCGGAAAAGCAGCGTAGGCAGTACAAGTAGAACAAACGGCAAGTTTCAAGACAGGGGGACAGGGTACAAAATCAGGCAGAAGATTGGACCCGAAAGCATGCGGCGTTCGAAGAATTTAGGGTCTGTGGCTTAGAATTAGACATTGGTTAGAACATGGTGAGGACCATTCTTCGAGATTAGAACATCAACTGAATATACAACTGTGGGAGAATATCTTTTAAGATTCGAAAGCAACAGTCTTAAAGGTCTTCAGTTGTCACAAGAGCTTGATGAACAGAGTGCTAAAGCACATCTCTACCTTCACGGACTCGGGCCTTTAAGACCTTCAACCCTCCCAGTCCGCTTCACGGCAGAACAGAATGATGATTGGCACAACTATGCGCTTAACAGGAATGAAGCCTTATTTACTTACAGGTGAGAGCTCAGTCACTCGGCCCAAAAAAATGGTTTCTTTCTGCTCCACCGCCTACCCCCTATTTGCACCTCAACATTCCCTCTCCCCGAGTATTACCTCTGCCTCTTTGCAATTCACAAGTCCACAACCCACCCATGCAACACCTCCGCCTCTCATACTCCTTTTGGCAATCACCTGGTGCATTCAGACAGTTGCACAGCAACATTGGCCACCATGCCACCACCAAAACCGCGCAAGGCGGAAGATGCATGCTCCACCAACAAGCACAGCATCAAAGCGCGTCAGCGTACATCAAGCCTGCCAGCGGAAAAACGTGAACACGAGCGCCGCAAAAAGGCCATGATGACCCAGATACGGCGCAAGCAGACCCAGCTTGAGAAGAATACAGTGGGCTGGTAGACCATGGACGAGGCCGCCCGGACAGCTTTGCGGGCTCGGTCCGACGCAGCTGTCGAGGCGGAGCAGTACGTCCCGATTACCCATGGGAGCTAATTATTCTGACGAGTATACAGTCGCGCACAGAGAAAGCATCCTGACCAAGCCACGAGTCACGAGCAGAGACTGCGCACATCTGTAGTGAGCTTGCTCGACGTGATGCAAGAGTATGAAGAGGACAGCGACGGTTGGGACACTGAGGATCTGGCGGATGATTCTGACGATCCAGGTTGGCAGGAGATTGAGGTCGTCCTTTCCGAGACGCCGCCTCCATCTCATTCCATCGTCAAGGAGGAGCCCGAGTTGGAGTCTCAGCCTGGATCCTTGTTGTAGACGATGCCGTCCTACAACCAGGGGCGGATTCCGCGGACGCCGTCTAGTCGGGCATCCGGTCCAAGCAATACCATCAGCAACACGGCAGTAACAAGGGAGACAGGTTTTGGTACTCGAGGCGGAGTCCCCAGCGATGACCCGGTTACTATGGTTGAGCTTCGGCCACCTTTTGTCACAACACGACTCCGATCTCGACGTGCGTACACACAGATGCAGGGCGTCCAATACCATATGCATGACGGACTGACATCTCATAGCCGCCACACGTCGAGTCATTAAGAAGAAGCCCGCCCTGCTGATCAACAAGGAGCCATTCGCGCGACTTGTTCAGGAGATCACACAGGATATTGCCGCCGAGGTCAGCTTCCAACGCTCCGCCTTGCTCACGTTGCAAGAGATCGTTGAGTTGAACCTGGTGCAAATGTTCACCCTAGGTAGGTTTGGCGAACTTACCAGGATCCATCTCGGACGAGCTAACGTTCTGCAGCGTCGCACAGAAATGCTAAATAGGCAGGGCGTGTGAACTCCTTGATGCTGGTCAACTCGTTGCAAATACCGTCTGGGGAAAGGGTGTCGGCTGACGGCACAGCCTAGTCACGTCGACGTTACGGGGTACATGGCTCTCACTGTGTTTACCGCAAGAATTAGGAGCTCAATATCAACTGGGGTCGTGCATTCATACCATTCATCCTATAGATCTCCAAATGGCATCGGGAGCCGCTACTACCAAGAGTCCAGCCTCCTATGATCCGAGGCCCACTCGGCCAGATACGACAATGCTCATTCCCCAGGCCCTCCATTTCTGCAGATCGTTGTGGGTATCTCTACATCATCTTCAGCGTCTGCTGAGCCTGTCGCTTTTCTTCCTTGTTCTGCTAGGGAACGCTCAGTGCATGGTTCGGAATTGCCAACTCCGCGCTTGTGTGTCCTCTCACTCGCTCACGCCTCGTTGCTGGGGTAGGTGACCTGCGACAGCGGGACAAACTCCTCCTTGATGGCGCGCATGTTGACGAAGCGCGTCATGAGGTTGCTGGACCCGGCCTTGTCGTCGGTACCGCTAGCACGGGCACCGCCAAATGGCTGCTGGCCGACGACGGCGCCGGTGCTCTTGCAGTTGACGTAGAAGTTGCCAGCGGCGTTGCGGAGCTTCTCCTCGGCGAGACGGATGATGTCGCGGTCCTTGGCGAACACGGCGCCGGTGAGACCGTACTCCGAGGTCGAGTCGACGAGCTCCATGGCCTTCTCGAAGCCCTGCGGGGTGCTGTCGTCGTAGACGTAGGTGGTCAGGATGGGACCGAAGAACTCGGTGCTGAGGAACTTGTGGGCGGGGTTGGTGGTCTCGTACACGGTGGGCTTGACAAAGTAGCCCTTGGAGGAGTCGTAGCTTCCACCAGTCACGAGGGTGAGCTCCTTGTCATTCTTGGCCTCGTCAATGGCGCCAGACAGCTTCTTGAAGGACGCCTCGTGGATGACGGGGCCGAGGAAGTTGCTGTGGTCCGACGGCGCGCCCTGCGCCAGAGGCTCAATGTGGGCGACGAGCTTCTCTTTGAACTCGGGCCACTTGGACTTGGGCACGTACAGGCGCGAAGTGGCGCTGCACTTCTGGCCCTGGAACTCAAAGGCGCCGCGGACGGTGTTGATGACGGCATTGTCAATGTCGGCAGAGGGGTGGATGAGATGGAAGTTCTTGCCGCCCGTCTCACCGACGATGCGGGGGTACGAGCGGTAGCGGCCCTCGGCGACACCCTGCCCAATGGCACCGTACAGCTTGCGGAACACGGCCGTGCTGCCGGTGTAGTGGAGGGCAGCAAACTCCTTGTGGCCGAGGGCGACCTTGGTGATCTCCTCGGGGTTGCCGGGGACGAACTGGATCACGTCCTTGGGCAGGCCAGCCTCGAGCAGGATCTGGTACACCAGCCAGTTGGATGCGATGGCGTAGTCGCTGGGCTTCCAGACGACGACGTTGCCCATGAGGGCAGGGGCGCCAGGCAGGTTACCGGCAATGGCGGTGAAGTTGAAAGGGCTGACGGCGTACACGAAGCCCTCGAGGGCCCGGTACTCGAGCCTGTTCCAGACGCCCGAGGCGTTGTGCTGGGGCTGCTGGGCGTAGAGCTCCTCGGCGTAAGCGACGTTGAAGCGGAAGAAGTCGGCCAACTCGGCGGCGGCATCAATTTCGGCCTGCCAGGCGTTCTTGCCCTGGCCGAGCATGGTCGCCGCCATGATCTCGTAGCGGTACTTGGTCGACACGAGGTCGGCAGCCTTGAGGAAGACGGCCGCGCGGTCGGCAAAGGGCAGCGACTCCCAGGCGGGCTTGGCGGCGAGGGCGGCGTCGATGGCCTTGTTCACGTCGGCGTTGGTGGCCGTGTGGTAGGAAGCCACGGTCTCACCATGGTCAGACGGGTTGACCTGCTTCGAGAGGGAGGATGAGGTGACCTCCGATCCACCAACCACGACGGGCACGGTGTACGGCATGGACTTTTGGTACTTTTCGATGGCGGCGGTGAGACCAGAGCGCTGCTGGCTGCCCTTGGCGTAGATGTGCTGTGGTGTCAGGTTAGCTGCTGGTACTCCTCATTGTCTTGCCATCCTGCTCAGACTCACGTTGGGCTCGTTGGCGACCTGGGGCGTCTTGAAGGCGGCCAGCGAGGCGGTGGCCAGAGTACGCTGCTGCACCGAGCGGACGCTGGTGGCCGCCACCCTCTTAAAAGCCATGGACTGCATGATGAGAATCCTTTTGAGAAGATGTTGACCGTGTAGTCAGAACAACAAGGCTAAAGAGATTGAAGTCAAGTCAAGTCAAGTCAAAGGGAAGGGGAAAAAGAAGGCTGGAGGCAGAGGCGAACGAACTCGAGACGGCTTATCACGGCATGGATAAGAGAAGGTGGGGCAGCCTGGGGGAGCGAGTGACGTCTGCAGCGTGCCAGCCTGCACCTGCCCAGTGCCCTCCCCCAGACATCGGCCCGGGCACTGAAGATTGTCGGCAAGGTGTCCCGATGCGCGGTGATTGGTCAATTGCTTCCTTGCTTTGCTGGACCAGCCCAGCGCGATCGGAGCGGAGTGCTTGCCTCACGGGAGGACTGCACCTTCCGCAGGGACAAGACCGGTGAGCTTGCTCCGGTCACCGCGCTCTCCTTCTCATTGTCACCAAACGATATATGGGGCCATGATAACGCATCGGTGATCGCTCCACTCAGACTACAGTCGCATCATGATCGATATCGCCCTCTAACAAGGCCGTACACTGTGATAGCAATTCAAAGTTCCATATATAGCATTATCCATCATTATGCACTGAAAACTGACAAAAGAACAGTACCCTCTCTTCCTCAGCCGTCGCTTGGTATCTGGTATCTCATATAGTGCAAACAATTTCCTTCTCAGCAACAAGAACAAACAGTAGACTTTGTCAAGCCTCTCGCGTCTCCCACGGCACCTGCCTACGATCATGGCGGGTCTCTCTCCTCAAACGAGCGCAAAAGTCCACGTCTTGACTCGGCCTCGTCTACGCTGCCAACCCTTCCCTAGTGTGCTGCGCTGTGGACGGAGGAGCTAGCAGGAGCCGCGGACGCTGGCGTCGTGGGCTTCTGATACGCGAGCAGGGGAATGCTCAGGCCGTACCCCTCCGTCAGACCTTGACGGTTCGACGGGTCAATCTCAATGTTGATGCGCACGTCCAGGCTGCCATCGTTGCCGCGGCCATGGGTCTCGACAGAGGCCGCCTTGTGCTTGGTGCCGGAGCCGACCTCGCCTTGGTGCAGCACAGAGTGCCCGTCCTTGCCGATGAAGGACTGGGGCGCAGCCTCGCCGTTCGTCTCGCTTGCGCCGCCGTTGACATTGGTGGTCTCGCCATTCGCGCCGGCCAAGGGCTGGTTGTTGGGTGAGTTCTCGGTGATGGACGCAAAGTTGCGGCTGGGCATGGTGCAGTGGTTGGAGCCAGCCGTCTTGGTCGAGTCGCCCGGATCCTTGTTGAACAGGTCGAGGAGGGTCTCGTCCGTGTCGTGGTCCAGGTGGTGAATCTTGTTCCTCTTGGCCAGCAGGTTGGCGACAGCCTGGGGCGGGGGCTTGTTGACAATGGCCGACGACACGACATTGGCAATGTAGCGGTGGTCCTGCTCCACGGGGATCTTGAGCTTGGGGTTCGAGTAGAAGCGGCCCAGGGCAGCCAGGTGGACGTCGCCTCCGAGGATGGTGACGCGGCACGAGAACTCGGAACCGACCTCCTGCAGCCTGTGAATGAGCATGCTGCGTTCCGCCTTGTGTACCCTGGCGGTGTAGTGGTCGTCGAGATCGTCCAGCAGATCAAAGTTGCCGTCGAATTGGTTGAAGAGGGCGCCACCCAGGCCGAAGCGCTTGTGCATCAGCTTCATGGGCCCCGCGAGGGGGCTACGCAGCACGTTCTCGAGCCAAGTCAAACGCTGCGTTTCGTTAGTTGAACGTGCATCGTCACGGCAACGCGTGGTGGGGGCAGACGTACGGGGTATGCAATGGGAATGCCCAGCAGTACAATGAGATGCGTGATGGGCTTGTCCGAGGCGGCCGCGGCACGGAGCTCATCGTACACCCTCTTGAAGATGAGATCGTAGGTCTCGGGGTAGTTGATCTGGTGGCGCGTGCGCTCGACACGGGCATCGATACCCATGAGCGCCATACGGGCGCCAAGTCGGGTGAAGATGTTGAACGAATGCTCGGCGACATAGGGTCCAGGCTTTTTGCCCACAATGTACGACGGATCGCTCTTTGGCTCAGCGACAAAGGTGCCGACCATCTGATTGGGATCCGGTCCCTGTGTCGACTCCGTAAGAGCGGCAGTATCTGACCCCGTTAGCTGACGAGCTTTTCTCGGCGCATACAAAGCATACCTGTGGTGTACGTCGAGGCGGGCGGCGGCAGGTGGTGCTGGAAAAGCATGTAGTACTTGTGTGCGACACCTCCAATGCCTCGGAAGACGTCACAGCGCATAAAGTGATCTGTGTACGAGCCGAAGCCATCGATGATCTAGGAGGTCAGGGGGGCTTCCTGTCGGTAGTCTTTGGCCGTGGAGGGATGGTAACTTACGTCGTGATCGTCCCAAATGTTCACCTGGGCGATCTGTCCGTTGACCGAAGAGAATGGCTCCGTGTTGTACCAGCGGATGTAGTTCTTCAGATAGTAGTCGTCACACTCGGCGCGGAGCTTCTCCGGGAAAGGATAGTCTCTGCGCTTCTGGGGGTTCCCGATATTGGCCCATGGGTACAGGGGGCCGTCGACGCGGATGCCATCGTTGTAGATCTGGTCACCTCCACCGAGCATGACATGGTACGGCACAGCCTGGTGCTGGCGGATCACGTCGTTCCACAGGGCAGCGCCGCTCCAGGCGTCCTCGTCGGTGCCGACGCTGAACCCGTTGCAGGAGTGGAACATGATGCGCATCGACTCGTTCTCGGCAGGGATGAAGAAGTTGTTGGTACGCGGCTTGTGCTGGCTGTTGAAGCGCATCTCGGGCACCGAGTATTCGTACTGGACCTCGGTCGCTTCAATGGGCGCGTCGATATCAAAGGCCCAGAAGGTGTTGCGCGCGTCCGAGTAGAGACGCTGGGACTCGAAGCGCATGCCGCCATGCTCATGCTCGTCGCCAACCTCGCCGCCGCCATTGGCCTGTCCGTCCACTGCAGGGACTTGTCCGCCGGCAGCGCCTACTCGTCTCATCACGAGGGACGGCTTGAACAGGACCTCGGGACCGCCGCCCTTGATGACAATCAGGACGCTCCCGTACCACCGTCCGCGCTCCATGCGGCGGTAGTTCAGCAGAGGACCGCAGACAATCTCCTTGCCGTCGCTGGGCTCACCGCGACCGTCCTCGGCGTCTTGTTCGGGCTTTGCGCCATCCTTGGCATGCCCGGCAGCCTCGAGAACCGGCTTGTATCCGCCACCGGCTGTGACGGGGCGCTCGGCAGGCGGCTCGACGCGGGAGGACTTGTTGATAAAGTCAGCCAGCTCACTCGTGCGACCAGCGGCAGCGGACTCGCGCGCGTCGGCTGCTTGCTGAGCGTGCTGGGCGGCGTGTTTGGCAAAGGCGGAGGACTCCTGGTGACGCCACTTGCTCGCGGAGGCATGGGGGTTTTGCTCGCGTCCGTCGCTCGAGCCCGGAGCCTGGGCGCTTCTGGGTCGTTCTCGGTCTGCCATTGCGGAGGAGGAAGTCTAACGGACGACCAGAGGAAGATGAGAAGGGAAGCCAGAGACCAGACTTGGGGAGGAGGACCGGCAGAGGTGGGATGAGGTTGGGCTCCGCGTATCGAGGATTGATTAATTAATTACGTCGGAGAATGCAAGATCTCGGGGAGTGGGCAGCTTGCATTGTCCAGTCCTGGCGCGCCACGGGCTAATGTTAGGAGGGACCGTATTTCCTTGTTGTCGAGCTGCAGCTCTTGGTTGTACCAGTAACAGCTGGGCTGTGGGCTTGGCGTTGAGCAGGGATGGCAGATCGATCGTCGACGGCCGAGATGGTTGTCGTGCTACCGTATCTAGCGTAGTTGAAAGGGCAGTCGTTGCTAAGCTCACTAACGCGTTCCGTTGTGATCGTCGGTTGCTTCTCCTCAAGCTTACCTCTTTACCTTGGTGTACGGCAAAGTCCTGGTGTCATAGAACCGAAGCTTCTTATCTTAGCTGAGCCCCTAAGGGGTTCCAGACATACGTGCGTACTGTTAGAGTTCAGCCTTATAGTTAGTGGAGTTTGACCATAAACGTTATTCGAGTCCATGAGATCCGCATGATTCGGATGGGATTCGTCATTGCTGGACTCGGATAGTGAAATAGGCGTCGAGCTGTCTCGAACGCCGAGGGCCGGTTGGTGATGTAATAGGTCTCGATGCGTACAGCTGGGTGCATGCGCATTTGGCAATGCCGACAAGCCTTGGCCACTAGACAATTACCACGCCACTATTGTATTGATTATGGCAATTTCCTTGTCCACTTAGAGACCTCTCGCCTCTTCGTAGCCGTCTGAGTGAGCTACTTGGTCATTGCCTTCGGTTCTCAGCGTTCAACGTGAAGCTAGACGCAGAGCAGCGCATCGCGAATGACCTCATTTCTCTCGAGAGCCCCACCCGTTCCCGTGTTCGCGCACACGTACGAGATCCGGGCAACAGCATGAAAGCCGAGGCTACTGTACAAAGTGTAGATACTGATGTGAAGGCATGGTACTTGTGAAGATTCCATATGATTCAAAAGGCTTGGAAACAGCGGCATAGGTCGACGCGACGTATCATTATTACTACCCAGCCACAACCTCACCCACGTTTCTCAGGCTGAGATTGCTGCGGGCCAAACAAATGAGCACCATGCAAGCTTGACTCGCTCTTAATTACTCGCTGCTTCACTCAAAGAGACGCGTGCTTGGACCGTTTCGGTGGTATTTTTGTCAGCGAGTAGGTCGGCCAGCCAGGCGATTCACACATGACTTTGGACAGACAGGCAGTCTTGTTGACAATTGTACTTTTATTATTGTCAACAGTGACAACTCAAGCCAACTGCCAGATCCGTCAGTGCCACAGTGGACATGGAGGCTCGGCGTGCATTCGTGCGGGGCGCATATGTGGATGATTATGTCAGCAAATGGCCCCACCAACTCGACCAAGTCAAAATTTCTTCGCTGCAGAATGCCAGTCACAATCATCACCTCCCTCCTCACTCACTTCTCCCAGCCACAGCAGCACAATAGCGACTGATAGACAGCTCGCGTCCTG